AAGGATTGACATCAGTGATAATGATATTTATGAAAGGGTGATATTAACAAGTCGTAATGAGCATGCTAATAAAATCAATGATCAAGTTATTAACATGATAGAAGCACCCGAGGTGGTATATAGTAGTATTGATACTATTATATCTGAAGACCAGAATGACTTTGTCAATTATCCAATGGAGTTTATCAATAAGCAACAGCCGTCTGGAATGCCACCCCATATTTTAAGGCTAAAGGTAGGTACAATAGTCATGTTAATAAGGAACCTTGATCAAAGAAATGGAATGATTAATGGTTCAAGGCTTATTATTAAAGAGATGCATAGGAACTTCTTGGTATGTAAGATACTTACAGGCCACAAAAAGAACAGTATTGTTGCTATTCCAAGAATAGATTTGTCACCAAGCGAAACAACACTACCATTCCGCCTTAAAAGAAGGCAGTTTCCTATAATACCAGCATTTGCAATGACCATACATAAATCACAAGGACAATCATACGGCCGTGTTGGTATTTACCTTCCAGAACCATTGTTCACACATGGTCAATTATATGTTGCTTTAAGTAGAGTTAGGAGTAAAGATCAATTAAAAATTGAAATGTCTGCCAATTCGGATAACTGTGTTGACAATATAGTCTACAAAGAGCTATTATAATAAAGGCTTGGTATGTCATATCTTTAATGTACTACATATAATATGCAGTATATATAAATGAAAAATTTTAAAAACTAAAGAGTTCTTTGATGACTAGGATTTCTAAATACAAGAAAATTACATACACAGAAGTATTCTTTAGAATAACTTTCAGTTCTAAAATGCACAGAAATAATACATTTTATTAAGTATGGAAAAATCATGTTTAATAAATGAGTAAGCTATATATATAATTATTATGTAGCAGTAAAAAAATAATAAAATAAATATTTTAATAAAGAAAAAGGGGTACTAGAACCTGAAAAAAATTATACAACGCAGTTATAATGTTTAGGTCCCGTTTATAAACAGGACAGCACAGGCTAGTTTATGATAAAAAAAATTTATAGAAAATTCATATTTTAAATATTTAGAAAATAAAAATTTGTGGTGGATATAACACATCCTTAGTAATTACTGTTGTCACAAAAAACTTTCACTACAGATTTTCTTTTTTATACATGAAAAAATCTATAAAAAAATTTACATGGACCATGTATCATGTCCTTAAGAACCCCTCTGTGCAAGTTTTTATTATTCTGAAGCGTAGGATTTTTGGTAAAGTAGATATCTTTTTTATTTGTATCATAAATTTTATTCTTAGGATTAATTAGAATATGTACATGAGTAAAGATCAGGTTTTTGAAACTTAATAGAATAAATATGTTTAACAATTTTACTAATTACTTTTTCAGATATGTCTTCTTCTACTAAAGAATTAATTTAAGATTAAAAACCTTAGTAACTAAAAATGGTCTATTAGAAGCAAATTGACCCTTTCTAAGTTGTCTTAAATTTCACACCCATTATAATTGCAAATCATAGTTATAAAAAAATCTAGTTTTTCAATTTTTATAACTATTTCCATCACATCAGGATTCCTTTTTTCATGTTTTTTTATGTTCCTTGGAATAATGATGGCAGAATTACTGGCCTGGAAGTAAAAGGTTCTAAATTATTAATATAATCTACAAAACCCTTGTATAAATCAACTTTTAACTTCTTCTTTTTTAGCTTTCTTTAGTTAAGATCGTTTGTCTCTACTTGCAAATATGAATCTACTATCCATTGTTGGTCAAGCTTTTCTCTATCAATAATTAAATTTAAATTACAACTCTATTTGGTAATTGATCTACTTTATATTTTAATAGTGATATTTTTTCAATTTTGCCATGATATTATTCAAGACTAAGATTTGTAGACTAACCCTATTCACCATTGGTAAACAGCAAAACATAAGTCGTAAAATTTAAGTGTAAACTTAATACATTTATTCTGACACTGTCATGTTTACTAACCTTATTATATATTATTTTCTCGCAAATGGTGATTCTCTATCAACGCCAGTAAAGATCATAGTAGTTTTGCATGCTGTTGGGCTATCATACATTCTCTGACCTCTAGAAATGTTTTTAAATAACATCAAAATGTCCTCTACTTCATTTTTTTCTCTTTTATTACTTCTTCATATTTTTAAATGCATCGCAATATGAATTAATATATCCTTAACGCTTATCAACTTTATACATAATTTCACAAACATAATCGTTATTGGCTTTGTTAAGCATTTTGTTTTCTATATAAATCTCATATAAATAAGCATATTTTTTTGGTGTTTTTAGAATGGTTATTTTCTAAAAGATAAATTTTGTTTTAAACATATTCTTGTATCTTACAAGTACATGGGCCTTTGTTAATTTTAACATCTATAGAAAAAAGGATAATACTAAATTATATAATCTAATATGCTTCATAAAATTTATAGATTTGACATTTTTTAAAATCTCCTAAATTGTATCCTAATTTTACAAAACTACAAAAGTCCTTATTAAGTCTAAATATTGTTGGCCTTAGGTTTAGGTTTAGAATGTAATGCTTATCAATTTTACATTTTTTATTGATTTACCAGATTTATATTCTTTTAAACTAAATATATGCTTGCCTGCAGCAAGATTTTTAATATTAAACATTACATCTTTACAATTATAGTATAGTTTTTATTATTATAAAAACTAAATATATTTTTCTTTCTTTTGTTTCAATGGCATTCGTTTTTATCTTTAACTAGTCTTAATAATATATTTCAATTATGCGTAAATTCAATATAATTATTTGTTTTACTAGTTATTGTAATATTTTGTTGCTTACTAAAATTGTTGTCAATTATTATTTTTCGTAAATATAATAGAAGAATTTAATTTTTAATTAAAAACTTTAAAAAATCATTAAAAATTTTGAAAATTAATTAACTTATTTTATTCCTTTTTCTCAAACCAGTCTTAAAAACTTTATAAACATATTAATTTATACAAATTGATAAGAACAATCAAAAACCTATAAAATATCATTTTACATCTTAGATTTTTATAATTTTTAAAGTAAGCTAGGAAATAATAATAAGATTAAAAATAATATGAATTTAGATAGATAAACTTATAAACAACACTAGCACTATAGACCTAAAATTAACAATAATTTTTAAAACATTTGATAAATAATTTGAGCATTCTCTGCATAAATACTAAATGCACATCTTTAATTAAATTAAGTAAAGATTTTAATAAATATACTTTTTTTTAGTTAAACAATTGCCGATTTTTGAAAAAATAATTTATTTAATATATTTTTACTTTTTAATTTATGCAAAAAACATTTGTGTAAACAAAAAATTTAATTAAATTAAAAGATTAACTTTGGCCTCTTAGTATAAACTTCGTCTAAGTCTTATCAGTAAAAAATTCTTAACAAAAGCTATTAAATTTTTTATAAAATATTATCAACTCATGTCTCTATTAAATAAAATAATCAAATATTATGTTATTGATCTTAATTAAAATTTTGATTTTCGTAATGAAATTTTAGTTTTTTATTAAAAAATAAATTATTTTTATATAAAAGCAAATTCAAAAGTAACCCTTAACAATGTTGTACTTATTGATATTTTTATCCAAAATTGTATGTACTAGTGAAAATGTGGAGAAAAAAGTATCAGGTCTTGATGATGTTTCCATCAACAATTTAAAACGCGAATTAACTAGGGTTCATGGCGATTACCTAAAAAAAATTATTACCCATGTTTATAACAGGCTTGATAAACAATTACGGAATAAAGACGAAATAATTGAGAAACAAGATTTGCTTATTCAACAGATTAAAAAAAATAATAATAAAGATATACAGAGATATGAAATTGAACTTGAAAAAAAGAATGATTATATTGTATTTCTTGAGAAAGAACGGAGGGAGAAATCTCAGGCCTATAGTGTAATAATTGAAGAAAAGGAAAAATCTAACAAACTTTTAAAAGAAAAGTTGAGAAAACATTTGCAAGATTTTGTCAGATGTGAAGAAGGATATGCTGATGTTGCAGAAGGAAGCCGTAGTAATAAACACCAAAATTTAAAAGTCGAATTAGAAAAAAATACTGCAAAACAAGCAAAACGAGGGGACAAATGTTGTAGTGAACTTGCTGGCCAGTGTCAAGAAAACAGTGAAGGAAAAAATGAATCGCGGCGCTCCACAAATGATGCTGCTTGTAAAGAAGCGCCTTGTAAGTCAAATGATTGTCAAACTATTGGTACTAGTGAATCTTCATCAAAAATTTCAATGTCTAATCAGGAAGCAGGACCATCTTCAAAAATTTGTATTAAAAGTGATAATCCCAAACCCAAAAAAAAGGATGATTCTGGCTTTGTAAGTGCTGAAACTCTTAAAGAAATCTTTATGAAATTCTTATCTGAAAATTTATCAGGTCTTAATGAATCGCAAAGCCGTCCTAATTTTGGTGAAACAAATAAAAATCTTAAAAAATTAAATAACGATTTTTGCGGTGTTAGTTACGAAGAATTAAAAGAGCAATCTACTACAAAAAGAAAATGTAAATTTAGCCCCCAATGCAATAATTTGGGTGAAAATTAGTACAACTATAATTAAATAATTATGTAAAAAATCAAAATTATTAGTGGAATTAATTTAATTGCGCATTAAATGACTCTAAGTGTTTTAAGTTACATGAATGTTCGGGATTAACTGTTTAAATAATAATTGAATCGCCGAAAAATTTTAGTTTTTTTTGTTTTTAAGTAATAGGAGTTGAAGCTATTAAAGCAGGTAAAATTTAACCAACTATTACTAATTGCTTTTTTAGTAACAATATTAAGAGGAGACGTATAAGAAAAGTTTTCTAGAATTTTATATTGTTTTCTTGTGTCGCCAAAGTAGCTGAGAAATTATAAAACAATTTAACTAAAATTTTGCTAGATTTAACAGATAAATTAATTATGAAGAAAGTATACAGAGAATAACAAGAGAAAAAATACATAATTATAATGAAGGATTTTTTGCTCAAAACAATATGTCAACGCGTTCACGTGTTGCAACCGTATTCTTCTTTGTAAACGATAAAGTGTGGCTTTTAATAATTTTTATAAAATAGCGCGTCTACTAAAATGTTTAAAAATAAAATAATAAATCCGCAACCGCAATGTTATTATACCAAATATAAACGCAATACTTGCTGCAACTAAAAGAAATAATCTTTTTTTTGCTTTGATATTGACAACAACATCACTATAAATACAAATCTAAATTTTTGTTTGTTTTTCTCATATTTCAAAGTAAATCAACTGAAAGAGACACTTGTGATTTGCGTTAATGATACATTTAGTGTTATACCATGTTCCTATTATTAATTATTTATTGTTTTTATTTTAAAGATGAGATATGATTCCTGTTGTATATACTTTTCTACCAAATAAAACAATTGATGCGTGTAAAGAATGTTGTTATATAAGCTTTGGTTAGCGGGTTACTCCAAATATCATCAGGGCCGAAATAAAAAAGCTTCTATTCTGGCTTTAATGTCAAGCTTTTCAAAAGCTTTATAAAAAGAAAAAATTAAAATAATTTTACCTTTTATTATAGATATTTTGATACACCGCCTATTTTATCTAAATTTATAAAACCAATAATTGCAATGTTTTATGTAGATAGAGATATCATAGAAGACAAAAGTATCCAACTACAAAAATAAATTATTTAAATTGTTTTTCTTTTTTGATAATATTTTTTGCAAGTTGATATTAATTTTAATAAACAGAAAGAATTTTTTCCATGCATATGTAAAATCAAATTATAAATATAAAAAAAAATATTTCACGTACAAACAACGCAATTAAAGGTTGACATAACACATTTGAAAGTACTTTTGTAAACTTCTATCTACGGTTCTATTTAGTTAATATAAGCTCAATAAAGAAGAAGTAATACGTTAACACTTTATATAGTTGAATGTGTTTTATCTTTTTCTGTGGCGATAGCTTTATGTCCGACCAAAGGACTCCCAAAATTATCTACTTTTTGAAGTTTGAGACCAAAATTATGGTGTTATGTTTTAATTTAGACTAGTAAATGTTAAATATTATATATGTTTTTTTTATTTGAGATCACATAAAGTAATTTCAAATGTTTATCCACTGTGTAAGCTCAATTATTACACATGTTTGTGTTTTATTAAATTTATAACCGTTTTTTAAGCCTCTATAAAAAATTTTAAATACTTCTTTTTTTAACAAATAAATTAAAAATAAAAATTTAGAAAAGAAGAAAATGATGAGTTTTAGTACAGAGAGCCTTTAATAGACGTTAATTTAGAAAATAAAAGAAACAAATAAAACGATTTATTTGGTAGAATAATATTTTTATCGAACAAAGTTTCGTAAGTACATGACAAGTTTTTACAAAAAATCAAATAAAAAAAATGTTATTAAATTGCGTCACTTATATAATATTTCTCAAAAAATTACTTTGTACAAATATTATCTGACGAAAAAGAAGGAAACTTTGTTTGGAAAAAAGAAAGAAGCAATTGTTAAATTTTTGCTTAAAGTTTTTAAATATATTTTTTTAAAAATTTTAATATTAACTTCATTTAATTAAGGTTACGTGCACAAGGCATTTATAAAAAAAAAATTCATAACTAAAGAATCAAATTATTTATTAAAAGTATAAAAAATGTCACAGTTAGAAGAAGTTTCACTTATTCTGACCTCAAATTAAAATTTTATAAAACTTTTTTATTAAAATCAAATATAAGAGGAGGCGAAGAAAAAGTTCTTTATACTTTTTTTTATATTTTATGTGGGAAAACTTGGTTTATAATAATTGTTTAATCCAAAAAAATAATTAGAGATTGAGTATTTTTAAAAAAATAATAAAAAAGTATATAAACAATAAAAGTATTTAGCTAAGCCTTTTAATTAGCTTCTTATTTTTCTTATTCATATTATATCAATTTCTTTAACAATTATCAAATTGTTATCTTCTGCAGCCAATTTTACCTTATTGAATTGCAATATTTCCACAATAATATAACTATAGTATTTAAATGTTCATGAAGTGGCATTCTTCTTGTTTGGATTCTATTGTCAACGTCTGGCTTAATAAGAACTCTATTATTAAGTTATAGGAAAGAAAATCATTTCGCCATCTACTCATTTCATCATAAGATCTGCAGCTTATTTTGTAGATAATCTTAGTTTTTTCACGTATAACCAAATTTTCCATAGAATTATCAACAGTTATGTTGTCTATCTCTTGTTCTTCTATAAATTCTGGCATTAATTTTTCCAAATTTAAATTTAATAAAATATTTTCTTCTTCCTCTATACATTCGATTTTAAATACTTGTTAGAATCGTTAATTTTTAAAAGTATAGAATTTATTTGATTATAGCCATCAACACCCTTATACTTAAACCCAATATTAAAAAATGGTGTATTAGACGTTGTAAAGTGACAAAGCTTATTATAAGAATAGGTTACATCTTTTCTCACCGACATCCATTTACCTGTGGCATCCTATTGTCATTAGCATAGAGCCAATCATTCATTTTATTGTTTGAATGGCTCTTTCTAGCTGTCCCTGGATCCAAATATATCTGGAACGACTTCTAGCATGTCTTACATCAAAAGTAGAAAACACATTAGACATGAAATCATTGCAAAATTCTCTTCCATTATCTGTATGTAAAAGAAAGCAGTGCCCACTTGACATAAAAATAGGTCTAATTGCAGAAATTACAGATGAAGCGACTTTAACTCGAAAAGGAACTGTCCATATAAACTTAGAAAATGAGTCTATGACGACAAGCATCAACATATACCCATCATTTACTTTTCTAAAATCTGTTAGATCGGCAATATATCGTTTTATGGGAAGTCTGGCAATAATGGGTCTTATAACATGTCTTGTAATCATCTCTTTTCGCGATCGACAAATTTCACAGGAACTCAGTACTTCAAAACCCTCATCTCGCAAAACTCCATATATTATTGATTTACATAAATTATATAGCCTGTCTCAAACAGCATGTCCATTACTAACATAAATCAACTTTGTCGAGGTATAATAATGTTGCACATTATTGTATAAATTTTTATTATTTTCTACCCCATGCAGGAAGAAAGCAAAATTAGTAAAAGTGTTATTGATAAATTTAATTTAATCTTTTTAAAATCTTTCCTTTTCTAGAGTATAAAATTTTATATATCGATCATTTCCTAGTTTAAATTTAAATTTTCTCGTTTCTTCAACAATACGAAATTTTTTTGCTCTTTTTTTAAACACTTTTTTTTGTTGTCGAGTTTAAATTCAGCAGAAAATGTGTTGTAAATACATAAAGTTGAAAATTTCTTCTCTTTAAAAATTATTCGATTGTATTTTAACATAGGGATTAATATAACATAAAATATTATATAAAAAATCCATATTTGTAAATAAAATAAAAACAAAAAGTTTATTGTTAAAAAATAAAAATCAGCAAAAGAAGAAATACTACGAGGCCACCAAAAGCTCCACTGTAAAAAAAAAACACCAGTAGCGCGCTTACACGCCAGCATACCTTTACGGCCTTGCTTATAGGAGAAAAAAGCATTACCTTAGAATACAGAATCCTCGGCCTACTTAAAGACCGTCTCTCATCTTATAAAAGTACTCACTCTGCAGACTTCTCTGCTTGCTCTCGTTTTGCCCACCACAACCCTTCATACTTGTATAAAATAACAAATTTAGTTCATTTTAAAATTATTACTTATTTTATGTATACGTTATAATTGTTTCTATGTCTAAAGATTTAAAACCCAGCGGGGTCCAATAGGACTGCAACAAAAATTTCACAGAATAATAACCCACAAGCAACAAACAAAAAAATATTAAAATTATAAAAATTAGTTTGCAATTTTTTTAGTAGAAACATATGATAAGAAAATTCATTTTATAAAGATATTTTTTTATTTTATTTGATTACGACATGTCAAGATTGGGGTTAAAAATATAACAAATATTAATAATTGTACAATATCAAAATTTTCAAGTTTTTTAAACTATTTTATTCAAAAAAACAACACACTATTAAAAAAAAGTTTTATTTTTTATTTAACCATTAATTGCACTTTGAAGATTAATAAAACCCGTAGTAAACGACATAGAAGAATATTCTACGTCTATACAGATAGCTAAGATGAGATTTCGGTATGAATTGGGCGTAAATGTCAACTTAACAATAAAACCATCATCCAAATCTTCTCGGTCAAAAGGTAAACGCGTTTGTAAGTTGCTTCTAACATCAACGCTATTTACTTTTTTAGAATCGTAATCTTCCATTTTAATTCTAATATCTAAGCGACAGCTAAAACTTAATTTTTGACAATGGTCAAAAATCTCGTATATATCAAACTTTACACTATTATCCACAGCAAATCTGCAAATATTAAGGATATCTGTAACAATACCATGGGTTATTGCTATAAATCTTGAATCTTTTTTGCAAGAAGAAAATACCCCTCTTTTTCCCTCTAAAGTGGGCATAAATTTACCTAAATTTATAGAACACCAAATATATCCGATTTCTGAAACAGTTTTTTCTAAATAATTTTTTGGGTTTTTTTCAATTTCAATCAGATCTTTAAAACAGCAAATCACAGGTTTTAAAATTGAAAGATTCTCCTTTAACAATAAAAAAAGTTTACCCTTGTATGTATTACCTAGTTTTGTGGTGGAAAGTGTAAGTAAATTATTTAACTCCTTAATACATTTCTTTTTATCTTCATCAGAAAGCTTAATAATATGCTTTTCTATTAAATCTTCAAAAAATACAGTATATCCAAATGCACCATTATTAAAATCTGCTTCATACGAAGAAACATTACTTGAAAAAGGACGTATAAATATTGGTATCCTAAAATAATTAAAATTTTTATCCATGCCTAGATTTATTTTTATTACTTCTCCGCGCTTTAACAATTCTTTCATCCGGGTACCATCGACAGATATCGTAATTTTTTCAGAAATAAAAGGATAAGTACCAAATTCTTCATTAATACCATCGCTTATATTAACTTGATTTTTCCACTTTTTTAAACTTTCTAGTTCAATAATATACTCTACTGCCCCGCCCTCTTTAGTAACTGTAGACTTTAACGGTTGTTTTATAATTTCTTTTTTTACATCATCATTTATGACTTTATAAAATATAAAACGAACTTGTTTTTCATCACTGTAGATATATCTAGCAGAACACGAGTATTGCAACTGAAAATTACTGTCACTGACTAGAGCATTTTTAGCTAATGCAGTTAAACAAGTTTTTATAAAGAACAACCCTAACATGGTATCTAAAAAATCTTTTTTTTTATAATAAATGCGTAATTAATTAATAATTTAACAATTGATCAATATTTAAATAAAGAATATAAATACCGAAAAAATGTCGACAAAGAACTTTATATCTCGTTTTAATTTACCAAATTGTTTAAAAATATATTGACAGTTGTAAGTTATAATTTAGCTTTGTCTTGTAAAATTAAACAAAAGAAAACTGCGGATACTTAAATAATGACTATCATTACAACTCATTAATGGTTTTAATTGAACAACTAATGTCAAAATTCAAACTATAATAATTAAAATTAGAATTTAAAATAATCTTAAATTTAGATTTTATAGACATTAAGATTTTAATAATTAGCTATCAATTTAGGATTTGTTTATACTAAATAAACAAAATAATTAAAGTTTTTTATTATTGAGTGAATTTTGGTATAAACGTTAAATTAAATGCATATAAACAAGCTTAATTTACACCAAACTATATTAAACATGACTAATATTGTTTTTTATTTATTGTGGAGTTTAAACATTATAGCAAAACAAAAACAAAACATTTTCTAATTTTAAGTAACGTGCAAAGTGTCATGATGCAACTAGCACATGACTACACTTTTAATTTATTTGTTTACATTTAATCTAATTTCGTAATCATTGTTATAAAAGAGACAGTAAATTTGCTATTTAAATCCTATACATGTAGTTTTAACATTTAAATTGAACAACTATTCATTTGTTTGTTAATTTTAATCTATTCTAATCTATGAATACATTTTTTTCTGGAACCCTAAGAATAAGGAAAACAAGCTATGTAAGCCCCCAATAAACGATTTTAATCCAAAAGCTTTTTTAAATATAACACAAAGATATTTATATTAAGTTATTTATTCAAAAACAATAGAGTTTAAAATATAATAAAAATATATTTTAGAGCTCAAGTACTTTAATTTCCACATTTTAGCTTGTCTATTAAAAATTTTTAGCCCAAAGATCAAAATTAAAGAAAGAGCATAAAAACATGAACAAAAAATCCATATTTTATGTTCCTAAAAGTAAATTTACTATTTAAATTATATTTTTTAAAAAAATAAACATAAATAAATACACTTTAGAATTACTTTTAATAATTTTTAAACTACATCAGGTTGATTATTTCTTTTAAATGCTAAGAGCTCCAAAAAATAGCTTGTATCTCTCTCATTATGATGTTTTATAGGCACATTCGTCTTAACTTTAGCCTAGGTACCTTCTATTGTATTAGTATGAACACCTGTAACATTGTCTACAGAATTAATAATATGATAAACTGAATGGTGTAAATAAACTTCTTTAAGCAAATTGCAATAACCTTTCCAACAAATTGAATAAATAATACTACCACGAAGAATACATTTTCAAATTACATTAAATTAATTTCTGATTTTTTATTTTTATAAGACTATACGTATTACATTGATCATTCTGCCATATTTAATACATAAACTCTTTCAATTATATAGCCTTAATAGTATCTACAATTGCCAAACATGGATTCATCTATTTCGATCATCACTCCAGAGACACCTATTTTTACGCTACCTGAAATAAATCTTTCTGTTTTTTTCGTAATACGGTCTATACTTCTTTTGCTTAAACATGCCAAAAAATTTACAATCTTATATCTAGCATTATTTATGTATAAAAAAATTATTTGTGCTATCTGTAATCAAAATATTTTTGCATTATGGAAAGATTTGGTTTTAATAAAGAAAATCCTTTCTACAACCTTGTCTAGTATATCTCACCATGTTTAAAACTTCTTCCTAAATGATAACTTACATAAACAAAACTTACAAAAGCGTCCTCGTAGAACCTCATTATAAAGTACTATGAAAAAAGATTTAACTTATTCATACTTCTCCTTCATTTCGGTTAAAAAAATTTAAATTGCAAGCTAAAATGTCTGGAGACAAAGTATGCTTTAGCATTTATGAAAAAAAGGATGCAAAATTGCACAAATTTTAATGTACCCGATTCAATTTTTATCCCTTTTTTTTAAATGCTAAACAACGAGATGAGTATAAAATTATAGCAAATACATTAAATCTTGTATTACAGGCAACGGATGCTAAAATGTGGTAAAAACATTAAAGTATACAGTTTTACAATGGTGAGATGCTCTAATAAGATCTGTAGTTATAGTATAGTATTTATAAAAAACAATTTTTAATTATTCTAGATTAAATGTTCTTACATTTTAAAATTGTAGATCTATGTTAAATTTCGTTTCTTTAACTATTTTTGCTAGATTCACGAGTGTTAGTGTTGAAAAAATCGAAATTACCATTAGCAGGTTTAATCGTCATGTTATTTTTTACAGTTACTTAGAATCACTTAAACTTGGAGGTAAAGATAATATAGTGGAAATAAACGAAAGTGAATGTGGCAAACGAAAATACAATCGTGGCCATCGAGTAGAAGGGGTACGGGTTTATGGCGCTATAGAACGATCTACACGTAGAATATTAATTATGTTTGTTGAATGTAAACTAAAACCATTCTCCTGCCTATAAAAAAAATATGTTCATTTTTATATCATCATCTATTCTGATTGTTCGAGAGCATACTATGATCTTAATTTATCTTTTTTTAAGCATCTAATTGTTAATCACAGCATTGAATTTGTTAATCAATTTAGTAATGAACATACCAATACTATTGAAATTAATTTGTATGAAATTAAGAGAAACATACATATAAGAATCCGTACAAAAAAATTAATTAATACTTACTTTTTGCGATTCATGCTTAATAGAAATAATAGTAATTTTGTATTAAAGGATATATTAATTCATTTTTTTATTCACAAATATTAAAAATAAAAATATTTAATTTACAAACCTTTAAAAGCAAGTTCATTTTACTTAAAATAAATGCATTTACAGTACTAAGCATAGTTTCATATTCCTCCTCGTTGTTTAGGATTTTAAAATAAAGGTTAACAAATTTTAATCAGAGGTTAGTAAAATTTGTGCAATTTTGCATCAATTTAGCCAATAAAATTTAAATAATAATGTTATTATGTTCTAAAATCTTTATCCTACAATAGGCAGAAAACAAAAACATTTAAAAATAACATTAAAATACAGGACCAACTTCTATCCTAACACCACAATTATGCTAGAGAAATTCTTAAGACATCTCAGATCCTTTAAACTCATGTCAATTCTTAAATGAGAAAAATCTGTTTATCTAAATAAATTAAATTTGGGTTAGAGTATAAAATTACATGAGAATTTTTTCATACAATGTTTATAAATCAATTAATTATAAAGAATACCGATTCAATCTTGCCTACTTAAAACAAAGCTTTTACATAATGTATGTTTTTTCTTTAAGTGTATATAATGTTTCTTATGTAAGCTTTTATGGTAAAAATCTTTATTTGATGTTTAACTTTAATTTAATTTTTACGATGGTATACTTTTCCCAATAAATTTATCTAATTACAACATTAAAAAAATAAATATTAACAATATTTTGTTTTAATCAGATAAATTACAACAATGTTACTACTTTAAATAAAAAGTCTGCAAAAAATTTTTAAATTAAAAAAAAAAGATTTAATATATGAATTTTTTTTATTATATTTTTATGATATAAAATAAATAGAAGTAGAAAATAATGGTAGTAAACAAAATTTAATTGTGTTAACAAATAAAAATGATACTAATTTGTGCCTGTATGTAGTATTGACATAACAAGGCTGATGCGCTGTGGTGCAAAAAAGTTTTCTAGTAAACAGATATCTTGGGCGATATTCAAATTATTCAAATGTGTTTTAATTAACATTTAATTGGTGTTTACGTGTTTTTGTTTTCGCCTGCTTTCTACATTTATTCTTACCTTTACATTTAAAATTTATATTAAAATAAATACAAATTGTTTTTTTGAATAATAAGAAAACAATGTTCATAAATATCACAAGTATGCTAATTAAAAAATAAAATATAATTAGATATGCTTTGTCTAGATTTTTTAATTTTCTTAGGTACTCTTGGCTAAAAGTAAAACAGTTTATTAAATAATTGTGATTTTGTGGCAACATCAATAATCAAATAATGTTTAATGTATTCATTTAAACATTTTGCTATTGAGTTGCTAATAACGATTGCCAGATTTAAAAAAATTATTAAAATCATTTTTTTCGAGTTTATGTGTTTGTAGCATCTTAGTTATTTATATTTAACATGTAATAGGCGTTTTTTTGATAAATAGCTCAAGCAATTCGGCACGAACATTATTAAAGTAAAAAAATTGACAAAATGTTAAATTTTTGTGTAGATGTAGTTTTACGACAATGATAGGTATATTAATTTGTCATTTATTAAAAATAAAAGCTTTTTTACAGCTTTGTTAAAATAATAAAAATGCATTTAAAATTTTGACTGCCATATTAAAACAATATATATAATAATATATATATAAAAGTTTATTGTTAAAAAAATGAAAATCAGCAAAAGAAGAAATCACCAGGCCACCAAAAACTTCACTGTAAAAACAAAACATCAATATTGCGCTTACACGCCATCATACTACCTTTACGGTCTTGCTTTTAAGAGAAAAAAGCGTTTTCTTAAAATATAAAATCCTTCGGTTTAGTTAAAGCCCACCTCTGACCTTAAGCGGGTGTACAGAACAACATCGCCTGGTTTCTAAATTAGAAACAATATTTTTTGTGGTAGTTTCATAAAGAGTTTCCCTACTACATATTGTCTGGAGGTCAGTTGCATAACCCTTTTACCTATGTTTTCTTCTGAATGATCTTTTACAATCATTTCAAAATTGTTTTCTGGTGACAAAATGAACACCGCCTGAATTAATTTTTTGTAAAATTTTTATTTTACATTTTTGATCTTTTAGCTTACTATAAAAGAGACCCAAGTATTCCTGTTTAGTTAAAATCAACTCATAGGAGCTAGAAATGTATTTTTTAAGATCATCTAGATCCTGTTTTTTTCCCGATCTGTCAAGAAAATCATTTTTTTAATTCTTTCAAAAAGAATTTTTAATTTCTTGAGAGAATATTGTAACTCTCCATATTTCTTGTAGCACACACTAGGAGTGCTACCATTAGCATAAACATGCTTACTATTGTCTTTTAGAAACATCTCTGTATCTAAATTGTTATTTTGGGCATCAAAGTACTCACTTTGCATACTTCTCTGCTCGCTCTTGTTTTTGCTTACCACAATCGTTTATTTTTTAATTAAGAATTTTTAAAAAACAACACAGTTCTAGCAGGTATTGGCTGCTCTTATTAGTAAATGCTAAAATGGTGGTTAACTAATTTTACAGATAAATATTTTACATGCAACAAATAAATATATTTTTTTTAGACCACCAGGTAAATAATTTTTAAACTAAAAAAATTTGTTTTGCAATTTAATTAATTAAAATACATTAAATCAAATTCTATCCAACAAAAATACTTTTTCATTTGTTTTGTGTACTACACGTCAAGATTGAAGTTTAAAATATTACAAATATTTATAAATGTATGACACCGAGAATGTCAAATTTTCTAAAATGTTTCATTCACAAAAAATAACACACAATAATATAAATAGTTTACTAACAAAGTTCACCGTTAATTGCACTATGGAGATTAATAAAATCTGTAGTAAACGGCATAGAAGAATACATTACGTCTACACAGATAGCAGAAATAGGACGTTGACCTAGACCAGGATTAAATAACACTTTAATGATAAAACCATCTCTTAACTCTTCACATTCGTAAAATAAACGCATATTTGAGTTGGTTCTTACATTAGCGCTTTCAAATTTTTCAGGATCATAATTTCTCATCCTAATTCTAATATCTAAGCAACAACTAAATTTTAATTTTTCATAATGATCAAAAACCTCGTATACATCAAACTTAACACGATTGTCGACAGCATATCTACAAATATTGAGGATATCTGTAATAACACCATGACTTATTGCTATAGATTTTAAATCTGTTACTGTTCCTGAAGGATAAAGTGAACCTACTTCTTTCTCTAAAATAGGCATAAATTTACCTAAATTTATAGAACTCAAAATATTTTCCATTTCAAAAATAGTTTCTTCTAAAAACTCCTTTGGGTTTTTTTCAACTTCAATCAAATCTTTAAAACAACGAATCACAGGTTTTAGAAGAGAAAGATTTTCTTCTAACAGTAAAAATAGTTTACCCTTGTATGTATCAGCTAGTTTCTCGGAGGAAAGTGTAAGTAAATTATTTAACTCTTTAATGCATTTCTTTTTATCCTCATCAGAAAGCTTAATAATATGCTTTTCTATTAAATCTTCAAAAAAAATAGTATATCCAGGCGCGCCATTCTCGAAGGTTGCTTCATACGAAGAAACAAAGCTAAGATATGAACGCAGAGCTATCGGTACTCTAAAATAATTAAAATCTTTATCCATTCCTAGATTCATTTTTATTATTTCTCCGCGATCTATTAATTCTTTCATCCACCTACTATCAACAGAAATCGTGATTTTTTCAGAAATTAAAGGATAAATACTAGACTCACTACCAATACAGTCTAAATCATAAAATCGAGTCTTTCGCTTACTAAAAGTTTCTAGTTCAATACTATACTCTATTGCCCCACCCTCTTTAGTAATTGTAGATTTTAAAGGTTGCTTTAAAATTTCTTTTTTTACATCATCATTTATGACCTTGTAAAATATAAAACGAACCGGTTTTTCATCAGTGTAGATATATCTGGCAGTGCACGAATACTGCAATTGGGTACAATTATCATGAACTGGAGCCATTTTTTTAAATGCAGCCAAACAAACTTTTATGAAAAACAACCCTAACATGGTATCTAAAAAATTTATCTTTTTATAGTAAATGTGCAATTAATTAATAATTTAACAACTGATCAATATTTAAGTAAAAGAATTAAATACCGAAAAAGTGTTGACAAAGAACTTTATATCCCAATTTTAATTTACCAAATTATTTTAAAATATATTGACAGTTGTAACGTTATAATTTAAAATTTATCTTTGTCTTGTAAAATTAAACAATAAAAAAATTACGGATATTAAAATAATGACTACTATTTCAACTCATTAATGGTTTTAAATTGTTCAATTAATGTCAAATTCAAATTATAATAAATTTAATAAAATTAGGATCTAAAATAATTTTAAATTTAAATTTTATATTTAATAATTTGCTATCAATTTAACAATTTGTTTTTACTAAACAAACAAAATAATTAAAGTTTTTATTGCAGAGTGAATTTTGATATAAACGTCAAATCGAATTCATACAGGCAAGTTTATTATAAACATGATTAATATTGTTTTTTATTTATTGTAGCGTAATTAATATTGTAGCAAAACAAAAGTAAAACATTTTTTAATTTCTTAACACGTGCCAAGGTATTTGCTTTAAGTTACTCATTCAAAATCAAAAGAGTTATAAATGTAATACAAATTTATTTTTATAATTTATGCATAAAGTTTAAAAACTATGTAAATTTATTTGTAAATGAAAATAACAATACCAGAATTAGACATTTAAAACATTAATAAGAAACCATTTTATATAATATAGTAAACTTAGAGAAATAATATAAATTTATTCTTGTATAATAAAACATATATCATTAAATTAAATATTTTTCTAATTTTAATTCAATAATTCGATATTACGATTTATTAATTCGCATGGTTTAATTAAAGAATTCGAAAGTAAATTTATAAGCTGAATTTACCTTGCAATCATAATTATAAAAAAATTGTTTTTAAAACTATATTTGGTATTTTTTATATGTGCTAAAACATATTAAATATTGGCTTTGTAGCACCTCTCAAGTCAATAAAAAGTTTTGCAGCTAATTCTACTCTTTTTATACTTAAGCTCTGTAAATCAATAATTTCTAACTGTTCTTACTGTGTAAATTAGAAAAAAGAATTGCATAAACTAAAAGTTTATTATTATCAAATGTCTTTAAGAAAACACTTTGACATATAATATGTTCTATTCTGTCTACAGAGATTTCTCTTTTTTATTTGACATAAAACAATGATTTTTTGCTGATGGATAATCTCAATTTATATTAGCTAGGATTTATTAAACTTAAAATAAAGTAAACTAATTAAGTTGTATTTGTTATATATGTAGCCTTATTTTATATTTTTTCAATAATGACTAATAGCTATATATATTGATAAAGCAGATTTTAAAAACTTGTTGAAATAGTTAATTTATAATAAAAAATTTATTTCTTGTTTACTTTAAAGATATTTTCTTACAATTGCCAATATATGTTTAAATATAAATTTAAAATAGCTTTTTTTATATGCATGAATTCATATATAACACAAAAGATTATAAAATAACTGTATATCTTAAAAACCCTAATGGAAAAAATATAACAGTTAAAAATTGTTTTGAAATACAAAGTTCAAAAATAATAAATCTCAATGGATTCAAAACATCTGGAAATCTATATTTTCCGGATGTTAAGCTGCAAAATTTTGATAACCAAATACATCTGTTAATTATTGAAAAGTTTAACAAGAAAAATCTAAGGAATGTTTTAAATAAGCTTTTACCTACAGTATTTGACATTAAACATATAAAAAGAAAAAACTTTAGCTACTTTTTGTATTTAAATCGATATTTAATTCTTGATTTAGCAAAAAAAATATTAGGAAATCATAAGATTATAAAGAATATGTGGAATAAAATAATAGATGCAGAAAATAAAGATAATTTTTATCAGTTACAGAAAAATACAATTTACAGTACAAATAATAAATATATTAACAATCTTACAGACGAAGATTTTTTAGACAACGATTTTGGTATTTCTATTTTAGAAGTGGAAAAAGAAATATCATCTAGTGAGTTTATTATAATATCTGATGATTTTATAGATTTTTAATATCCCTAAATCGATGAGTACACCACTTGGATATAATTTGCTGATAGAAAATTATTCAAGCGAAATAATAAAATGCATAGAAAATTCTAAACATGTGCTTATTAAAGGACCTACAGGATGTGGAAAATCTACCTATATTCCTTTATTACTAAATAATAATAAACATAAAATTGCTGTTATAGAACCAAGAAGAATAGCTGTTATGTCTTTATATTCTACACTTTTTAAAGTTACAAAGAATGTTGGTTATAAAATGCGATTTAATAAAAAAATTAAACACGATGATAAAATTATTATTTTCACTGATGGTGCTTTTTTACACGAAGGAATAGATTCTAATTATGATTACATCATTTTAGATGAAGTCCACGAAAGATCTATAAGAATGGATATGATACTTTGTTTGTTAAAACAAACAAAATCCAAAGTAATTTTAATGAGTGCTACAGTTGATACAAAAAGAATTATGAATTATTTTGATGCAAAACTTTTTGAAATTCCAGGAGAATCCTATCCTTGCGATATTATATATTCTGAATCTTCTGTTAGTGATTATATTTTAGAATCATACAATATTATTAAAGAAATAGTAATGAGTAAGGATGTAAAAAACTTATCTAGGAATAATAGCATAGCTTGGCTAGACAAGTCGAATAAAAATAAAGATTGTTATACAATTAATAACAATAGAGATATTTTGGTTTTTTTAACGGGAGAAGAAGATATTAACGATTTGTTTGTTTTACTAAAAAAAATACTAGATATTAAAGTTTATAAAATTTTTTCAAGTTTAAATGATGAAGAACAATTAAAAATTTACCAAAAGTCTACCATTCGAAAAGTTATTTTGAGTACAAATATTTGCGAGACCTCCTTAACTATTCCCGGCATAAAATACGTTATAGATTGCGGTCTTGTTAAAAATAAAATTTTTGATGGTATTAATTATTTTGGAATAGTGCCTATTTCTAAAGAATCGGCAGATCAGAGACTGGGTAGATGTAATAGAATAGGGCCCGGTATATGTTATAGATTATTTACCGAAGAAATGTATAATAATTTATCTAATTTGACACCAGAGATATTAATAGCAAATTTATCTAAACCTATTCTTCAGCTTATACATAAAAAAATAGATATTTTTAACTTTTCTTTTTTAGATTATCCTACACAACTTAATGTATTTAGATCCTTAGAATTTTTATACAATAAAAAGCTTATTAATGAAAATATGCAAATTACCAAGCAAGGGATAAGAATTTTAAGATATCCTTTTGAACTTAATTTAAGTTGTTTTTATGATGACTGTATAAATAGTGGACTAGGATACTATGGTTCTATGCTTGTTTCAATGATAAGTATCGACAATTATAATTTTATAAAAAATTTAGATATGGTACAAGGTAAAAATATAGACAAAGAGATGTTTACAACTGATATCAAATATTTAATTAATATTTTTTCTAATTTTTTGAACGCTAAGGATAAAAAAGAGTTTTGTAAGATTAATGAAATTTCTTTAAAGAATCTTGATAAAGCGTATAAAATATTTAAAGGACTCAATAAAAACAAAAATGGCAATGTTGACTTATTAGAAAAAATTTTTAGTAAATCATTTGACTATAATTTGTCAGTTAGAGAACAAGATGGTTCTTATAAGCATGTTGCATCGGGTAGAAAATTATATATTCATCCTACAAGTAATTTTTTTAAGAAAAATATTAAAAAAATAGTATTTGTAGATGTTTTATGTACCACTAAAGAATACGTTAGAATTGTAGGTAAATATTTATAATTTAATTTTTAAAAAAAATATTAAAAAAATAGTATTTGTAGATGTTTTATGTACCACTAAAGAATACATTAGAATTGTAGGTAAATATTTATAATTTAATTTTTAAAAAAAATAAATTTTATTTATTAACATAAACCATTTCTAAATCTGTGTAATTTTTTGGGAATGATGTACCATCCCCTACTGAAGACATAACAGGTGTAAACCAATCCCGGCTTTTAACACCAAAAACTTGTATCCAATTTTCTTTTAATGATAAATTATATGGATTTAAAATTTTTCTATCTTTACTGTTACTGTAATTTGCAATAGGTCCTTCTTGAAAAATATTAATGTATCTATGATCTCCCAAAATATAAGCATTTAATGCTTTAAATTCGATAGTAGTTTCATTTCTCGAAATAGCTATTGTATGAAATACTAAGTAAAACGAAATTAGTAGCATAAAACTGCCTAAAAGGGCAATAGAGACAATATAATTAACTTTTAGAGAAGTGATTATTTCTTTATTTAATTGTAAAGATATCACTATAATAAAAAATAATGCTGTAAATACATTTAAAAAAAGAAATTGATAAAAATATTTGTAGTTATGAAATCCTATGCACGTGTCTAAAAAGGCACAATGATGATCATATTTTAAATAACATCTGTTACAAAGCGAACAGTGATGTGTTCGCGGTGGCTTATACGTTCTACAAATTGAACAATTTTTAAGTTTCTGTACATTCTTTAAAATAATCTCTTCTTCACAAAATATGTTTACACCCTTTAAATCTAATTTTTGATTAGTATCTGTTATAACAGGAAATATTTCTATAGTGCTCTTACCTTCATTAATTAATAGTTTCATATAAAAAATAACCTTAGTTGTAGCTAATAAATGGTAGAAAAAAAATATTAAGAGGGTACTCCAGCCATCAAATTTTTTTTGTTCTAAACAATATAAACCTATAAGAACAAAATATGCATAAAGTTGTAACATTGGGTACAGAGTGAACTGGATAACTCTAAAAATATCTTTAAGAAATAAACGCAAATCCATGGGGTACATAAAAACACTAAAAACATGATATCTACTGATTTTTAGAATAACAAACAAACAGTTTTTTATTATACTTTTTAAATAGCATTAGTAAATAAATTTTAGGGCTGGGAAATCGGAATTTAAACAATTTGAAAGTGTAATTTCATAAATATAAAGTTTAAATTTCAGAAATTTATGTTGAATATCATGTAATAGTAGTAATTCTTCTATGTCATTTAAAAAAACTTCATAATTGAAGTTAATCATTAAAGATTCGTCTATAAAACATTTAAAGGATTTAAAAAGCAGCAAAAGTGCAAAATTCCGGTCGAAAGGTTGTGCATTTAGATTATAAGAAGATATTAAAAAATCCGAAGTGAAATATATATCTTTTAAATCAATGATTAATATTTTGTTACAGATTGAAAATGTAAACACTTCATAAATTAATTTTAACTTAATAATATCAGGCGCTTTTTCAAAACAATCTTCAAAACTAATTAAAAATTCATCTTTGCGTCTTGATATAAGATTAAAAGATGTATTCTCTGTGTTTTGTAACAAATTTTCAGTATCACATTTTATGGCTTTGTTGTAAGAAGTCGAACATTTCAAGACTTTTTTATAAAAATTCAAATTTTTCAATTCAAGTGTTGCATCAAAATCGCACAACATTTTTTTAAAATATTTTTTTCGGAAACAATCCATCAAATTAATATAACTTAGGCTATATTGTACATTAGAAAAACACTTTTGATTGTTTTTAAATCTTTTTACAATATCATGTTTACTATGTTCTTCCTTTTTACGTTTATAAAGTTCTAATTGTGTGTTTAAGCTTCCTATTTTTTTCATTTTATAAAATTGCATTCTAAATTCTTCAAAAGAAAAACCTTTAGAATATATTTTCGTATCGTAAAAATATTCAATACGAATTTCGTTCCATATTTTACCTAGTGCTAAAAACCCTGTTGGATTTAAGTACCTGTATGCCTCTTTATATTTAGCAGGGCTTATTTCACAATACAATTCTAGTTCTTTTTTTAGAATACAGTCATCGTACACACCATTATTAATAGCATCTTCTAGAATAAATACCGATATGTCAGTTTTGCCTTTAAGTGCAAAAAATTTTGATAGCTCCAAATACAGCCAATGATAATCTGCAGAAATTTTTTTATATTTCATTAAAAATAAGATTTTTACATCACAGTCATGATTGTAGAAATACTGCTGCCATTTTGTAATATAGTCAGGATTATTTCTAAAATATTTAATATCTATTTTTTCTAATAATAGTTTTTCTGTGCACTCTAAATTTACTTCTTCGCAACCATTTAAATTTGTATTCTCTGCTAAATTTTCGTTATTAAAAATATTTTTTATATCTTTAAAATCACTAGACATATTATGGGTTTATTTAAATTCTTTTTTACCCTTCATATGAATAAACTTACAGATCTAAAAGCTTTTGAATCTGATATAAATTACAATACTGATACCGAACTTATTCACAAATTTATTGTTTTTTTTAATGAAAATAATGAACACACATATTTGGAACAGATTCGTGAGCACAAACAGTGTATAAAAGTAAATTTAGACGATCTTTCTATTTTTGATGAAACTGGTATTGTAGAGAGAATTGAAATGAATGCATTCTCTTATTTAAATTTATTTTACAAAGTTATTGATAACATTTTATTCACAGAAGGTGATTATTTAATTGGAGATAATGACGAAGATGTATTTTTTTATCACCGAATATCTAGATTTAAAGAAAAGTTTCCTGATAAACAGGTTACTGACTTTTTACCGTCATTTTTACTTAGAAACTATTTTTTAAATTTGATACCTAGAACACATTCTAAAATTATGACTGTCCGACAGATAAAATCAGAGAATATTGGTTCTTTAATAAAAGTAAGTGGTGTTGTTACTAAAATTAGTCAAGTTAAACCAAGTATAAAAGTTGCTACATATATTTGCGAGAGTTGTGGTTCTGAAATATTTCAACAAATAGAAGGAGATGTTTTTGATTTGTTAGAAGAGTGTTCTAGTGATAAATGTCGAATTAAGAAAGTTAAAGGGACTTTAATTTTAGTGACAAGAGGAAGTAAATTTTTGAAATTTCAAAGTCTAGTGATACAAGAATTGACGGGAGATGTTCCTCATGGATGCATACCTAGGATGATAAAAATTGAGTGTTATGGAACAACAACTGAAAAATGTTTACCAGGAGATGTTGTTGTCGTTGGAGGAATTTTTATGCCTAAGCCTTATTATGGACTAAAAAAACTCAAGGCTGGTTTACTTACTGATACATATATTCTAGCTACAGATATCCAAACAACCAAAATGGAATTTAATAAAGACATCAGTAACATTGTTAACTTTCAAATAAATCACCTTGTAAAAAGCATTGCTCCCGAAATTTTTGGGATGGAGGATGTTAAAAAAATTTTATTGTTAATGATGGTGGGAGCGCAAACTAAAACGAAAAAAGATGGTATGAAAATACGTGGAGATATAAATGTTTTGTTGTTGGGAGATCCTGGAATTGCAAAAAGTCAGTTATTAAAAACAGTCGTAAAAATTAGTAAACGGGGTATTTATACGACTGGACGTGGATCGAGTGGTGTAGGATTGACAGCCTCTGTTGCTAAAGATCCTATTACTAATGAAGTTATACTTGAAGGAGGTGCTTTAGTTTTGTCAGACATGGGTATCTGTTGTATTGATGAATTAGATAAAATGGGAGAATACGACAGAATTAGTATTCATGAAGTTATGGAACAACAGAGTGTTTCTATTAGCAAGGCGGGTATTAATACGACTTTAAATGCTAGGTGTTCAATATTGGGAGCGGCCAACCCCATAAAAGGAAAATACGATCCACGGTATAGCGTAGAATATAATGTTGGTTTACCTTGTTCTTTACTTTCTAGATTTGATATTTTAGTTGTGCTAAAAGATGATGCAGACTTAGAAAAAGATGAAGCTTTAGCCGAACATGTAACTTCTTTACATTTCAATGATGAAGAATCTACAAGTATTAATTACCGAGACATAAGAGAATTTATTGAAAAAGCCAAAACATTTAATCCTTGTATTCCCTCAAATTTATCGAAAAGATTTCTCGATGCGTACATTTTGGCGCGAAAAGAAAATGATTTTGTAACACCAAGGTATTTACTATCCCTTATAAGGCTTTCATTAGCACATGCAAGATGTAGGTTGTCTGATCAGGTTAATGACTATGATGTTGATGAAACATTACGATTAATGGAAGTTACTAAAATACCTACACAAACTAAAAAAGCAGAAAATGTACCGATTAAACGAAAGATCTATTTAATTATCATGTCTCTGATTTACAAAGAGGAAGACAATAAGAAATATGTAAAATTAGATGATTTATGGAGAGCAACAGATGGGTTTTACACTAAAAGTGAAGTAGAAGACGTCATAGCAGATTTTCAGAGCTGTGGTATATGGATGCGAAATAATGATGAGATTATTATTTTTGATTAAATTTTTATTTAAAAATATTATCATCATAATGTAATACTTGTGCTTACAAGAAAAACAATTGTTAATTGTTTTTTAATTATTCCGTATATAGACTTGTAGATCACCAGTCTAGATTTTATACTTTTTTATTTAATTCTAATATAGTTTTTTAAAAATTAATAAAATATTAATTTATAATTATTTATTAAAATTTTAGATTATTATAATTAAACTTTACAGTAAAAACATAAAATGTACCTTTTAATATTCAATGAGATTTAAAGGCAGACAAAGTTTAAACGTTGAGTAAAGATAAGACAAAGTCAAGACGTTAAGTTCAGTTTATGATATCTTTTAAAAGATAATTTTATTTTTCTCATTTGCTTTACATGTTTTTTTTCTTGCCGACGATTAAACAAAATTAAGTTTACATAAAAAATATATAAAAACAAATTTTATTTAAAAAGGTCAAATACTAAGCTAATAATTTTTGTAATGTTTATCTATACGATACGAACAAATTGTGCAAAGCATTGCTACTTATACACTTGGAAATCTTTATACAGACTTTTATTATAATCTAAATGAAAGCTATAAATCCAGTAAACAGTCTTATCGCCCCTTCAGTAATATTTATTTTTTTTATATACATCTAAAAGAGTTAGTTAATCAATATAATTAAATAAATATTTATTCCCCTTATTGTATGGCCATTTCAAATTTTGGTAATACCAACATTCTTACTGTAATCTGTGATATCTGTTTTTTATCCATAAAAGAAGAACCAATATTTCAATGTATACTGTGCAAAATCGATTTATGTATTTTTTGTTTTTACGATCGTCTAGAAATAAGTTCACACAAAAATTCGCACGAGTATCGTGTTTTTTTATGCACAAAAAAATTGAATAACGATTGGACGATTTTAGAAGAATTAATATTTTTTAATGGTTTAGGAAAATATGGCATAGGAAATTGGGAATCATTAAGTAAATCTGTTGGTACAAAAACACAAGAAGAAGTAGAATTATTTTTTTACAATTTATTTAATATTAAAAATAATATTATTACTAAAAATAAAGTATTTGAAAGAACTAGTAATCCTTTTAGAAGTAACATATCTATTTATATGAATAACAGACAAGATTTTGATGTAGAATTTATGAATGATTATGAAGAAATAATAAAAGACATGGAATTTACAGATAGTGATGAAGAAATAGATCTAAAAGCAAAAAATGCCATATTAAAAGGATATGGAAATATTTTGAGAATGAGAAAATATCGTAAAAAAATTATTATTGATAAACAGCTCATAGATGTAGAAAAAACTAAAAGTTTTGAGAAAAAGATGAGTAAATATGTAGATATAGACAAATATAAATTTATACTTGAATACCTTACCTTATCACAGTATAAAAATTTTATATATGGAATTTATAAAGAGAATTATTTAAATAAAATAGAAAAAAATGAAGACAATAAGATAGATTACGAATTTGTTTTGAGTCAAGCAGAAAAAAATTTTTGTAAGCAAGCACAAATTTCAAATAAATTATTTGATGAATTTAAAAATAAATTCGTAGAAGAAAAAATATTTAGAACAAGATCGTTTTCCGATGAAATTGAGAATATTATTTCTGACGATGAACACAAAAAATCACAGATTATAAACTTCTTTAATACACAAAAATATTTTAATTAAACATGTAATAAATTTATATAACTTTTATTTACATACTTTATAATAGCTTGCGTATTACGTATTAAATTACATTTTTGTAAATTAAAGTGTACTATTTATTTATTAAATCTGATTTTTTTGCTACCACACAATTAAATTAAAAATACAAAATAAGTTTTTTTATGTCATCTAAACAGTGTCTTTTTCATTGCGACACTTCATAGCCTTTTTCAAATCATTTTTATTAATTTTGTACTTTAAACTGTCGTAGATTTCTTTAATTGTTGATTTATCAACTGTAATTAATATAACTAAATTTTCAAGATATTTATAATTTGCTATAATTTGATAATCTCCAGTAAGTGTAACAGTTTGTATAAACTTTTTATTAAAGTTAATTAAATTTTTTTTCTGTGAAATTGAGAATTTAAGTTGAAAAATTTTCTGCTTAAGATTTTCATATGCAATATTGTAAATTTTTCTTATAAAATCTGTCTGTGGTTGTCCTTTGATTTTTTTAGATTCAAAAACCTCTTTTTTTAAATATTCAAGTACAAGAAGATCTGATTCGGGCCTATAAAACAATATTTGTCCAATAAATTGTTTAATACGGCCTTTACATTGATCAATCTCCCAATCTAATGCATTATTTATTAATTTATCAGATTTTTTTATAAAATTATCTAGCTTGTAATAATCATCCTTAAAACAATTTTTAATTCTTAATGTTATTTGTTGTATCTGATAAATTGCTTCTAATTTTTTTTGTATATCATCATAAACTACTTCTAAAAATTTACTTAAGTATTCACCATAAAATATACACATATCAGATATATCTTCTTCATTATAAAATGATACACTTCTAAAATAAAATGTATTAATTAAATACACTAACACGTTTATAATATAATTATAATCTTTAGAAAATACAATAGTTTCATTTTTATATACATACCTTGTTATACTTTTACTGCCATACACAAGTTTATTAAAAATTTCTATAAAATAAGCTCTTTCTTCATCAATGCACATTGCAGAATATTTATTAACAAATTCGTCATGAACTGCTTTACTACTAAAATTTACTGATACACTTTCTATAAAAATCCCTAAATTATAAATATTTTTATATGCACTTTCTACAGAAAATAAATATACAAAAGGAATAGTGCCTTGTAGAAAATTGTCTAAGTTTGGAAAAATAAGATCATCAAAGATCTTTATATTTATGATTTTGTATGCTTCTTCATAATTATTAAATATTTCAGATATATCTAGTAAATTTTCCTGATATGAAATCTTTAAATCATTAATAAAAACCAAAAAACTATTATTTTCTTCATCGTACAATTCAATGTCTATTTCATCACAATGTGGATGACTCATTGAATATTTTTTTTGAAATATTTCCATATCGTAAATATATGTTTGTAAAAGTGTGTGATTATTATCAAGTTCATCTAAAGCAGTAATAGCAGATTTCATCATCGTCTTGTTATTAATTTTTTTTGATTCTTCAAATACACTTAAAAGTTTATCTTGAATATCTTTAGATATTTTTAGTAAGTGTTCTTTCCTCTCTCCGCTAAAAAATTCCAGTGTATTTTTTAAGTAAAAACATAAAAAATTCCAATCATCTTTATCTTCACTTTTAATTAAAGCAGTTAAAACATTATAGTTATCTTTTTCAACTTCAATGGTATATCTTAAAACCCTGTTTAATAATTTAAGTTCAAAAATTTCTTTATTTCTTTGTAACACTATTTTGGTCTCTCCTAGTGAATCAAGTTTTAAAGATTTCAGTTGTTTATGCAGATCTAAAATTTGATTTTCATTTATTTTATCCTTTACAGCTCTAAGTTGACCTGACAATTTCTCTTGTTTAAAAAACAAGGCTTCTCGTAAACCCTCTACATCAGCTAACATTTCTTTTATTTCATTTAATGTTAGATTCATATCAGTTTTAGAAAGTGAAAGTGTACTCTCTATAAGATCTATACAAGAAAAGCCTTCTTCCTTTAATTGACTTATTTGAATAGACTTCATAAGGGCACAACTTTAGAAAAAAAATTAACATTAAATCTTAAAAAGTAAAAAATGATTAAATAAATTTTTTAATTCTTCCAATTATCACTAAATTCGGAAACTGCCTCTGTTGAAACAAGTGATGGTTCTATTCCCCAGCCTGCCTTGTTTCCAAATTCTTCTTGTTCATACAGCTCTTGCTCTCCAATTGTAATATTAGCATTTTCAATTATTTTCTGCTCCTCAACTAATTTTTCTAATTCAATAGGATCTCTATAAATAAATAATTCTACTTCTTTCATATTCTCATCTAATGGTTCTCCTGTTTTCATAAATCTAATTAATCTACTTAAAATAAATAATCCAGCAGAAATAGAAACTGGGGATCTGTTGTTCATTGGAATAACAATATCTACAAAAGATACGTCGTTATCGGTGTTACAAAAAGCAATTGTCTGTAAATTCACGTGTGATCCTTCAATAACTGCTTGTTTGTCGGCAAAAGGATCTGATACAATAAGAACTCTGGGCTCTAATGGCCTTTTTACTTGGTTATTACAAAACGTACCTGGAATAAATCTCCCGATAACCGGTGTCGCACAAGTCGATTCGCAAAATTTTAAGACACCTTTTCTACCAAAAGTTTTAGTAGAAACTACAACAGCATCACTGGGATGCTTAAGACTACAGAACATTCTAGCAGCCAATATAAATTTCTCCCATGTCTTTTCAATATCAATCACTTTTATATTCTCTAATTTTCGTGTTCCAAACACATATCTCTCCATAAGTTTAGAAGTTTTAATTCCTCCAAGATGTCCTTGACTTATTAAAATCAACTTTACAAAGTCGTTGGGAATTGGAATATTCACTTTTGCCATTTTTAAAATTGGGGGGCTAACTTTTAAAAAATAAAAAATTTATTTTACAAAAATATTAATCGATGTTGGCTTGTAAGTCAAAAAAAATCCTTTCTTTTTCTCTTTTGTACAGGTCTAAACAATATTCTATAGATAACATTAAAAAAAGAAATATCCCGTAGATAAATGGATAATTCAAACAAGCCCATATTGTAAGGTGTAAAAGAGAATAATAAAAAGGTAAGCCATCTTCGATATAAAAATACTTCATTTAAAAAAGGAGAGAAAAAAATTTTAGGTAAATAAAATTTGACGAATAAAAATAAAATTAATATTTCTTATAGGATTTACTCTCAAGTGACATATAAAATAAATAAAATCTTAAATATTTTACAGAAAATTTACAATAAAGTGACAGATACAAAAGAAGCAACCTAATTTTTAAATATATTTTTTACAGAATTCGCACACAAATATTAAATTAATAAAGCCTAATCTAAAAATATCAAATATAATTTTAACAATAATTACACACAAGTATCAAAAAAACCAAAATTTAACTCTTAAATATTTTATTTTTTATATTCGCAATAATTTTCCGCATATAATTCATGTATAGCATCAAAAGGCGATTTGTCAAATGGAAAATAAAAAAGTGAAAGATTATCTAATGTCTTAAACATTTTAATATCATAATTGACATGTTTGCAAAACGTTTCAACTATTGTTGGATTCATATTCATATAAATATTATTACTAAACACTTTATCAAAAATTTGTTTACATTGATCAATAAATTCATTTTTAAAGCAACAAATATACATCAATCCTTGTGAAGCCAAAATATAATTAAAACTTGTACCAACCTTTAAATTTTCTACATATTTAATGTATTGCAATATTGCATTTTTAGAATTAATTTTACATCTTGCAACAAAAGATGTAAAATAAGGTATATAAATAATAGGATTAGATTTTATATTTTCTAGTAGAAAACATAAGACAGGTCTTGGTTTGTAACAGCCAAGCCGAAAAAATAAAAATTGCACACTGTTAGATTTACAAAGTGGAATCAAAGAAAAACAATCTAGTAAAAAATTTACATTAAGTTTTGTAATAATTTGATCTATTTTTCTATAAGCATCAATAAAAATTCTTGTTTTTTCTTTTATAAGTCCATACAAAGGTTTTTCTATTGGTGTGTCATATTCAAACATAATATCATCCCAATCTTCTTCAGAAATAGATTCATAAATAGAATTAATTTCTACATCTAAATCGATAAGAAATGTAATTATCTTCTTGAAAATTGGTTCAACTAAAGATTTTTGCTTCAGGTATTCAATATATTTATCTATGTCTGATAGATCTATTTTTTCTTTTTTTATTTTTTTTAGAAGCTCAATCTTGTCTTTAAATGTAAGCATCTAAGGGAATAAAAATTCAAAAGTTAAACTGTAAATTGTTCAGAGAAATTTTATCAGCAAAAAATAAATACTTTTTTGCATAAGAATGAAATGAATAATTTATTTACTTTTAAAAACATTTTAAAAAACTAGATTTTTAATGAGCAATTAAAGATGCTTAAATAAAAATTAAGCAATTATTATTTCTTGATATAAAAAAATACGTAAGAAGTGTGTTACTAAAACAGCATACTATTTAAATATCATGTGAAAATAAAGCAACTAATAATATAAGTAGGCATACTAAAATTAATTTCAACTTCGTTAAATATAGAATATCTAAAAAAATCATCTACATGTAAAAGTTTTATTCTTATTAATTTTGTAAATTATTGCAAAAAAGCATAAGTAAAACCGCAAAGCAAACATACACTTCTTATAGAAATTTTAGTCAAGAATAATTCCAATCTTAATAGAATAGATAGCTTAATGTTGCAATTTTACAAAAAGAATAAAATCATGACTAGATAATAAATCAAATACAGGCATATGTACAGATCAATGATGATACTATTGCTATAAAAAATGATTTATCTCTTTAAAAAATTTCTAAATGCGAATTTTGTAATAAAAATAGCGGGTCTTCTAGCGCAAACTGCTTACCATATGAAAAAAGAAAAAAGGGTGAAAAAAGAATTATTTATTTAATTGAAAAAATAATCGCAGTATTTTGATATAAGTTTCAAAAAATTCTTCGGGTTTTTTATTCATTAAATATCTTCTTTAAATGGTATATTGAATAAGCCATTCGTTTATGCTAGAATGCTTTACACCGTATTCTTTTCTCATTGAGCTTTTCATATGAACCCAAAACCTCTCAATATTGTTGGTATGTGTCCCATCACTTGCACAAAACTTTTCTGCGTGATTAACAACGTTATGGTCAAGTCCAAGATTTCTAGTAGCTGCTGGATACGACTGATGACTATCTGTATTTACAATACTAGCAGGTAAAATCAGTCTACTCATAGATGAAGCTAAAGACTGTATGTCTCAGTTGGCAAGTCCTAACAAAAAAAAATTTTTGGCATCTGTTCGATCTACTCCTCAAAAAACTCATAACGTATCTTTAGTGTCATCATCCGTACGTGTGAAGCTTCGAATAATGCCTTATAGTGATAAAACACTTTCATCTACTTCAACAATTACTCCTTCTCCGTCCAGGATGATAAGTCTTTGCATTATATAGTGTTTAACACAATCAATGAGGCGGTTTCTATACCTTGAAATAGTTGAATCTACAAAAAAATAAAAATGAGTAAGTTGATTGTAGTTAACATCTAGAAGTAGAAAATAGATCAAATGCACGACTTTAGTTGGTGGCATTGTCGATCCAAACAATGAATATCTTTTTTGGCAATGCTTTTTTACACCTATATGTTATTTTGCTACTAGAATCAGTCTACCTGCACATAGTACATTCGCTCCCACAACTTTCACAAAGTATATTAAGTTGAATAATTCATAGTTTAGAAGAAATATTTTTAATTCATGCATATCTAAAAAGACTTTATCTATAACACCAATCTTCATTCGAGGTTAAATTTTGAAAAAGTTTATCTTAAAATAAAGATTGGTGTTGTAGATAAAATAGGAAAAAAAGACATATATGCACCAAAATTGCTTGGTTTTTAATTTAAAACAACTTTGCTTTTTAAGCGCAAACTGCCTACCTGCCGATATTTTCTAATGCAAAGCTTATTTTTCGCACGTATATTTAATTTTTAAACCCTTATTTTAAAAAATAGTTATGGTAGGCAGTTTTCGCTAGAAGACCTAAAAAGCAATAATTTAATCGATCGTAAAGAAAGATAAAAAACAAATTATATATCTTAAATAACATTTCTAATTTATTCTTGCATATTATGAAGTAAAACATAACTATAACTTAAGGACATGATTCATTTAACAGGATTTATTTATATAGAATTTTATATATTTATTAAAATTTAATTGTTTTTAAATATAAAAATGGTTACCATGTCTTTTTATTCTATTTATTAAAGAAAGGGTTTATCTAAAGAATAATATAGGAAATAAACTTATATATAAAATTTAAATTTGATGATTTTTTTATTGCAGAATAAGGTAAAGCTGCATTAAAAAGTTAGATACAAAGTTTAATTATTTATTGCTTTATTTATTTTTTTGATTAAAAAATTTATAAAATTGTGTCGAATTTTGTGTGAGCAATATTAAATTACATAACATAAAAATTCTAATTAATTTATGTATTTTTTGTTTATTTTATAGTACATAACCCTTATATGTTTAATAAGGTTGTAATTATCAAAGGGAAGTATAACTTATACGATAAAAAAGTAAACAAGAATACTGTATTTTATTTCTGTTGTAACCAGGGAAAAATCAGAATAAATTTTACAAAACAAGTAAAAAATATATTATCTATTAACATATACGATAACAATGTTAAGTATACACTTACAAATAAAAACAAAGACACATTTGAGATGCAGTTCTTTAAATTAACAAAGTTGATAATTCAAAATGCACAAGTAGAAATAATTAATGAAAAAAGGACATGCATAAATAATTTATTTAAATGCAGATTTTATTTTTTTGGATCCTATGAACTATTTTTTTCATATTTTTTCTCTGTCTTATTACGCTTTCTTATGAAAAATTACATGTATGTTATTTTTATTAACTTGCCTGTATATGCCATTTTTTATATTAAAAATCAGCCAATGGGTTTAAAACAAAATACAATTATTAAGAAAAATCTTGCACTAGTATTTGAAAGTATAAATCAGTGCCAGGTTATGCTTTTTAAATATTTTTATATTATTTCTCTAGTAACTAACTTAGATAAAGTATTAATGAAAATTGGTATAAATTTTATATTTAAAATTTATAAATTTAATTTAAATACATTAATTGAGTTATTAAGCTTATTTAGTGATAAATCGTATAATGTAGTAAAAAAAAGATATGATAAAATTACTTTAAATGTAGATCAAATTATTATTGGTGTTATATTATTCAGTATTTTAATACTTACATTTATTAATATTATGCCTTATTATATTTTTTATGTTTTGTACTATTTAATTTATCTTTTGTTAGAAATTTCGGAGCAGTTTATTATTATTATTTTATGCAGATTTAATAATTTTTATTTTTTAGATGTTGAAGATAAAAATTATATTAAAAGTGTAACTTATTGTACGAAAATTAATTTGTTAAAAAAGAAAATAAAGATTTATAATATCCTTCGTGGAGAGCTTATGAATAAAAAATAAATTGTTTTATGTAAAGGCTTGTACATTAGTAGTAAATTTATAAAAAAAAAGAATGAAATTTTAATGCGAGGAGCATGTAAAATAAAAAATGGATTTTTATGTAAGAAGCGTATTAATTGCTTTATAAAATGGCTTTATATTGTCTTTTATGTAAGAAGCATATAAATAAAAAATGAATTTTTATGTTAATTTTCTATGCATAAAATATTATTTTAATATTTTGAAGTAAACAAATATGCACCCTTAAAATGGAAAATATAATAAAAACACAAGAAAGTAGGATTATTAGAAATTCTACTGTTATTGTACACCCACTTGTTTTACTTTCTGCTGTTGATCATTATAAAAGACTAGATGCTGATAGAGTGGTAGGCGTTTTATTGGGAGAAGTATCTGACGAGATACATATTACAAACAGTTTTGCAATTCCATTTGAAGAAAATGAAAATGGATGGTTTTATGACACGTCATATTTACAGAACATGTATGAATTGTTCCATAAAGTAAATTCTAAGGAGGTTATTGTAGGATGGTACCACACTGGTCCAAAAATGTATAAAAATGATATAGAAATTACTAGATCCTTTTTAAAAGTAATAGATAATCCATATCTTGTGATTATTAATATTCATGCAGATGATTTTGATTTACCAATACAAGTATTTAAATTAAATAAACAAAAAGATTTTATACACATTAATAGTAAAATTGAAGCGGAAGAAGCAGAGGAGGTGGGAGTAGAAAATCTAATTCGAGATGCACGTGTAGAATCAGCGGGAAGTTTAAGAGAAAATATTAATATTATAAAAAATTCAATGTATGTGTATTTTAATTGTTTAAGTGTTATTGAGAATTATTTAGAGGCAATAATAAACGATGAAAAGGAATATAATTATGAAATACTAAATTTATTACAAGAAATATTAAATTCTGTACCTAGTTTGAATGACAACCTAGAAGTTTATTCAAGTTACATTTACCTTTGTGAACTTGTTAAATCTACTATAAATCTTACCGATTTAAAGAAGAATAGGCTAGAAAATGAAATAGTAGGTCAATAAATGTTTAAAAATATTATATCTATGCAATATTAGATGTTTATGCGTATTTTTAATATAAAATTATACTTTTTTGTAAATTAATAAGTTTTTATTTTTTATTTAAATTGAGTTGATAAACTATTAAAATACATTTGTAAAGAAGCTTATAGTGTATTTAATATAAAATAAATCTAGGTTATATTTAAAATAAAACAAGAAATGGAATTCTATAAATATTTATATTTTTTAATATATTTTATTTACAATGTCTTGCTAGGCAACAAACTTATATTTTTAAGATAACACGATAAATATTTTTTAATTTGTTATCAACATTATAAGTATTTTTAGACTTAAAGATTACATATGTTTTTTATGATATTAAATTAGTTAATTGTCAAATTATGCATAGCAAAAATTTATATTTAAAAAAAATACTAAAAATTTAAATAAAATAAATTTACCAAAATAGTGTTTTAAACTTATTATTTAAAACAGAAAACAATCATCGTTTTTTTATTTTTAAAATAAACTTTTTTACATTTAAATTTTTTTAATTTTTTCTCTCTTATTGTTAAATTCTAAGAAAATAGATAACAAAACACCAATAATAGAAATTCCTTGTATAAAAGATAATGAATGTCCAAAAAGAAGAACAGATATAATTATAGAAGTCATCTTTCTGGTAACATTTACTGTATTTAGTGTTAGTGTACCAAATTTTTCTATCATAGAATATACAAATACTTGACCTAATACGTTAGTAGCAGTAGAAACTAAAAGGTCCAAGAAAAAATGTACATTTGTAAAAATACATTTTAGAGAAGAAACAAGTGATCTTGTAAAAATCAATAAAATAACAGATAATATAAATCTTACTAAATTGAATGAATACATCATATCTAAAGAAGATATTCTGTATTCTTTAAATATTCTATCTTGTAATACACTTATAAATCCTTCTAGTGCTAAATTAAAAAACAATAATATTACTCGTTTATAACTATTAGATGAAAAATTGCTCTTTTTAGTGTCAGATATCGCAAATAATAACACACTTATTGTTGTTAGTAGTAAGTTAAAATATTTCTGCTTTGTTAATTTATTTCTATAAATAATAAAATTCATAAGAGCTATACTTAATAACTTACAAGACTTAGATACAACTAATGTAGGATAAGAAAGATAGTTAAGAGATAAAGACCAAAACTGACTGGATAATATTGTTAATATAGAAAGAATAATATATTTTATAATAAGCTTACTATTATAATTAGACTTCTTTTGATTGTTATAGGATAATGAATATTTACTAGCTAATATTCCACCAAGGCTGTGTAGGAACATGGGAAGAAGTGAAGATGAATATTTTATGTTTTTATATTCATGTGAAATTTTTTCCTGGTAAATTCCATACACAGTAAAAAGTGCATAAATGGCAGCTGCGTGTAATAAAAGGCTTTGTGATTGTTGGCTCATAAGGGATACAAAATGACTAGAATACAACAACAAGATGAAAATTACTAAAAAATTATGAAATAGCTTTATTAAACTAGTTTTATTGATATTATAAAGAGTTGTTATGATTTATAACAATAAAGACGAAATATAGATTTAGAAGAAATACAAGCATATATAAAATTTAAGCTTTGTTAAAAATTGTTTAGACAAGCTAGTTAAATAAAAGTGCTAAAAGTTTATTGGAATTTTTTTTAATCTTTTTTCTGCCTATGATTTTAATACTTTCTTAATTATAATTTAGTCTTTCTTAATGCATTTCTTTACATTAGATGTCTCAATTTAATAGTAATTTTAATATTTTATAGTATTTTAATAAACACCAAGTAGAGAAGAATTCTCTTTTTAATTTAACAGTATTTATAGTTTAAAAAAGACTTTTTTAAAATTTAACGAAAATATTTGTTAGTAGATAAACTATATTTCTCCCTTGATTCGAGTAAATTTTCAATCTTTCCAGAGCAAGAATTAATTTATAAATTAAACTATTTTGATTAAACAAAAAAGGTTTTAGACAACCTAAATAGTGCCGACATTAATTGATAACAATAGTATGTTTGTTTGACAGCTCTCAAGAATAAATTAAGAAAAACATTTCCAAGAAGGGTATCATGACTTTAGAGAAACAGAATTCGCCGAATAAATTATTTATTTCTACAACTTCTTTTGCTTCAAATCAGTCTAAAGACCTGAATACAATATTTATAATTGTCTTCTTGACATCGTTTAATAAAAATATATCAGACTTATTATATTTAATTTTGTGATTCTTCCCTGAGAACGTTTGCCTAGTTTTTATTAGCAAAATGTTTAGCTTCTACATTATTTTAATACATTATAGTTAAATAAGCCTTATATAAATTAAAATCTTTATAAATGGTAAAATTCATTTAAATAATACAACAAGTATTAACGTTTAACTTGCATTTTCAAATCCTATTTGAATGTTAAAACTTTTGTGTCAAAAGTTTGTACATTCACAAAAAAGAAGTGAGTTGTAAATGAGTCTTGTTTAAAAATTAAATTTTTACAGCAAAAACACTAGAATATGCTATCATTCAAATGCTTATAAAAATAATTCTAATAGCTTGTAACAATTAATTTAATATACTTTGTATTGTAATAATATAAAAATTTTAGAAAAAGTTTATTTGCAATCATCATAAGAAAATTTTCTTAATTTGTATTTAATATTCGCTAAAGTATCAAATTTTGTCCTATCGTAACGAGAATACAAAAACTTCCAAATATCATCTGCTGATATAACATTAGGCTGCTTTAAATTCTTAAGAACTTGTATCATAATAAATTTTCTAAATATTCCAAATGGTTTATGTTTACCCAGAGCTTTTAAGATTCTTATAGTAATATTTACATCTGTATTCGATATTTTTTTTGTAGCAGTAGACATGTAAGGGTCTTGCAATGCCTTTTAAATAAACTAAATATTTACAATTTCTTATCAATTAAAAATTAAGCACGGTGGCGCAGAGGTAGCGCGTTGGGCTCATAACCCGAAGGTCGGTGGTTCGATTCCATCCTGTGCTAATTTTGATAAATTATTTTTGTTAATTAACAAAGACTAACTTATTTGCATTTCAGTAGAATTTTTTTAATTTACAATTTACTTGAAAAAAATTTAAGAATAATTCCACATTTAAAAAAAAGGTAAATATGCTTATCATAATGTAAAATATTAATAATTAAACATTTGTTATCAATGAGATCTACTGTATTAACGTCTTCTTGTTTGTCTAAAATTAAAAAATAACTGCCTTTTTTTACAAAATAAAATAAATTTTTAGGCTGTGCTTTTTTTCTATTTTTTCTTAAAAAAATCAACTGACCATCGTATTGTCCAAAAATGAGGCCGGTTTTGCTACGGCAAGCGGAATAAAAAAGCGAATTTTTGAGTGTTTTTGTTTTAGTATATGTCTTTTCTATAGTAAGTAATTTGGTAGCTAAACCCAGTTGATTTGTATACAATATCTCATCGTCTTCTTGTAAATAAATAATTTTATGCGTGTAAAAACTTTTCAGTAAAGATAAACGATTTTTTAAATTAGTATCAACAGAGTAAATATAACCATTTACTGTACTGCAGCATACAATATTGGTACTGGTTTTGGTTTTTAAATCTGTTAGCATATTATCGCATTCGAGGGGAGGTAATAAACTATTGTCTTGAACGTTAGTACGAATACATATCGAATTGATAAATGAATCAAAGAAATCAGACTGTTTCACAATTTTAGTTTTTACACATTTAAAAAGCAATTTTCCGTCAGTACAAATAATAGTATCTTTTTCCATTACTTCAAAATCTATTATATTAAAAACATCTAAGGGTATAAAATCATAATTTTTATCTTTAAAATTAAACTTACGAATCACGCCATCGCTAAATAAAATAAATACAGACAATGAATTTTCTTTTGTATCAACTATCATTTTTCGCACAAATCCAAAATTAAACTCAAATTTATCTAAAATTTTCAAACTTAAATCTAAAAAATATATTCTGGCACTACATGATTCAAATTTATAAAAAAAATCGGGTGTAAAGTTATCTTTAGTGCAAACTAAAAATAAAGGATTTTTTATTTTCACAAAAAGACAATGTGTAATACATTCTTTTATATTCCTGTAAAAAAGTCCCGATCCAATACTAGCCGATAAATCGTTATATTCTGTGTTTTTATAAAAAATAATTTCTATGTTCTCAAAACTTAAGGTTTCTTCATTTATAGATTCTAAAATAGATTTAGCAGATGCGATATGATTATTAACTATACCATTACTATTGTATACACAACCAACAACACTATTATCTGTTGTAAGATCATTTTTAAATAGAATAGGACCTAAAAAATCATTTTCATCTCCAAAAAATTGTATAATGCCACTAACAGCAAATACTTTTTTAAAATAATTTAGTTCTTCTAATAAAACATTAAAATTAAGTGTGCACTCATTTGAATTTATATTAACAATTTTAGAAAGCAAGTGCTTATATCTTAAAATATGAAGCTTATAAGCCTTTTTAGAGACAAATATCATACAACATCCCCAAATTTTACACTTATAGTATTTACCTTCCTTAATAATTAGGCAATAACCTTCATGCATCTTTAAAAGCATTTTTCCTAACTCGGAATTGCAACTAAGTAAATCTTTTATATAAACATCTTCTATTAAATTCTTATTAAATAATTTATCTTTAGAAATCAGTGTAATATCGTTATATTGTTTATTCTTTATTATATTTACTTCATCAAAAACATCTAAAGCTTTGGCAAGAATGTTTATATGGCATAAGTTCATGTGGTGAGTTAAAAATAATCGTAAATCATCATCTTTCTCACAATATTCTTTACTTTCTCTGTCGTCTATAATAAAATCACACTCCTTAACTGGACATTTCAAACTATAAACTTTAACATTATTGTTGTGGTATGAATTAATAAGGTGATTATCTAAATCCAATTTATTATTATAAAATGCTTTGCATTGGATATATAAACATTTATAAACCAGTTCTTCTTTATTATTTTTATCCATATGGGTCTAAAAAAATCATTTTTTGGGAATTGAACTTTGATATATTTTTTTAAAAAAAATAATTATTAAAAATTGTGTGCTTTTTTATTAGCACACAAATTTTGTAAAAATTTATATGTAATTTCACCCATGTTTCATGAAAGTGATTTACTAGACTATGAAAAAAATAAATTTTCACGCCAAGTCATAGTACCAGGAATAGGTATTGATAACCAGATAAAATTAAGAAATTCTAGTGTGCTAATAGTAGGCTGCGGGGGATTAGGATCGCCTTTGGTAATGTATCTAGCATCTTGTGGAATTGGGAAACTTGGAATAGTAGATTATGATAAGATTGAAATTCACAATTTACAGCGACAGATAATTTATAAAGAAAAAGACGTTGGCTGTTATAAAGTAGACATAGCATATGATTTTATTTGTAATATTAACAGTAATATTCAAGTAGTTAAATATAAAACTAAATTTGATTACAGTTTTAGTGAACTTGAAGAATATGATATAGTAGTGGACTGTACTGATAATATTGTCACTAGATACGTTTTATCAGATTTATCAAAACAATATAAAAAAGATTTTTTGTGTGCATCAGTTATTCGATGGGAAGGACATTTATACATCTTTAAAAAAGATGGACCATGTTATAGATGTTTATATCCAACAGTGAAAAAGACTACAGCAAATTGTGATGAAAATGGTATTATTGGACCAATTTGTGGAATTTTTGGTAGTCTTTTGGGATTAGAAGTAATCAAGACTATTTTAGGAGTTAATACTACTAAATTAATAACATATAATGGATTCACTAACACATATAATAATTTTAATCTGCGCCAAATAAATAATGAATGTCTAACTTGCATTAAAAATATTTATAAACATTCAATTGACCCAAATAGTTGTAATTCTCTATTAAAGGCAGATTTTTTTAATATTCCGCGTATAACATGGTGCAAAATTCTAAAAAATTTTGATAATTTTTTTATTATTGACGTACGCAGCAATATTCACTTTAGAATGTTTAGAATAAAAGGGTCCATTAACATTCAAATTAACGACTTAAAGGATAATATTCACTTAATTGATAGAACAAAAAAAATAGTTATACTTTGTAAAAGAGGGATTTCTTCCTTACGTGCTGCCAAGGTTTTAATTGATTCTGGATTAGAGTGTTTTAGTTTAGAAGGTGGCTTGGATAAATACGAAATGATGATAAAATAATTTTAATTTTTTTATTAAACAGTTGAATTATTTTTTTTTATATTAGTTATGCAGGCTTTTAAACTTAAAAAAAGTTATAAAATTTTAACCCATAATGACATCTATTGATTTTTTTGGTTCTTTTAATGTAGACTTTTTTAAAAATCGAAAGTTTGTTATTGACGAGAGAAAGTACGTAAATGCAGATTTTTTTATAAAAGATTTACTACAAGCACTTGATAATCCATCAATATATTTTTTTAATAATCAACCAAAGTTGTATAATAGTAATTATACATTACATAGCGAGTACAACGGTGATATTTATAAAAACGAAACAATACTAGATCATGCTTTTATAGCTAGAAAGTTATTTAATATTAATCTTGATTCACAGTTTTGTATATTTAGAGACGGAACGTGTACAAAACAAGACTGGTATGATTTTGATATAGTTATTATTATAGAATTATTACCTAGTGGTATTTCTACGGAATATGATGGTATTATAACTGTTAAGAATAGAGAAAAAGTGTTTTTTAGGTGTAAATATAAAAGCTATACAGACAAAACAGAGTATTTTAAACTTTAAATATATTATTTTATTCTTTGCAAAAATTATACGCATCCTCCGCTAATTTAAATCGTTGTGAAAAACTGTTAAAACTTTTTTGTAAGTTTTTTATATCTGTAGAAGAAATTACAACACTTAAATATGTTTCTTCTATTGTATATTTTAGATTACAGGTTGTATTTTCTATATCATCCTGTTTAATGCTATTGCAAATAATTTCTGGGTTTTCGCACGGATATCTTATTTTTATTTCGTATTTCATGCAAGGGTTAAAGCGTGGGAATTGCTTTTTTTGAGAATTTTTAAAATGTATAATTATTAATCACACCTGTTTATGTTCACTGTATAGTGTCTTTATAAAATATTGGACGAATATTTATTTCAATTTTATTAAATAACTGTAATTTTTTGTACTTTTAAATATTTTACCCTCTCAAAAATGGTTTTTAAAATCGCCATCGATGGGCCTGCAGGAAGTGGTAAAAGTACTACTGCCTGCTTACTAAGAAAGAGGCTTGGTTACAAAACAATAAATTCCGGTAGCATTTATAGAGCGGTAGCGTACGTTCTTGACAGTACATTTAAAAATGCAGATCTAGAATCTAAAAATATTAGAGATTTTGTAAATCTTTTAGATTTTGATATGTTTAAAGATGAAATACTTTATAATAACCATAACATCTCGAATTACTTAAGATCCAAGAGAATTGACGAATATGTTTCTCTGGTTGCTAAGAAATTGTACATTCGTAAAAAAGTGGGAAACTTACAGAATAAGTTTATTAAATGTTCCGATACAGGAATTATTATTGAAGGAAGGGATATAGGGACTAATGTACTACCAGATGCTACTTTAAAAATATATTTGGATGCATCTCCCAAAGTGCGGGCAAAAAGACGCTTTTTAGAAAGGCCTGATATATCTTATGAAGATACTTTAGCGGGAATAATTGAACGAGATTACAGTGATAAAACTAGAGAACATGGTGCTTTAGTTGTCGCAGAGGGGGCTATTATTATTAATACTGATGATATGAGCACAGAAGAAGTGGTTGATAAAATTTTTGACTTATTTCAAAATAAAATTAATTAAATATTTTGAGTATAATTTAATTTATTTAAATATTCGCTGTTGAGTCATTTTTGGGTTTTAAAAATATATTAAAAATGATTTTAATAAGTAATTTAACATTTCTTTGTGTTACTAAAAGCAAGTCATGATGTGATAGTGGTTTGTTAGACAATAAGAACTATTTTTATAAAGCACATTTATTTAATTGAAATTTTTAATAGAAGCATGGCATCATAATATAGTTTTTGTCCTTAAATACTCTTCTATGACACTTTTAAGCATAATTGTGTTTTAGTTTGAGAAATGTTACTCGTATTACAATTTTTTAAAAAGGATGGTTTTAACAAAATAAATTAATTGAGTATAATTTCTTCTTATTAAAGTCTAATAGCCTGTAAGGATGATGTTGAGTATTCTAGTTCATCTTAGTAACCAGGGTATTCGACCAATAGATAATACTTTTAGTATGTGTAATATCACACATTTTTGCATTTCATAATTAATAAAAATTTTGACTTTACTTTTTTAATAAAACTAAGAAAAAAAGATAAAAACGAAATATACATTGTTTATATTATGTAGTTAATTGCTTGACTTAAACCTTCAAATAAGAGGTATTTTACACTGAAAATTATAAAAAAAATATTTAAATACATTTCTGTTTAAATAAAAGCGAATAATTATTTAATTACCAACATGTTTCTTCTCAAACATTTTCAAAGTATTTTTATGTAAATAATAGAGAATTCCTATACTTGTAAATATTTCAAAAAGAACAAATCTGAACACCCATGTTTTAGATTTGGTAACTAAATTAAAATGGTTTTCATATTTTTCTATCTGTCTCCTCTGAGACAAAATATTGTTTTCTAACACAGAAAGAAGCTCAGCAACAGCATCTTCATCTTTAATTGGTCCTAAAGCCCCTTGTACCTCTTTATTGACATCAGGACATCTGTAACCAAATTTGATTTTTTCCGGATTTTTATTTTTAATCTCAATGGTAAGAAATCCTGTACTTGAAAGTCTAGTAAAAATAACACCATTTGTTTTAGTATATTTACCAATTGTTCTTTTTAAATCATCAAATAATGTAACTTCTACACTTTTGGCACCAAACGTATTATATATAAACTTGTACATAGTGTTATTTTTAACTCTATCTTTCATAGTAAGAGTTTCAAGAGGTTCTAATTCAACATATCTACAAAAAAAGCATATTGAATAAAACAGAATGTTCATTTAAAGGGGTTTTAAAAAATTAAGAAATAAGAAAAAGTTATAAAAAAACAAAAAATGCTCCCGGCGGGGGTCGAACCCGCGACCTTGGCATGTCTCAGCCAATCTACACAGCTTTTCAGCATATAAGTACCACGCTCTTACCACTGAGCTACGGGAGCTAACCATTTTTAAAATAAAATTCTAGGTTTTCTGCTTAAAGTTAAAATGTTTTTTTATTATCCCATAATGCTTACAAACAAAGAAATTGAAGATATTCAAAAAGAACTAGAGAGTTATAATAGCATTATTTTGGAGTACAAAAATAATTTAGTAAAATCCTTAAATTTACTAAAAAGATTTAAAGATAAATTTAAGAAATAGATTTTCTAGTTGTTATAATGTTTAATCTAATAAATTATTTTGATAAAATGTGTCCAATTAATATTTTATGTATTTTAGATATTTCTATCACCAATATTTAAAATTGATGTATAAATTATTGCCATTATTCTTAAATTTACACAAAATGTTTTTCAGTAAAATGATAATTTATTTTTATTAAATATTTTATTAAATTGCGAATAAATAAAATCTTTAATTAAATCTTTAAATGTTTGTAAATATGTATCAAATATTGCAATTAACACAGTTGAAATTAATTTAAGATAAGTTTATTATATATCTCGTAAATTCTAAAAAAATAAAATTCAGAAACAACACATTTACAAATAATAGTAACTTTGTTAAATTATCAAAATTTAGAACTTATGATATTTTGCTTTTCTACACGATAATATGTCAAACACAAAAAAAAACAAAAATTTAATTTAAAAATTTATAAACAAATAACAAAACATTTTTTAAAATTTTGCAATTTTGTTAAATGATTTTAATTAAATTATACGTATAAAAATTAATATCCCTATTAATTGTAATGAATTTTTTTGCAAAAAAATGTTATGGTTTTATTTTAAAAACATTTACATACAAGAAATACAATATAGATACATTTTACAGCCCCACCACAAGAGCTATTCATACGCTTTCTCTTTCATTTCTCCATTTTATAATATTTTATTTTATTAAACAAGGCGATAAGACGAATTTCTTTTCTAATATAGAAGTAGCAATAATATACATTACATCACTAAACATGTGTAATCCTTTAATAAAATACAAGAAATATTGTAATATATCAAAAGTTATCTTTTTAATCTGTTTTTTATTAGGTCCTATATTGCATACCTTAACAAAAGAAATATGTACAGATACGATTTTTTTCTGGCATTCTATTTGTCAAATATTTTACGTAGGAAATTCTGTTGTATTTTTTATTTATAATAAAAAACCTATAAGACGGCTTTATAAGGAAGACGAAGTATTACAACTCGAAGAAAGTATTAATATTCCTAATCCATATCGCCCCAGCATGGTGTGTGGGAATGTGGCTGTTACAATTGGTATGATTTTATTATCATCTAGATTTCATAATATTTCGTCAGTGTTTTGTTTTTTTTGTATTTCTTTAATTTATTTTACGACATTACCAAATTATCACGAAAAAATTAAATTGCATAAAAATTTAGTTCTGTCAATGTTATGGATTGGTATGGTAAGCACACTATTATATTTTTTTGAAAAATCTCTATTTTTTACTTTAAAAATACTAGTAATGTATATGTATGGAGTCACATATCTTGTTAAATGTGTCTTAAAACAGTAGCATATCACTGTATTAACCTTGAAAATAAATAAAAAAAGTATTTTGTTATTATTTTAATACATCGTAAAATGTAGAATTTTATAAATTTTATTTTGTTAATTTCATTATTTTTTTTAGTTATAAATAGACTAATTCTTATTTAAAAATATGAGAATACATATATTTAACAATATATGTATTCTTACATTCCCTTATACTTTATTTTTTTAATTGTGCAACAAAAGAACATCCCTTGCAAATCTGGTTTTGGCTCGAAGTTGGATGCGAACATTGAACACAAGGAAATGCCTTAGAACTAGTATTGTTTGTTTTTATCAGCTGATCACCACTTTTAATAATATTATAAATAGCAGTAGAATCTATTTTTTCTAATTCTTTTATAAAATTTCTAACGTAACCCCGAGAAGCTTCAGGCGCGTATGTACATTCAGTAGAAAAATATTTGAGTTTTTTATGAAATGCGTAAAGAACTATTTCTTTTTGATAAGTATTTTTAAAAGGTTTTGTCCTTGGTAGTGAAATAACAAATCCATCATCGGTAATATGTTTATTTGTTACAGGGTTTGTGCATCCATACAATCTGTTAATATCTCCCCTTATTAAATTTAGTAAAACTGTTTCTGCCATGTCATCAGCATTATGTCCGGTAACAATATAATCTACCGAACATTTTCTAGCGGCCTCTTCTAAAGCCTGTCTTCTAAAAACACCACAATATGTGCAATTATTCCTTTTTCCGACTTTTTGGACAACTGAATCCATATTAACACCAAATAAATCATCAAAAGACAATACTTGTAATTTAAGGTTAAGATCTTTGCTATTTTCGTGTACTGTATCAATAGAATAATCTCTATATCCTTTTATACCCTCATCAATACACAATAGAACTAGTTTAAGTTCATAATTATATTTCTTATTAAGCTTGTCCAGTACATAAGCCAAAACTGTACTGTCTTTTCCTCCGCTAATTCCAATACCAACAGTACTACCTTTAGCAAACATAGATGATTCAGTTATTGTGTTGTGGATATCGTTTTCAAATAACATGTAAAAACACTCTTTGCAAACTTTAGTTCGATCTTTAGATCTAAGGATAATTGCTTTGTGTATTTTACATATTTCACAAGACATAGAGGGTACAAATGTTTAAAAGAAAGTATTAATAAGCTGTTAAATTTTTATTGACACTAGAATAGCAAGTACAGTGAATTGTAAAATAAATGAAAAAAAATTTATACAGTAGATCTATTTAAGTAAAGCAGTTGTTGGTTTAATATTAAAATTTTAAATGTTAATTATCACTCAATGAAAAATATTAGTTTATCGTAATGTAAATGATTTTGAGATGTACTAAAAAGTTCATGTATCAAAGTAAAGTATATAGAAAGATGTTTATTACACAGTATAAAAGTTTTAAACATTTATTAAGTAACACAACTCTATTCTTGTGTTATGGTTGTGTAAATTTTTTGTAAATATGAAAAAAGTATTAAATAGTAATTTTTAAAGAATAATTAAACAACTTTCATTAAAAGTGATGATTTAAGTTCTTATATAGACGATTAAACGTAGACATTTACACAGTCCATATTATTTAATATGTTTTTAGTTTTTTGTGAAAAGCCGCAAGAAATGTCTAACCCGTGTCAAAATTGATAAAGTTGCAAAGATTGAAATGCAGAAAAAACGCAAGCTAATTTTTATTGTTAAGAAGAACGGACACAAAAGAAAATGTGTTTAAAAAAATATAAAATTTATTTATTAAATTCCAAAATTTTTTTTAATTAATTGGTTATATTGAAAAAAATGCAAAATTAAAAAATTGATTTTTTGTATGGCTGCCTTTCTCTATATATCACGTCGTGGTGTTTTACCATCTTATAATTAAAGGCGTAATTGTATTGGATACTAAAAATATGTAATAATTATTCACGAGGAGGGAATGGAAAAAACTAAATTAAAATGATTACGACATATCAAATTTGCAATATCATAATTGTAAGTAAATTTATTTTGAAAATACACACAATTTTATTCAAAAATACATTTAAATTAATTTTATAATTAATTATAGACATATAAAATGCATTATTAGTACAAAAAATTATAAATACAGTGAAATTCAAAATCAAAAAACTTTATTTTTTAACTTTTTCAAATGCAATGTATCTGATTCATCACCATAAAATATTAGATTATCTTCATGTAATTTGATAGAATACAATACAGATTTAATTTTTTCAGAATTTTTTAGTTCGTAGTCTAACAAGTCTAAAATAAAAATTTCTCCACTTTTTGAACATAACGCAATTTTATTATTTAATAAATCCATTCCAGTAAGTGCACTTTCAACGTATTTATTACTAAAATAAGGGGATTTAGATGCGCGTAGATCAAAACTAAAAAAATCTCCTGTTGAATTCGATACATAAATCATATTATCACATGCTATCAGGTTTTCTATGCGATCATAACAAGAAAAATGTAAATCAGATGTAGAACTCTTAATAGTTGTTCCGTCAGTGTAAAAAATATGATTATTTGATTTACATATTTTCTCGGGCACAAGATCTAATTTATAAAAATTACAAGGTGTTTCCTTTATAATATCCCATTCAATAATACTTTTATCTTCACTTCCAGAAAATAAATTTTCTCCAAATTTTTTAACACACATAATATGATCTTCATGCCCTTTTAGTAATATTTGCGGTGCCATTGGATTAAATATACAGCTGTCGTAAACCATAACATCTTTTTCAAATGTAGCTAAAGCAATAAAATGTTTATCATTTTTATAAAAATATTCAGCATCATTTATAGAGGAATACACAAACACATCATGATGAATAACAAAATCGTCATTTTCTTTGTCGTAAACATGAAACTGAAGAAAGCTTTCTTCTTCATTGTTAGATGTAGAAAATAGAATTTGATCACTCTCACAAATAAATGTATCATTATCTTCTAGTTCTTGTATTTCTTCATTTTCAATAAATGATATTCCAATGTGAGATAAAGATTTAATTATATTCATATCTTTTTTATAAGGTTTTAATTTGTCTATCTGAATTTTGTTTGGAATAAGATTTATTGTATTAATCATTTGTGGGCTATAAAATTTTACTAGAAATAATCCCATGTGGGAAAGTCTAAAAGAAAAAATAGCAGAATGTAAGTGTAATGAAAATTTTATGTTGGATTTTATAGGAAATACTAGTCAGATTCCTTGTACTGAAGAAATATGCTTAATCAAGTGGTATAATACAAATAAAGAGTTATATAATGAGGATTTTTTAGAAAATTTGGAATTTACGAGTTTACATGAAAATATAGAAAATTCTTTACAAAAAATAGAAAATATAAAAAATCATAAACACTTTAATTCTATTATATTACACAATTTAAATATTAGAAATTATGAAAATATTACTAATGAATTAATTAAAAACGAAAATATAACGAATGTTAATTTTTATGCCTTTTCTAAAAATTATTTAAAATTTATTAAGTGCATAAATTTATCGAAGGATAATAAAAAATCTATAAATTTTACAAAAATTGATGTTTTTAAAATTGTATTTTCTGATAAATATATTGATAAAACTATACATAACTTTTTAGATAAATTACTACTTGATCCTGTGAACTATAATGAGCATGACAAGCAAAATTTTATCATCATTTTATTGTATTCATATTTATATGCCTTAAATCTTAATTTACCGATAAAAAAACAAATATATAGTAAACTGAAAAATAATATTTTTTTACTAAAAAGCGATACGAAGTTTAATATATTTTTCACTAAAGATTACAACATTGATAAATATATTATTACACAAAAAAACTTTGAAAATTTACATGAAGAATCAACATTTTTAAATTTTTTTTACCAGGATTATTTAACTAAGCACAATGTTGAAAAAGAAACTTTTTTAAATTTTTTAAATAGAATTAATAAAGTCATTCTTAACATAGAAAAAAGATACTTGCTACATTTTGTTAAAAGAGTATTTTTACTACATACTGTTTTGTATAATTCAATAGATGATTTACAAGTTTATAAAACAGTGATAGATTTTTTTAAAAAAAAAGTTTGTAAATTCGATTCAGAAAATATAAAAGAATGCATTTTAAACTTTTACATTACTTTAATTAATAAAATAGGACAAATAGAGGTTTATAATATGGTCATTGATCATATTGTTAATAATTTAGATAATTTTATGAAATTAGAGCATTTTATTTTCAAATTTAATTTTTTACAAGTTAGAACATGGGCCCAATTTTTGCTTTTTATTGAAGAAAATAGGGATTCATTTAATAATCTTACTTATGCCTTAGAACTTCTTTTTTATTCCTCTGAATATGTTTTTACAGATAGTTTTGAAAGTGTATGTAATCTTATTAATATATACTTATCTATACACAGTATTCTTAAGTTAGATCATCTATTTAAATTTATTAGGTCTTATTTTAAACATTTAAAAAAACTTTTTGAAATAATATACAGTAAATTGGTTAGCAATTTAGATCTTAATAATATTTTAGATTATTATAATCTCAATTCCGATATAATTTCTAAAGTAATTTTGACTTTACAGCGATACGCTGTGCTTTGTAATGAAGATCTAAAAAAAGATAAGAAAAAAGGATCTAGAAAATCATCTGCTGAGTTACTATTTCATTCATTTGTTAATGTTATTTATAAAATTGAGGACATTCTTGTAAATTTGTATGGTAACAAAGTTAAAGCTACAAAAAAAAGATCATTTGTAGTAAAAGAAAATAATCAAACTTAGTTTGTATACAACAAATAAACAAATTATTTTTACTATAAATTTAAAATTATTTATGTTATGCATAAATTTACTTTGAACAAAAATAAATTATTAAAAAAGGCAGAAAGAAAAAAAAAGAACAAAAACTAAAAAAATAAAAAATAAAATCAATACTAAACAAACAATTAATACTAAAAAAGAAATCACTGATAACGGTATTAATGATAAAGATTTTCCATCTTGGTTTTTTTAATAATTTTTTACAAACAGAAAAAATTTAACCCATGTCAACAAAAAATAATAGTAATGTACCAGAAATTTCAGATGAAGAATTTTATAAAAATAGATTGTTAACAGTAACAGAACAACTCAAAGACAATGTACAGGTGTATCCTCATAAATATGAAGTAAATTATAGGTTTAAAGATATTTTCACTTTTAAAGATGCATCAGAAGAAGACCTGAAGAAAGTAAAAGTTCAGTCAGCAGGGCGAATTTTAAATTTTAGAATTCATGCTAGGTATTCTTTTTTCCAAGTTATGTCAGAAGATTTTACCATACAGCTTGTTGTAGATGCACAAGTTTTAGAGAATAAAGATATAATTTCTAATATTAAAAGAGGCGATATAGTAGGATTTAGTGGTGTTTTAGGAAGGACTAAAACAAAAGAGTTTAGTGTATTTATAAAAGAGTTAAGTATTCTTACACCATGCCTTAGGACTATTCCTACTGACTATTATGGTCTTAAAGACCCAGAAATTATCTATCGTAAAAGGTATTTAGATCTTTTAATTAATAAAGAATCAAAAAATAGATTTATACAACGTACTAATATTATCAAATTTATTAGGAAGTATTTGGATGATAAAGATTTTGTTGAAGTAGAGACACCTCTTCTTAACATAATACCTACTGGTGCAGCTGCTAAGCCTTTTACTACTCACCATAATGAATTAAAAATGAATTTATTTCTTAGGATTGCCCCCGAGTTGTATCTCAAAAAGTTAGTTATTGGGGGAATGGATAGAGTTTATGAAATAGGGAAATTATTTAGAAATGAAGGTATTGATTTAACTCATAATCCCGAATTTACAGCATGCGAATTTTATATGGCATATGCTGATTATAATGATATGATGAACATGGCTGAAGAAATGCTTAATGGTATGTGCAAATATCTTCATGGATCAGAGAAAATAGTGTATGCTCCTAATAAACGAGAGAAGGAAGTTAAACCAGTGGAAATCAATTTTGCTAGACCTTTTGCTAGATTTCATATGCTTGAAGAACTTAGTAAAGTAGTTGGCATAAAATTAGACGGATTAAATATAAATAGTGACGAGACATTAGATCTACTTATTGAAACGTGTGATAAGTATGAAATTAAAGTAGAACAACCAAAGACATTAACAAGAGTATTAGATAAATTAGTAGGCCATTTTATTGAGCCTAAATGTATTAATCCTTCTTTTATTATTGGATATCCTCTTGTTACATCTCCTTTAGCTAAAAATCACAGAAGTGAAGCTGGAATGGTAGAAAGGTTTGAGTTATTTATTAATGGTAAAGAGATTTGTAATGCATACACTGAATTGAATAATCCTATTGAACAGAGAATGAGATTTAAAATGCAGGCACAAGACATAAATGATGGGGATGATGAGGCAATGATTACTGATGAAGATTTTTGTGTGGCTCTTGAATATGGACTGCCTCCTACAGGTGGGTTTGGAATGGGTATAGATCGGCTTACTATGTTTATGACTGATGCTGCTAATATCAAGGATGTGATACTTTTCCCTGCGATGAAGCCTGAAAGCGACAATTAAAAAGTTTTATTAATTTTTTTTTTGATGAATATATACTGATTAAGTAAATAAGATTTGTGTACTGCAAAATACTTTTATGTTACTAATTGTATTTATTACACAAAGATGTGTTTCTATCGAATGTAAATTTATTTTATTTTTGTAAACGTAGAAATTTATTAAATAATAATTTATGTAAACTACCTTACTAGGCTCCAAAAATTTCTTTTAATTCTATTAAATAATTTGATAGAATGTTATAAATAATCAAAAACGTCCTTTACTTATACAGTGTTTGGTATTTTATTTAGTTATTGTTTGTACAGCACGCTTAACAATGCAATATTATTAAATAAAGTTAAACTAAGTATGTTGAAGTTGTATAATTGTTCAAAAAGACAAATGAAATATTCAAATTATTTTTTGAAGCATTGAGTATTTTACAAAGGTTAAATTTTTTCTATAAACAAAGTTATATTAACAAAGTATTGTAGTAAATACTTTTTTTCTATATTTTTGTAACAACAGCATCTAAAGGCTAAAATTAATATAAAATTTTATTCAATGCACTCTGTATTTCTAAGTAAATATTCTCGTTCAGTATTGTCTTGTATAAAAGGTAAAATCTTTTCTCTTACAACTGTGTTATGACGATTAATATTTGTTATTTCTTCCTGTGTCAATAGTGACATATCTATCATATTTAGCTGGTAAGGAACATATGTTATATCTACTAATTTTAGAAAGTCTCCATAATTCTTTTGAGATACAACCAAATTTTCTAATCTAATACCAAATTCATCTTCTTGATAAAATCCGGGCTCAATAGAAAAGATTTGATTTTCTAAAATTATAGACCTTAAATTCTGGCTTAGTGTAGGTGGGTTTTCGTGAACACATAAAAAGTGTCCTACACCATGTCCTGATGCATGTCCATAATTTTCATTGTTGTTCCATAAATCTAATCTTGTAAGTGCATCAATAATACATCCATTAATTTTTTTAGGATAAGTTTGGTTTATGGCCCTTAACTGTCCTTTTAATATTTTAGTGTAATATTTAGATATTTTATTACAAGGATTACCTATAAAAAGTGTTCTTGATGTATCAGTAGTACCAAACATATAATTACTACCAACATCTAAAAGAACAATCTCGTCTTTTTTTATTATTCTATCACCAGCACTGTAATGAATTATGGCACTATTGGGACCAGATCCTACAATAGACTCAAAACTAGGAAATTTATAACCTATAAATTTAGATCTAAACTCTTCTAATTTTAATGCAATATCTTTTTCAGTTAATGTACCATACACTGTATTTATCCATGTAAATAGTTTTGTCAGTGCTATACCTTCAAGAATATAAGCTAAGTTAAATCCTTCAAGTTCTTCTTTACTTTTTTGTGTTTGTAAATTTCTTATTTGATCAGTGTATTTGTGATTTGTTAATATTGAATCTATATATGCATTGCATGAATTTGATACAACAAATTTGTTTGTTTTATTCAACAAATAATCTTCAAAATGGTTATATTTTTTAATTTCTATATTTTTTAAAGAAAGTTCTGCCTCACAAAATATTTTAGCTTCTTTTTTTGTAATACAAGCATATCCATAAAACAAGGGATTATATTTTATATCACTTCCTCTTAAGTTAAATAACCAACAGATAGTATCCATTTCTGTTATAATTAGTTCTTCATCATCATTTATAAACTTCCTTACTTCTTCTAGTTTCTCTGTGTATGTTTTTCCACAAATTAATGCATCATCAGGTAAATCAAACATCATAAATTTTTTATAATCACCTTTGTACTGTAAATATTCAAAATTCTTCCTATAAAAAAATTTAAGTGTATAATTCTCTATAGAGTAAATTTTATTAAAAATCCTTTTTGGTTTATTTTCAAATAATTTGTCTACAAGGTCTTCAAGTATAAAAACTATTTCTATATCATATTTTTTTAGTTTATCAGATAGTTCAGTGATATATTTTTTAGAGTAATGCCTAGGATTTAATCCTACTCTTTTTACTAAAATATTTCTATTTATGTATTCATCCAATAAATCTATGCCATATTTTTTTAATTCATAATTTTTAAGTTCATTTTTTGCTTGAATAAAATATCTTGAATCGGTAAACAATGCATTTTTTTCACAGGTTACAGCTATTCCAAAAGAGCCCGTAAATCCTGTAAGAAACTTTACCCTTTGATCTGACACACCTAAATATTCATTCAGATGCTCGTCTGCTGTTATTGTCAGATATGCACCAAGATTATGCTCTTTAAGTAATTTATCCATTTATGGGTAAAAATTTTTACAATGTTTGTTGTTTAATTAAATAATTTACACTTTTATAGTTACATACATAAACATTAAAGATATTTATGTCGTAGCTATCAATCTGCCCTTAAACGCCCGTGTTGACATACGTCTGCGTCATCTTGACTATGTTGAGAAGATCTTAGACAATCTATTTAAATTTGATGTGTTGGTGATGTAACTATGTTAAAATAAATAAATCTATGCTTTTAGTAACAATTCTTTCAGGCATAAAAAATTACTTAAAGTATATAGCATTAAATAATGTACATATTTACTTAAATGTGTACATTGAATATTTTCAAATAAAAATTTTATATCATTTGACACATTCTCATTATTTATAACAGTAACTTTTTAATATTATCCTTGCAGCCAAATCTTGTTATATTTATGCATAAATAGTAGTAGCACATATTTAAACAATTTACATAAAATTATTTTTATTTTAAAACCCTATGATAAAAAAAATCCATAAATCCAACAAAAAAAGTATAAAACTTCTCAATAAACTTGGGTTTAGATCGCCGTACCAAATAATTTTAGACGATAAGTTTATTAATAACTGTAATAAATATTCTAAGAGATATAAACATCTAAAAGAAATATTTAAAAGTGAACCCAAGCTTTTTTTTACTAAATGCATATTAAAAAAATATAAAAGTTATAATCCAAATTATGAAAATGACATAAGTGATAACTGTGAGATGATTAAATGTCCTCATAAAGACAAAGATGATGTTTTAAAATGTCTCGCTTTTGTGTTTAGAAAATTTAACAAGAATCATTATATAATAGGAACATCAGATAAAGAAATTATGGATAAATACAGGAAGAGAGAAGATGTACCTTTACTTAATTTTAATAAGGGACAGATAAGATTATTTTTGAATACAGAAAAATTAATAAATAAGTCAAATACAACCTATGAGGCCACGCCTAAAGAATTAGAAAGACTTGAAAAAATATTTGGTGCGGAGGGCGGCCAGGAAGTATCTGAAAATTCTGGTGAATTTGAAGAAATAAACGTTGATGATTTAGAAGTATCAGAGGATGGTGAAACTACAAATAGTGAATGAAAAAATTAACATTTGAAGAATGTTTAAATTTTAATGGATTATTTGATATTGGTTATTTATGCACATATTGATTTTTTCATTTACTGTATTGTTGTTTTTGCTAACAATTTGTTTAATAATTGGTCATTAATTTATTGAATAATTTTAGATATCTTCTAACTCTTACTATTTTTTTTTTATTATACCGTTTTTAATCTTCGCTTATTAGTAACATAAGTAGTATCACTTATAAGATTATACAAAATAAATCATAATAAACATATTTTATTGTCTATGTTTAAAAATAATATTAATAGAAATTATAACTGTATCATTTCTCATTAATAAAATTTTATTTTTTATCCATGGTCAACCCAAAATTCAATAAAGACTTAGGACAACATATCTTAAAAAACATGGGAGCTATAGATACTATTCTTGAAAAAGCAAAAATAAAACCAACTGATGTTATTTTAGAAATCGGTGGTGGTACAGGAAACTTAACTTTAAAAATGATACCAAAATGTAAAAAACTTATTTGTTATGAAATGGACCCAAGACTCGCTTCAGAACTAGTAAAAAAAATTAATGCAAATCGAGAATATGCTAACAAATTTCAACTTTTTATCGGTGATGCCATGAAACACGACTTTCCATATTTTGATATGTGTATAAGTAATCTACCATACCAAATTAGTAGTCCTTTTATATTTAAACTTTTAACTTATAATTTTAAGTGTGCTTATATAATGTTCCAAAAAGAATTTGCTGATAGGCTTATTGCTAGGCCAGGATCACAAGACTATTGTAGATTGTCTGTGTCTGTGCAACTATTGGCGCAGGTCGATCATATTCTTAAAATTAAAAAAAACTCATTTGTTCCACCTCCTAAAGTCGAATCGGCAGTTGTTAGAATTGAACCCAAAATTCCAAAACCGGTTATAAATTTCGAAGATTTTGACGCTTTGCTAAAAATTTGTTTTTTAAGGAAAAATAAGACATTGTTGGCTAATTTTAGAGGATCAACGTTTATGAAGACTTTGAAAACCAAAAAACGACTAGAGGTAGATGAAGGAGAGAAATTAATTAAAGAAATTTTACAAAATCTTGATTTTAGTTCTAAAAGGGCAACAAAAATGGATACAGACGATTTTTTAGAGTTATATTTGGAATTTAAAAAAAATGATATAGATTTTATTTAAATATGCAAATTTAAATTAAAGTATTTAATTTTTAAGCTTTTTCTTTATGTCCTTAATTTTTTTATCGTTTAATTCACGTTCTTCTTTTTTTGATTTAAATCTTTTGATTTGATCTTTTTTACTAGTTTTTTTTACATGTAATTTGGCTTTAGTGTCCTTTTTTATATCTTTGTCTAGTTTGTAAATTGGCTTAAATGTTTTAAACATTTTTATATGTGTTGTTTGTAAATCTACTTTGGAAGTATCGTGCTCTATTCCAAAAGCACAAGTAACCCCGGGATTATATTTAAAACATAAACCATATTCAATAAATAAATTTTGATCGTGTTCTTTTAAAAAATTTCTAATTTCATTAATGTATAAAGGCTTATTTCTGATGTATATTTTTAATTCTTTCTTTAAAATGTCTATTGAAATATTTTTATAATCTCCGTTAATAAATATTTCTTCAATTTCGTTTTTGTGCATGAAGGGAATATTGTAGTCTGCTATATTATAAAAAGTTTGAATCTGAATATTTATTTTTTAACCCTTCTTTTTTTAAAATTGTAAAATTCTATTTCAATTTTTATTGAAAAGGAGTAAGGTTTATTGTTTTATGCACGACGCAATATTTTTTGCATTTTCCTTTATTTTTTTCCATTTATTAGCACAATATTTCTATGCATTTTCCTTTAGTTTATTCAATTATTTAGATTATAAAATGTTTGTTATTAAATTTTTAATTAAAAGAATGTAATTTTGCATTTAAAACATACTTGGGAACACATCAGGAATGCAGCCAGGTGCTAGATAAGTCTCAAGCACATTTAAGGTTCTAGGGTCTGCTTTTTAAAACTAAGGATAATATTAATATAAGTTTTAGGTAAAGAAGATTTATTAATGTTGGGCTGTGATGGTTTACGACTGTTTCCAATTTTGTTTTGGTGGTAACATGGATTCAGTGTTATTTATTCAACTTTTTTATAGTTTTGTTTGTTTAACATAAACATTTTTTTTAGACACTCAATGATATCAACAAAAAGTAAACAAAATTAATGTGATAATGGTAGGTATCACCACACATACATGACTTTAAGACATACATACAATTGAAATAAAAAAAAGCTTATTAATTAGTATTGATTAAATATAAGCCTAGTTTTTAAATGAGATAGCGTAAGCTAGTATAAAGAATAAAATCATTATGTTTTGAAAATGTATATCCTGCAACAAACAGAGGAATAGAAACTTTAAAAATATTATTAGTTCAATTTTTGAACTAACTTTTATCCTAGCACGACAAGTGTGCTAGAGGAATACTTTAGTACATCATAGATTTATTGGTCTCACATCATATTTCAATACAGATGTTCAATTATTATTAGATTATGTGAAAAGAATTTGGCTTTGTGATAATAGACTATTGTACGATCAAGAGATATGGTCACACTATTATGCTCTTTAGTGCAAGACCAATAATACCTCTTATTGCTTTCATCCAAAGTTAAAAAAGCCAATAAATACGGCAAATATTTTTTTTGGAAGTTTTGTTTACTATTAAAAATGCACAAATGCATACTGAGCTGGAAATTGATATATTAGTTGCTAGAGGCCAACCCAAGAGGAGAAATAAAAATACGTTAATTAAAAAATGAAAATTAAAAACTTATGGCTTTTACATGAAGATTGTTTAGTTTCTTTGAAAAGATTTCTTGATGGACTAAAAAAAGCTGTTAAATTGAATATTTAAAAACGTTTTTAGTTTTCATTTTTTTTGAGTCAAATTTTTTTTAAAAAATAAGCATTTTGGCCCATAACCGTTTTAACTAAGTCATTATCGTAAAATATAGCTCTCACGGTGTAATTTGCATTAAGACATCTCAAAAAGGTTTTACCACTGATTTTTCCTCGTACATCTAAATTTATGCTCATTGATAAATTGCATTTTAGTTCCTTTCTGACCGCATTCTAAAAAGAAATTATTCTCACAGCGATAAAACTTTATAAAAAAATTATGCAATTTGAGACACTACGCTACATTATATCCTAAAAAATGTGTTAAGTTAAAAAATTTATTCTTTTCTAAATTTCATTAAAAAATTGATAAAACTATCTAAATCACTATAAAAGTATTTATAATTTTTAAATATGCGTGCAATTTGATTTTTTAAATTTTCAAGATATTTAATTAATATACTTTCCTTTATATAATCAAAATGCTGATCTTGGTATAGTATTCTTTCTATTAAAGCAATCATATCAAAAAAAATTAAATCCGAAAATAAAGTTGAAAATTTATATTTTTGAAATTTTAACCTATCATCAAAATAATACCGCTTAATTAACTTTTTGATCTCACTAAATTTGCAATCACTGATAAAGGTAAAAACTTGCCATATAAGGTTAAGAACATTTTTTATCAAAATACAATGACGCTGTGGTATTTGCTGGTGCCTAAGTTGTTCAAAAATAATTGAGACACATTTGACAATACGTTTTTTTGGTCTATAAATTCTATTATAAAAATTTGTAAACTTTTTTTTAAAATGAAAATATTCATTATCTGAAATCTTAGAAGCATCTAAAATGTAGTTATTACTAAATTCAGGCAAATTGCCTGATTCAATTAAATCTTTAAATCTTTTTTCAAGCTTTTTTAAGAGGTTTTCAAGTTCTTCTTCATAGTGCAAAATTGTATCATAAGATGTTGCAAAAGATGAAAACTTACAATATGGACAAGATGATAAAAACCAATTTTCAAAGGCACCATCTGTTTGTGTAGGGGCAACAGAAATGCATGAATTTACAACAGTAGTATTATTGTCTTTTGAAGTTCCAGGGAGATTTAAATATGCATTTTTATCTGAATTACCTACAACTGTTTTGTCTAGTGGTAGTGCATCTGAGCGCAGACAAACAAGATTATTTTTAGATTTACAGCCTAAATCTAGTAGTTCTGGATAACTAGATCTTGTTAAATTATTCTCGTAAGAGTCTTTTGAAACGTTATTTTTAATACTTTGTAAAATTGTAGTAGTAGTATCACCACTACATTCATCTTGTTTCAATTCTTTATTGGTAGTATAAACGTTTTGTAAATATTCTATTTCAAACTCTTCAGTTCCCACATCTATACTGCTTTCATCTGAGTCCACGGTCGCATCACATTTTTTTTCAATTTCCATTTTTTCAATGCATTCTTTTTGGATGTATTCACCATTATCTTTACACTTTTTATCCTTCAATATAGAATCGATTGAATGATTAAGAGTACAAAAGTCCCCGTGTGTATTAACGTCTGATAATATTGCTTTTTTAAAAAACAATAGAAAACATATAAAATTCATTTTTGGGGCTACATAAAAAAGTTAATTAAATCGACAATTAATTTAATTTTCTTTTAAAACTAGATTCTAAAAGATATCTGAAACTTTAAAAGCACTTTTTATTTATTATTAAAATTTATTTAATCTTTATTCTGACCTTCTAAACAATCGAATTTGTTTATTAAAAATGTAAATTAAAAATATGTTCATTAATTTACAAATATAAAAATTCTTATATTTTAAATTATCAAAAGAATTCTATTTTGCGAAAATAAAAAATATACAAATTTCTTCATTTGCAATTTAATATGAAAAAATATAGTTAACATTGTTGGTATTAAACATGGGTTTATTTATTATAAATTATTTAACTAACAACATGTCGGATATCTCATGATATAGGAAGATATCTTTGTTATGTGTTGAAGCCATTCCTACAAACATAAAATAATATTTGTAATTAGCACTAAATTTAACGATCATAATACAGAAAATATATAAACTTGTTTACGTTTTTCTTAACACATAGTCTTGGCAAATTTTAGAAACCTTCTTTAAGTGGAAAATGATTTTTAATTAAGAATATTTAATTTTATACGTATTGTAACAAAGGACAAAATTTCTTTAGGTCCGAAAAAAATCTTTTTTGCTAAAATAAACAATTATGTTTATTAAAATATAGAAATGCGGATGTAAAATCGTACTTGAATATAAAAAAAATATTTACATAAATATTTAAGAAAGGGAATAAAAAAATAAAAAAAAGACATTCAACAATATGTGCTTTACACTAGCATGCTAAAAACTTTATATGTAGAAAAAATTTAAACTTTCAAATTCAAAATCCTCAAAGGTTTTTGTGACCTACTTTAGCAGATGTTTAAAAACAAATACATTTAATACAGTTGTGATTTATGACATCAATCCGGCTTTGCAAGCATAATATGGATCCAGCATATTTCTATGACATAGGTAAAAGTAATCTTGTCTTATATATGTAGAACAGTAAAACAGAAATTTTTAATTTTACACATCGAAGCATGTTTTTAAATGTGACTTTTTAAGTTATTTAATAAAGTTTATTAACATTTTTTGTGATTTTAAAGTGTTCTTTATTATTTTTGCTTTTAGCCTTTTTTATAAATATGGCTTGCGCTGTTTCGTTTAAACAAGCCTGTTAAATAAATTTTACAATATTTTACTTTTTAAAAAAATAATGTTTAAGTTTTTACAACATCAACCCATGATGCTTCAATGTCGGAACAATTTAGCTTGTGCTGCACTTTTTTTGATATACATCTTTTTAAAATTTTTACCCTTATTTCTAAAGTTTCTTATATAATAAGAAGAGTATAAAAATATTGCAGATTTTGTAAAAATAAAATAATCAGAAGTGCGAATTCGTTAAGTAATAATAACTTGGCGTTGACACAAAAATTTTCATTAAATATTTGTCGGTCAAGTCGTATCGTAAACCTCTCTGTAGGCGTCGTTTAGGGTTGTAAACATTCTAATGTTACAAGAGGCATAACATCACTAGGTCGGCATACAATTTCTATGGCTGTGGAAAGCATTTGTAGGTTGTATTCGGAATCCTATAGTAAGAAATTACATCTGAAGACCCGCCCGGGAAAGGAGTAGCATATTTTGCGTGGGATGGGGAGAGTCTATTACGGTCATTAGGTCCATATCGCACAGCTTGACCACAAGCCCTGTGAATCCCTAATATGATAGAGCGAACTCTATCAGTTGTCGGTTCGAAAGTATCCTTATGGAGTTAATCAAATCTTTCTACGGGCAAGGCCCTTGTGGTATGCTAGCGCCGTTAATACGCAGATATTGAGATTGAGGAAAAGTAGGTTTTCTCTAAGAGAAAGATAAAGTAATGTATGAACAAGACAAAAAAATTCAAACAAAGTGTATAAAAAATTAAGCTGAGAATTAAAGAAAACATTAATTCTGTTATGTATGTATAGGTAATCAGAAAACTTTGTAACTAAGAATACTATGAGAATCTGACAAGCTGACATATATTTAAAAAGAATTAATTGATAGATAAAATAATACTATAGAGATGCTCAAGATGTAAAAAATTTTTTTTACTAATAATTATAATTTTGAAAAAAAATGATTTACTGTGAAAAGAAAAATTCTTGTAACGTGTAGGACTAGTAAAAATCAAATTTTCATTTTTTAAGATTATCATTATTTTAAAAATGAAAAAAATTTTTATTCGGCTTAAAACTATGCAAATCGTCTTTTTTTCATAATTCAAAAATAATAGAATAAATTAATTTAATTAAATGATTTTTTATTATTTGCTATTAAAATAATTCTTAAAAAATATCAAAAATTAAATGCTCTTGAATGGCGTTTTAGAGAAGAAAATTTTAAGTTTTGTAAAATTTACATTTCTTTTTTATGCTTAACATTAAATAATAGGGGTAGGGAAATTGTAAAGGTGTATTACAAAAAACGTTGCACAGATTAAAATTCTTCTTCAACCTCTTTATATATACACGAAAAAATGTTTTTAAAGCGACACATCTTAAGAGAAAAAATTTAGAATAAAACCTTTAACAGTGACAACCATGCTTTACAATTTTTTTGTATTTTATTGTGGTGTATATAGAAATTTTTAAGGTGAAGTGTCTAAAATAAAAATGTCAATTTTATCTTTTTTTATTTACATTAATTAATTTTTATCGAATTTTAATTTCCTGGCTTTTTGCGTCATTACATTCATTTATTTTCCAAATTAATAGACTATTTCCTTGTAAAATAATATCATAATAAACTTTGTTTAAACTAAACATCCATAAATGTCCATTATTTTTATTTTGAAGACATAAGTCACAGGGAGCAAGTATTGTATACCCTAGTATAATATTACATATTTTACATATGACATTTGATATTAAACAAAGACAGGATTTAGTTCTATATGTTATTCCTGATTTTTTAATATTATCTGTCGGATAGTTAGTACTAAAAAGTTTTATCTTGTTATTAGATATAAGAACTGACCTCATAGATTTTTCAGTGAGACATTTACAACATTTTCGACATTTAAGTGTATAAATATATTTTGTAGTTGATTTCATGCAGTAAAAAAAATTATTAAATTTATATTTTTTTATACACAACCTTAATTAAACTTTAATAAAAAATAATAAATTTAAAAAGAGCGGGAAAAATGTTTAAAAATGTGGTATATTTGTTAAAACATGTCTAAATGTAACTCAGTACCAATTTGTCTTATTAATTTATGTCAATAGTTTCTAAAATTATGTTCAATTTGATTAGTTTTGACTATCTTTATGTCGCATATGCTAATTTTATTACAAATCAAAAATAAACAACGAAATTGTACATGGACATTGAAATAAAAAAGTTTTATGCTGTCTTTTGCAGATTTTTAAGTTAAATTTTAAGCAAAGACAGAAATTTTATCTGCTACTTAATACTAAATTGTATTTAAGTAGTATTGTAGTTAAATATAAAAAATTATTAAAATTTACAAAAATACTTTTCATATTTCAAAAATTAAGTAAAAATTTTATTATAGTAATATCAATTTACTGTAAAAATATATCAAAAATTTTTCTACACTTACAGAGTTGTTGCTGCATTATTGTCATGATAGAGCAAAAAATGTATTTTTAAAACTAACATTTTTTTATAAAATACAATTAATTATAAAACAATCTGTTTATTCGTTATAGAAATAAAAAAATTAGTACTTGATATATAAAATATATAATTATTTTACTTTTCTTATTTAATACAACATCCTTATTGCATTTTTATTGATATCATCTAGAAGTTTTTTTTAATATATTCTCTTAGTTTATTTTTATCTAATTCTAATTTTTTAAATGTTTCATTTTGTATATCAATAAAACAAGGGAAAAAATCTTCAATAAAATTTTTATCATCTAATAGCTTAATATTCCATTTCAAAAAAGAGTAGATATCCGATTTGTATTAAATTTATCAATTTTTATCTTTTGGCTAATAGGACCCGTAAAAATGCGCAAAATTGTATTCGTAACAAAATTCTTCAATTTCTTTTGTAATTTTTCTGAAACACGAATAATTCCTTACTTAGGACTTTTTGTACAAAATTACTCCCAAATAATTTCCTAATTTTATTTTTATAAAAATTGGTATCTTCTTTTTTAAATATCCTTTTAGTATCACAAACCCTTTCTGTTCACTAAATAATAATTGTGACAGACAGAAAATCGTTTAACAGTTAATATTATATACATTTTTTTAGATATTTCATTTGATTCTAGTCATATTAATAAAAAATTTATTATTTTTTTGTCAAATCTATTAATAAAGTAATAATAATAAATAAGTTATACATTTATTTTTATAATAGAAAAAATCCGGCAGTCATTTCCAAAGCAGTTCGTAGCTTTCCTTCTAATTTTTCTTTTGAAGAATATTCGGGTAATAGTAAAGTATTAAAACACGTCTGAGATGATGGAAGTCTTTCTGTATCACATCCATTCTTCATAATAACGAGCTTTAAAGAACCAGCACCCGCTATTGGTATTCTATCATGTCCTGTAATAAATTGAATTAATTTTTTTTTCATTTTTTTGCTGTAAGATTCAAAAATTTCCCAGAAATATTTGATAATAGTAGAATCATTTTTATATCCAGAATAAGATGTTGTAGATTTTATTTCGTCAACATTTAGATTGTTGGATCCCAATATTATCTTTTCTAACTCTTTAGAATTTACAGGTGTTAAAATATTCTTATTTATAACAAAATAAAATCCCTCTTTAATCGCATTAAATTGTTTTTTTATTAATTTATTGAGAATAAAGTCAGAGTATTTATTAATGAACGAATGCAAATTCGCTTTTGTAACTTTAATTTCTCTATTGCGCTTATCTAAATTATAACTCTTTACTTCACCAGTTGTAGTTGTGTAAATAACTGTAAAGGTAAGTTCAAGATTTTCAATTTCTTTTGCACTTAACTTCTTAAGTTTACTAAGCGATAAATATAAACTATGATCTATTTCTTTCAAATCATTAAATGTTGTCTTTTTATTAAGTAACTTTTTGAAAAAGAAACTAGGAAATGGTATATTAAGTACTACATTATTGTATAATGCTATACCTAAAATTTTACCAATACAATAATATTTATCAAAATCTAAACAGTCATTTTTCAACCATATAATATTTTCTGCAATAATAAAAAGTGAATCATCGTGTTTTATTTCGTGACTTAATAACTGAAAATACTCTTTTCTTATTCCGCCAGAATCTACACCTTCCTCATTCTTAAAAGTAATTCGTAATTGTTTATGCATGTCTTCAAATCTAATTTTTAGTAGAATTTTTAAACTCTCAGAATAAATATTTTCACGATTTACTGTTATAAATAAATAAGGTTCAATGTGCCCTTCAAAAAGTGACCTAAAAAACGAATCTTGTAGTGATGTTTTCATTAAATCATTATTTTCGGATTTTAATACTTCTGCTTTAAGGTAAACTGGAAGTATAAATGAATAACTTAAGATGCTTTTACCTTTGGTCCTAAAAAATTTGTATTCTTCTTTAAAATTCATTCTTAAGCAAAATTGATTTAAATAAAATTTCTTATATTGTACAACTTGTAAATTTTCGTTGAATTCAAACATCAAATAAAAGATGTTTAACATTAACTCAAGTCTTTTGTTCTCTCTAATATTAGTATCAGAAAATCTGTTAAGAGTTTTACGCATGTTTACAATTAATCTAAAAAGATCATTTTTATTAAAAAGCTCTTCATTAAAACAAATATAATACTTATTTACTTCTAAATTTTGTTTACAATCATTCACATACAGTTCAGTACTAGAATGTTCTATAAAGCTACCATCACCCTTTTGAGTTTCAAAACCATTCTCAGATTTCATAAAAACTTGTTTTGCATCCCCGTTTTGATCATCAAATGTAACATTAATTAAATTATTAATGGTCTGATCTTTTTCAGATTCTACTTTTTTAAAATTACACTTTTTCGTGTTTGATTTAAATATATCTGTAGAAATTTGAAATATAACAGTAAGTTTCTGCAAATCTGTACATGAATACATGCTTACTATAGAATATAATCGTAAGATTAATAATCCAAGTGTGTAAAATGGACAATCCTTATATTTTTTTATAAGAATATGCACTACACCTGAAATTAAGTAATATTCCTTACTTGACCATTTGTTTTTATTAAAGTAATTACAAAAAAAATGTTTTTCTTCTTCGTTATTAGAAATGTTTAAATCGTACATTCCATTTTCCAAATGTGTATTCGTAATATTTTTAAGAGGCTGTTTATCTTTAACTAAATCCATATTATCATTAAAGTTAGAATTATATGGAGAATATAATATTAGATCGTCTACATTATTATCTTCATATGACTTATTTTTATCAATTTTAAATAAATCAAGATAATGAATTAGTAAATTTATGCATTGGTTTTCTTTAAATTTATATTTATGCAAAGAAATATCACCATTTACAAGTTTGTTTGTATTTTCACACAAAAAAATGTCATCATAATCGCATAAAATAGCAGAAATTTCATCGAGCAAATTTGGATTTTCGATCTTCCTACAAAATGCTTTTAAGCAATTTTGTCTTTTACATCCATAAGATAATTGTTCAGCATACAAATTCTTTTTAATCATAATATTGATATGGGGGTGGTTTTTATAGAGACTGTCCCTTAAAAATTACAATCCTTTTCTTTAATATTGATTAAATAAAAAGGAGAGATAAATATAAAAAGTGTTAAAAATTAATAATAAATGCTTTCAGAGTAACTATGACATTATGTTATAAAACTAATTAAATTCTCATCATTAAGCATGGGGTAAAAATATATTTTTTTAAATAGTAAAATAATTTTCTAATTTTTAAAGAAAATAATTTATTAGTAACACATATAAAATGTATAGAATATAAAATCAACTTATTATCATTATAATAATAGAAAATGACAAAATATTCTATACTTCAAAGTGCATAAAAATACGTGTTTATTTATAACTATTATTACAAGATAATAATTTCTATAAGCATTTTTTAATACTAAAATATACGCATCACTATATTAACAAATTATTATTATAATATTTATTTATTCTTTTTCTTTGTTTTTCTTCTGATGTTTAAGTAACAGAGGTATAAAAATCCGACTTTTAAAAATAGAACAACACCTAAGGAAATAAACAGCATATGCTTTTTAATGCTATTGAAGTATACTGATAAAATAAATACAACTAAAGGACTAATAAACATTAAAAATAGAAATACAAGCAATGATGTCTGATGTCTATACTTAGTTTTACTCTTTCTAGTAATTTCCATGAAAAGGACAAAAATATGACAAAATTATTTAATACACAGAATTTTATTAACTCTATGCAAAGAAATTTTTATTTATTTTTAAATGCATAATAAATAAATGCTTTTATGCAGTAAAGAATCTAAAAATATTTATAAACAGGTTTTTGTAATGAATACATTTATGATTTGATTTTACTACTATCTATTGTTAATTTATATTGTTATGTAATATGATGTTGAAAATTCGCATTTTTTAAAATTACTAAATTAATCCAATCTTGATAAATTATAAAGTCATTAAAAAAGTAATATTATTATTTGAAGTTTTGTACGTTAAATATTATTGTCGAGAATCTTCTATTATCTTTAGAACTAGCTTGCACTATCCTGTTGAAAACGGGATCACAAATATAATGTGGTTCTTTCTTTTTAATGAATATGATTTGCCTTTATGTATGTACTTATTTTATTGTTTTTAATTACAAATTGGCCCTCTTTATTATAAATTAAAATTTGCTATATACACTTTTTATAGGATTAGTATAACTTAATTAAAGCAAGGGAAAATGCACCAAAACACTGTTTTGTGCTTAGAGAAATAAACCCTACATTTATGTTATTCTTATTTAAAAAATAATAAGAATTTTACAAATTTTTTAAAAAAAGGGGTTAAAAAATAAAAAATTGTCTAGATTAATTATTTAAAATGTTTTATTATTGGACCCCATGCAAGACTTTGAAAGAGTTAATTAAAATGTTATTGACAATTTTCAGTAGCAATTAATTTAAAAAAATGCTTTTTTACTTGAAATTTATTTACTTAAATAAATAAATTGTTTTCTTAAATTTAAAAGATTAAAACCACATATCCTAACTAGGCTAGCCTGTTTTTTTAATTTTTTTATCAATAAATCTTTGCAAAATAAATAATCTTTAAGCATTAATAATTTGTATATGCATAGAAAAAGTCTATTTTTTTGTATATAATTCTTTTACTCTACAAGCCTTATGTATCACTACACAATGTACTATTTATTAAAGAAATATTCATATATAACAAAATATAATTTATTAGATAATTTTAGAATATAATGTATAAATAACATTCTTGTAATTACTAAAAACCTCTTCATTGTAATCTAGTTCGTTAAACCCTTTACTGTAATATTCATATACTTTATTATTAGCAAAAATTACAAGCTTTCTGTCTTCTGTAAGAAAAGATGAGATATTGTAACCTTCTATTTTTTTAGATGAAGGAGATCCTTCTTTAAGAATCACATACGGTTTTTTCTTACAATTATTTGAAGTAAGAATTTCTAAATCTTTTATAATTTCAAAACTTCCCGCTTTAACCTCACCCACTTCTTCTTGTAACTTTCCTTGAAATATTTCTACTATAGGAGAATATTCAGAATAAATTATCTTATGCTGTTTACTCTTTTTTTGTACATTCCAAGCATCTTCTTCAAAGTGAAAATTACTAATAAGTTCCTGGTGCAAACATCTTAAAATAAATGAATATCCCTGTTTTATGTCAGTACATCCTTCAAAAGGTACAAGTCCATCAATATACCTCGTGTCTTTAATTTCTAAAAGATTAATTAATTTTGAGAAAAGTGGATATTCTCGTAAATCTAATATTCTTTCCTTAAAATTGCACAGAAAATTAGCAAAAGGATGTGCAGATAAAAGCATTAGTACAAGAAACACAAAATCTTGATTTTCAAGTGAATAATACAAATCTCTGTAATCAATAACATAAGGCTTTATAAGTTGTGCATTGCTAAGCTGTAGATTTTTACCAAAAAGTTTATTTTTATTTACTTTTGATTTTTGTTCTGTTGGTTGATTAATAAATGCTAGTTCTTCTTCCAAAGAAAATGACTTTAAAAAACAAACAGAGCTAGATGGTTTAATTTTCATAAGGGTTAGAAAAAAAATATTTAAATGAATGTGTAAAACTTAAAATATTTTATATGAACTATTTAAATGTATAATTTTATTGATCAGTAAAACAAGTCTTCATTTTACGAAAAATTAATAAAATTGTTACTAATCTCTTTATAACCTAAAGCGGGAGATTTACTGAGGGAAGCTTTGGAATTTTTACTTTGCATTATTTAATTTAGCTTTAATTTATAGTTTTAATTTCACTTTAAAACCTGTTTGGTAAAATTTTGGCTTCATATCATTATGTTTTGCTTTAAATCGAATTGTTGGGTCATTTACAATCACTGATGGCAGAAATAATTTTAAACTTATAAAAATATATTTTTATCTATTAGCAGAACAACCATTATTTTACAAAAAGTTTATCTCATTATTATTAACTTAAATTTAAAAAATCAGTAAAAGTTTAGAAAATCTTATTTTTACAAAAAGTAAATTAAAAAAATATGCATAAATTTAAATTAGATTTTACAAAAATACTGTAACTTAGTATTTTAAGTTTAGACACAAATATAAAAAATTATTTTTATTTTTTTAATCATCTAATAATTTAAATATTTATGTAATACCCTTAAGCTCTTTTTTTGATAATAACCCTAAATTACAATGGAAGTCACTTTAAGAATAAAAAATATAGAAATGTCACAAAACGTAGATACAATAGAATTTGTTTATAAAAATTCTTGTTCAGTTATAAAAGATGTAGTTATTTTTTCAATTGTAACCTTGCATGATTTATTGTTTGAAAAAGTAACATTTCGTTTAAAATCTAGAGGAGCAATTTGGGATAAATATACTGGTGTAGTAAATATTAATAACTCAAGTTTTATAAAAAGATCACTTAAAGATAATATTGAACCTGTATTGTCTAGTGAATATGTCTTTAAGACGGAATTTTATGATTTTGGGGGTTTACAAACAATTGGTAAAATGACATATGATTTTACAATTAATCAGATCTATGAAGGACTTAATGGTGTAGAAGAACAGGATACACTTGTTCAAAAAATATTTACCTTGTTTTTAGATCAGCAGCAGAGTGTTTTAGTAAAAAATTTTCAAACGGTGCTAGATGAATTTTTAATGGGTAGTCGTGGATGTAAAATCAATTTTATATTAGGATTGTACATAATGGAAAAATACACTGCTAATATTTACTATGAAATGACTAAAAATTTAAAATTTGAAAATATAAAAAATCTAAAAAAATTAGAAATTTTTGATAAAACAAATATGTTTTATTTAGGGAGTTTTGTTAATGAAAAAGTTCAGAAATTAACATCATCTGACTTTTTAAAAAAAAATGATTTTGAGATTGAAAAATACTTATTAGGTTCAGATAAAAATTTTAAATATAGTAAAATTACTGATTTTACAAATTACACACCCTCACGAACCAAATCTTCTTCTGATTCTAATAAAGAACACAAATCAAAAACAAAAGAAGAGTTATCAAATCTTTATAAAAAATTTAATGAATTTTACAAAAAAAAATTTAACAATCGAGAAGTCTTAGATCTTCTAGAATCTTGTATGACGGAAATGGTAGAAGAAGATTATTTTAGTAAAAGGATTGAGGATACCTCAGATGAAGATTTTTATATGCTACAAGATTTAGAGAAGTTGTTCCAAGCACCAAAAGATTACAAGCCCATAAAAGAACATTTAAGTAATGATGAGTACATAATTGCACATAAAGACTTCCTTACACAATTTGTAAATTGTTTTTACTTCGCTCTTGGTTCATACGGAAATACATGGCCCACTATATTTTGTGCCAGAAGAAAAAAAGTAAAAAATTCTAAAATGGATGCAAATAGAAAGGCAATATTAGAATTTTTAAATATTGAAAATGAATTTTTGATTTCGATACAGATGGCAGATAAGAATATACCTGAGCATATTATTTTTTATGATAAAGAATATAATAGACTTGTTGTATCATTTAAAGGAACATCAACATCAGAAGAAGCCCTTAAAGATTTGAATTGTAGATATACAAAATTTTACGACGGATTTGCACACAAAGGGATAAAACACATGGCATGTGAATTTGTTAAATACAAGACTAAGATTTTATTAGATCTATTAGAAACTTATAAAACTAAAAATATATTATTTACAGGCCATTCCCTTGGGGCCAGTATAGCTATTTTAGTACATTTAATTTACATTAAACAGGGCATTTCTGAATTCTTAAATATTGTAACAATGGCATTTTGCGCGGCACCTGTTGTATCATTTAATATAGCATCACAAAAATATAAAAATTTATTTGTAATAACGTATGGTAATGATTTTATTGCAAGATTGAATTATGGCAGTTTTATTGAAATGAAATATATTGCCTGTTCTCTTGGAAATAAATCAGGGGTTTTTGGTAAAATTGAAAACATAGAAGATGATTTAAAAAAAATTAAAGTACACAATAAATGTAATAATAAATATCCTAAGTTATTTTGTCCAGGAATAAATTATCATTTTAAAAGAGTTATAGTAATTAAACAGAATAAGAAGATATCTTTAATTCTTTATAAAAAAGTAAATCTTGATTTTTTTGAATCTATGATTGTTATTAAACATGCTACAATACATCATATGTTACCTCACATATTGTATGTTTGTGATCAAGGAATTAAAGATTCGGATGAAATTGACAATAAATAAATATTAACCTAAAAATATTTAATAAAATATGTTATGTACAACAATTTTATAAATTTTATTTATAAAAAATACAGTATTGTATTTTATAAACATATTTTCTATTTAAAATGGCATGTTTACTTTATTTTTAAACTTTTAATTTTCCTCCCCTAAAATGGAAGAAGAAAATTTAGTTCAAATACTAGATTGTATTAAATCTGATGACAATGATTTAAGACAAAATGCTATAAATATGCTTATTGAGTTATTAAAGTCTTCTCATGCAGGGTCTATAAGTACACTTAATTTTAATACAATTATGGAAAAGAAACCTGTTCTTTTAGATCTTTGTGAAATTTTATCGGATAATCAAAAAAGAATGATACATGATATTATAAGTTCTATATCAATAATGGGAGATGATTCAGAAATTTTAAAACATCGTCTTTTAGGGAATGTTATTCCTCTACAAGAATGGGGACACTTGTATGTTAAAAAATTAATAGGGGTGATTGTTAATAATAAGCATAATGGTGAAGATATTAGTAAAGCGCAAGAGGTATCTAAATCATGTGTAGATTTTTTCTTTAAAAATAACATGGAGTTTGATGCTATAGATTTTTTGATAGAAATAGAAGATATTAGATCTATCATTAAATATGTAGAAAAGCACAACTACAAAAGAATAATTTTGTATCTTCAAGAGATGGCTCTATTTTATGAATTGTATGAACTTATAAATGAAATATGCCTGAAAATGAAAGACTTTTCTAGATACATTGTTAATGTTATAGATGGTGGTTATTATGAAGATGCAATAGATTTTGTAGGGAAATGTGAAGATAAAAAAGTAAAGAAACAACTTCTTTACATTTTAGCAAGATGTAATATTTTTTATGATACCAAAGATTTAGAAGAAAAAGCTATTCTATGCAATGGACATATAAAAGATACATATAGAAATGTTATAAAAATCTATGAATTAAATTCAGAAACAAATAAGTCTTCTACATTCAGAAAGCTAAGATATGAGAAAGAATTAAAGGGAATACAACAGAGTAGTTTCAATCCCATTACAGTTTGTAATGGGTTTATAAATTTAGGATATGGACAGGATAGTATATTTTTCCCTAAGAGTGGGGAGGAAATTGAAGGTGTGGAATATTCAACTATACTTAATTCTAATATTCCAGAACTTATTACTATCTTAGGAAGTGTAGGATGTATTGAATTTTGGAATCCTAATAAGGTTATGGAAATTTTACAAGATAATATTTTTGGAGATATTTCTCTTAAACGTACAGGTTCACTTTTGGCTTTAGCTTTATCTTCTTGTAAATTGTATGACGAAAATAAGACTATTTTGTCTCTTCTTACTTCTAACTTGGGATCTAATGATCCACTTCATGTTATTCCCATCCTCTTAGGAATACAATCAATTTATTGTAATACTGCAGAAGAGGACTTGAAAGAACTTTTATGTCCATTGGTTTATTCTGATAATTTAGAAATTTCTTCCTTTGCTGCATTTACTTTAGGAAGTATATTTGTAGGTACAGGGGATGATGAAATACTCTCTGTTCTTTTACAACTTTACATTGAAAAAGAAGATTATGCTGGAACACATTCTTATAAACTTATTATGTTAGGACTGGCTCTATTGTTCTACAGAAGACCTGATTTAGAATGTATTTTAGAAAACATGGATATGACTTATTCAAGACATGGTATTATTTTAATTAAAGGATTCCAAAATATTAAAACAGGTGATCATAATGTAGTAGAAGAAATTCTTACAAATGCATTTTCGGGAGAGACAGATGCTCTACTAGAATCTATTGCATTGCTAAGTTGTTGTCTTGTAGGAATAGGAGATGATCTGGCTCTACAGATGATTTCAAGAATTTGTACTTCTTCTCAACTTTTGGATTCTCCTCATCTTAAAAGTGCTCTTCCTTTATGCTACTCAATTTTATTTCCTTCAAGTTCTAACCAACAAATTGTTGATACACTGGAAAAAAATTTAAATTCAAGTGATGCTTCTATCATCATTACATCTTTGTATGCCTTGGGTGTTATTGGTGCTGGTTCTGTCAGTGGTAGAATTCAAAAAGTGCTGGATTCTCAATATAGCATGACTTACAAAGATCCTAAAGCAGGGACAGTGTTAAGAATTGCAAATGGATTACTATCTCTTGGAAAAGGTCTTTCTTCAATTTCTTATTCTTTTTATGACAGATCATGCATTATTCCCAAAAATTTTATAGGTTTATTTTCTACTACATTTTTGTTACTAGATTCTGTTTCTAGTCCTCTTCTTACTGGAAATACTTACCTTTTTTACTTATTAAATCAGAGTTTTACTCCTAAGTACATTTACACGGAGAAAAAGGTTAACATTAGAATTGGATTACCAGTTAATACTGTTGGTGTTGTAGGAGATCCTCGAAGGATCTCCTCTATGCAGACACATTCTACGCCTGTTATTATAAATACTACTGAGAGAGCAGAAATTGATGAACCGGGATTGACACCATTTATTGAGGATGTAGTGATTTTAGAAAATTAATAAAAGAATTTGTTTTATTTACAATTTGTTTATTTATCTTTTATGCTATTGTTATGCTTTTATTTAGTTAGAATGTCAAAATATTCTACTAGGTAAACAGTAATAAAATACTGTGTATTACATAATTGTTTCTATTTACCGAACATAACTGTTTACGAAATTTAAGATATAAATAATTACAGTATTGTATTTTAAAGATTTTTTTTATGTAGGTTTTCCATTAAATTCAGATGACCTTCTTCTCATATTTTTCCATTCATTTTTATTTTCTATATTGGTATGTTCTATACATTTTCTTAAAATGTCTAAAACTGTGTCTTCAGTAAAATTAGAACTTTTCTTTACAAATTTATCAAGGTTGTAATTAATAAGGCATTTTTCAAAACAGGCATAATTCATGCTTAATAATATTGAAATATATTTAAATATTCTTAATTTACCTTTACTATACCAGTATTTTTTACTTAAAAGGTATATGTTATTAAAAATCTTTGGTAAAATATCATCAATGTATTCAGAAAATATTTTTTTTATAATCCTTGAATCTAAAGTTTTTAGTACTTCTTCTACCAATGGATGATACTCAGAAGATAAACCGAAATTTATAATAAAACACATATCATTTAGAATACCTCTAAAAGGTATTCTTTTAGCCCATCTTATATAAATGTTAAAGTATAATTTAACTAATATAGGCTTATTAATATAATCTACCTTTTCATATAATACAAATATATAATTTAGTGTAAAATTTGATATTTTTACATCTTCACTACAATATTTGTAAATAATGTCAGTTATTAATTTATAATATTCTAAATTTTTAATGGATAAAAATCTTAAAGCTACTTGGTAGAAAAATGAGTCATCTTTGGTATTTTTTATAATTAATTGTAAAAGTTCAAGTAATTCTTCAATTCCTATATGTGTTCTATTGTCCTCATAAAATTGTATTAATTCATTTTCTACAATATATTTTATCTTAATTGAATATGCGTCATAAATATTAATCAATATATTACATATATTCATTCTTTCTCTTTCATCTTCAGATTTTAATAAATGAAATAATGAAAATATATCTTGATCCGAAATTTCTCTAGTAAACATACTTTTTGAATAACATTTACTTGTAATTAATTCAAATATTTTTGTAAATATATTGATATTTGATTTAGTCACATTTCTAATATTAATATCATCACCTGGATAATAAATTATACCAGTAGGAATTGTATTTTTTATTTCTCTAAAAATGACATCTTTACATTTTCTTATAACAATAGAAAATATTTCATCAGTAATTTTTATCTGTTTTAAAATAAGAAATAGGTTATGTAGAGTTAGTGGATCATTGGAATGTATGTCTATTAATATTTGTTTAGAGGGTAAAATTGAAGGTGTCTTGATGACATTGCAAATTTTGACAGGTCTTATTTTTTCTATTTTAATGTTTTGAATAACAAAAGTGTTATCAATCTTCTTATTTGTAGATTTATTATCACTTTCCAACTTTTTAAAATTGTCATCTTCAAAAAGATCATTTAATTTTACCTTTTTAAATTTTCTTTCGGAATTTCTTTGGTTTCTCATTCAAGGATTATATTTATGCATAAAAAAATTAATTTAATACTGGAAATTTGATCTATAAAAATTGACTATAAAAGGCCTGTAATATAAAATATTTTTTAAAGCTTATAAATTTAAAATTTTTAAAAAATTATTCATTAATATTAAGATTTTAAATACAAGATATATAAAACCATTAGAAATTATTTAAAAATTCAATAAATAGTTGTTTTTCTTCCTCAGGTGTATTATTTATTTCATTTTCTTTGTAAATTTCTCTAAGACATAATAGGTGATCATAAATTTCCAGTACTGTAATTATAATGTTAAGAACTCTTCTTTTAGCAAAAAATAGCCCTTTCATGTCATTGTCTGTCTTTTTAATAATAAGTAGTATTTCTATAAAATCTTCCAGAATTTTGTCTAATTTTTTATGAATTTTTTTTACAACCTCGTATTTATGCATAAGGGATTATTAAAAAAAGCATTTTAATATGAAAAAGCTTGGTGATAATATTTTAGCTGATATTAATTGTAGTTAAACATAATTTTAATTTTTTTGTATAGTATTTTATTTGGTTTTATTTAATACAAAATTGCGCAAAGTAAGAAAAATTTAAGATGTAACACTGTAAGGTTTACATCTTTAATAGTAATGAGGTTATATTTATTTAACAATAGATAATTAAAATATATAATAAAAAATAAATTAAGATTACTCCTATAAAAAATCCTAGTACATTTGTAAAATAAAAATGTATAAATACTAAATTGACATGACTAGATTCAGACAGCATAAGGAAGTGAGCCAATAAAAAAATACAACGAGCAATGAGAACTTAATTTATGTCACAAATAAATAATTTATAAATATAAATTTAAGGCTTTGTAAGAATTACATAACATTGCATTTGAGAAAAATAAAATTTTTTATATGTACATTATTAAACTTTATATAGTCATCCAAAATTTGGACAATTAAAATATCGGCAATGAGCATATTTATCTTTAAATATGTTAACAGTGTTAAATTAATAATTTATAAAAAAAATCTTTAAACATTTTTATCAAAATATTTTTTTCGTGCAACTTTTCTATCAAAATTGCGTATTCACTAACGGTTGTATATCAACAACTCGATTTTTGATTTTTAAGACAAGTTCTACATTTATAAACACATAATTTTTTAAAATCAAGTGTAACTTCTTGTTTTCAAAATATTATATTTTTTTACAAACCTATTCAATTACTTCTTAGCTTTGTATATTTTTTATGCACTATTTTTACCCCTAAAATGTTATTTATCCCAAATATGATTGTAATTCCTACAGCTGGTAAGTTTGCTGGTAAAAAAGCAGTAGTAATTAAAAATATTGATGATAGAATCTGTCTAATTGCTGGTGTTCAGAGATTACCTAAAGAAAGTGAGGATTACATGTCAAAGGTAGAAAAAAGAAAAAATGATAGATTTTTATCATTTGTTAAGAAAGTTAATGTAAGACATCTTATGGCTACTAGATATAAAGCAGACATTGGATTAAGTGAAGTAGATTACTCTCAAATATCTAACATTAATTCTAAGAAGGAAGTAAGAAATAAAGTAGTCGATATTATGAAGAAAGCACAAGAAAATGGAAAGGCCAAGTTTTTATTTACTGAACTTAAATTTTATTAAAATATTTATCTTTTATTTTATCAGTTTTTTTCATTAATCAGTATTTTTCACAAATTAGTATTTTTTACTTTTTAGCCCTCAGCATGGCTACGTTTCAAGACTTTGAAGACCCACAAAAAAATAAATGTATGAAATTGTTTTATGAATCTTTAAAATATAATTTACCGTCATTTGATGAGGAGCGTTTACACAGTTTATCTTTTGAACTGACTCGATCAATTTACAAAAATTTTAGTAACGATTTACCGAAAATTGTTAGATCGAAATGTTTTAACTTAAAGGACAAAAATAACCCTAGAATTTGTAAGGAAGTATATGAAGGAACAATTAAGCCAGATGAATATATATTGATGTCTAATGAAGATATGAAGTCTAAAGATTTGAAAGAGCAAGAAAGAAAAGCGTATGAAGAAAGTTTATATGATATTCAAATGCCAGAAATACAAGCAGAGACAGATATGTTCAAATGTTCTACCTGTGGACAAAGGAAATCTTCTTATAGGCAGTTGCAGACCAGATCAGCAGATGAACCCATGACTACTTTCGTAACATGTGTGTGTGGACATAAGTGGAAATTTTGCTAAGATTTTATTTGAATAAATTAATTGGTTTTATTTATTTTTTATGCTTTTTGTTCAATTTTAAGGAATACCAGATAACACAACACTGTTAAGAGATATTTTTTGAAAAATGTTTTCAACACATGTAGTTTAATGACAATAGCTTTTATAAATATATTTATTATTCATGTGATCCATCATTTATATTTTTAAAGGTAATTTTTTGATAATAAGATTGTTACAATTTGAGGAAAGTTATTGGTAATTTTAAATATTATTAATTTAGCAACTTGCTAGTGATAAATTGATTGTGTCATGACAGTAAATAAAAAAAAACTACAAAAAAATGTAAATAACAAAAGATATATTTTAAAAGAGCATTTGTAAAAAATCATTTTAACAGTATTATAGTTTGTACGTAGACACAAACAAATTTAAAATAAATTAAAAACGTAATTGTATATCTATCACCATAAATGATTTATTAAATTAATTAAATATAATTATAAATTTTATCAAGTACATATTTTGAAAATTCTTTCCTTCCCTTTCCTTCAACAATAATTTTGCTACTAGAAAATATCGTAATTTGTATATCAAATAATTTTTCATTTTTTATTTTCATAACACCATTTTTTCCAATAAAACAATTATAGAAATTTGCTGGTATTTCCAATATGCAAATATTTTTATCACTCTCATATTTATAAAGCATAACACTAGTATCATCAACATAACCTTTACAAACAGAAGAATCAGAGAAGTTTGAAGATTTACTTACAAGAATCCGTCTTTTTTCCTTTTTATGTACTATATTTTTGTACAATGTGGATAAATTGTTAATAAAAGATTCTTCATTTTCTTCTACATACATTCTAAATGGGTTCAACATAACAAAATATTAATTATTTTGTATAATGTTTTCAAAAAAATATACAACCTTTAAGGTTTTAAGTAATTTTTTGTAAACAAACACCACATATATTAAATCTGAAGGTTTGTCTACTTTAATACAATTAATTAATCCTTGAAAATGCAATGTTCCTAAAATTTGACATTTTTCACAATCAAGGCATCCGATTTCTTTTATTGATTGTTTTAGCTTATTTATATAATTTGTTTCTTCTTGATCAATTTTATAATTAATTTGTTTGTTTTCTGCATAAAATTTAATTTTTTTTCGTATAAAAAGTAAAAGTAGCATAAAATTATGAAAATATTTTCTTTGTCTCAAATAAACATTAATATTATGGTAGTAAAAAAAATACAAGTTATAGTAATTGTAAGCTATGTGCAAATTAATAGCAAAATGTAATCCTGAAATCAAATATACAAGAAATTTATCATTTTTAATGTTACAAATATCAGTAATGTTCTTCCAAATTTCTGATCCATTTTTACAATGTGTTTTACATTCCACAAGATCTTTAAGATTTACACTATCTTTTATAAAATTTATTTTTCTGCATGAAAAGATGGTACATTTTTTTGTGTCACATGGCTCAACTGTTACTTTTATTTTTTCAATATTAAAATTGTCAAATAATCTAATTTCATTTGATAAAAATTTCAAAGTAAAATTTGTAATTAAAAATATAGAATACATTATAAGGGTAATAATTTAAAAAAATTGCTTTTTTTAGTTATTTAAGAAGGAATAAAATCATAATAAAGTTGAATTACAAAATTTATTACAGAAAAAAAACAATTTTAATTATCTTTTGATTTTAATAATAACACAAATAAATTTAATAAAAAAATAATTTATGTAAAAAATATCAACACTGAAACAAATTTCCCTCCTATTTTTTATTTATTTTTAAAAATACCAAGCCCCCAATGGCAAGAACAAAACAATCTGCAAAAAAGACAACTGGAGGTAAAGCTCCCAGAAAGCAATTAGCTGCTAAGTCTACGAAAAAGACACCAACCGGCACACCTGGATCAACAGAGAAGAGGACTAAGCAGAGGCATAGATCTGGTGCACTTGTTCTTAAGGAGATAAGAAGATATAGGAAAGGTACAGAATGTTTAATAAGGAGACTTCCTTTTCAGAGACATTGTCGTGCAATTGTAAGAGAATCTAATAATGCAGCCGAAATTAGATTTCAAGGACCTGCTCTTGCAGCTATTCAAGAGGCGGTAGAATGTTATCTTGTAGGATTATTTGAAGATTCACTTCTATGTGCTACACACGCTAGAAGATGTACAGTTATGGCTAGGGATATACTTCTTACACTGAAATTAAGATCTAGGGTTATTAATACATGGACTGAGCCTTAATAGTGAATAAAAATATTTCTTAAATGTTATTTTTTTATTAAATTTTATATACCTTATGCGCTTCTTTATACTCTATACGTTTTTATATTTGATAAAAGATTTGTAGTATTTTTATAAGACTTATAAATTTTTTAAAAATTTTTACATTTGTTATAAAGTTTATTTAAAATATTTTAATCAATTTCTTGGAATAAATTAATAAAATATATATAAGTAAATTACTTAAGTGTAGTGTATTTGTAGTTATTATACCATACATCTGTACATACGCCACTGTACCTATATAAGTTAAAAGGGATACAATATAATATATAATGTTGTCTACTAGTGGCTCTGTGTATATACTATTTATTCTAAAAAAACAAGCACATACTAAAAATATAACTAGCTGAGGATATGAAGATAACGCCAAGAAGTTCTTTATACCCATTTCATTTGTAAAAATATTTGCTACTACTGTATAAGATACATAACTTACAATACTAAAGAAATTATTATGACCAGACAACACAATTTTTATCCCGTCAAATTCTTTATCCTTAAGTATAAAAACTGAGATTATTAGTACAAAAAGTAAATACATAGAAAGATGTGAAGCAGACAAGGATTTTCTATCAGAAATTAAGAATTTAAACAGACTAGCAATGTATAACCCTGCACAATTAATAAGAAGACTAAATTCAATATTAAATTTGTTGCATCCATCAATAAATTTACAATAAGAAACGCTATATAACAATCCTGCGACAAATCCTCCTGTAATGTTTTCTTCAGAAAATTTAGTTAGTTGAATCGCGAATACAAGTGTACAAGTTAACGGTACTAAAAACATATCTGTGCAAAATGTAGATGTATTCTGACTGTATGTGTACTTGTAAGCAAATAATGTAGAAAGAATAAGACCGTAGAGATATTTCCTAAGATTTAGCATAAAGGGGGTGGAAATAAATTTCGTAATTTTATTAAAGGAGTGTATAATTTACTTTCTAAAATAATTAAAATGATTAGTTTTATATATTAAGTAATTTTTAGTCATTTAACATTCATCTTATTTGTCTTATCTGTTACAATGTTTTATGCAGTTTTTATAGTTAACTTTTTTTACCCCCTAGAATGATCGACAAATTTCTTTCTAAATTATATAAATGTGAATACCTTACAGAAACAGAAGTACAAGAATTATGTAAAATATCAATAGATGTGTTTATAAAAGAAGATAACGTAATAAATGTTAATGGTCCAGTAACTGTCTGTGGTGATGTACACGGGCAGTTTCACGATTTATTGGAATTATTTAAGGTGGGCGGATTACCACCCTACACTAATTATTTATTTATGGGAGATTATGTGGATAGGGGATATCATTCTGTTGAGACTCTTAGCATTTTATTGTGTTTAAAAGTAAAATATCCAAATAGGATTTATCTTCTAAGAGGCAATCATGAGTCCCGGCAGATAACCCAAGTTTATGGATTTTTTGACGAGTGTATACGAAAATATGCATCAAGTAATGTATGGAGATATTTTACTGAATTATTTGATTACCTTCCTGTTAGTGCTGTAATTAATAATGATACCTTTTGTTGCCATGGTGGCCTTAGTCCATCATTTGAAACTTTAGATCAACTTAAAAGCATAGATAGAAAGATAGAAGTGCCACATGAGGGGGCTATGTGTGATCTTTTATGGTCAGATCCTGACGAGACACAAGGATGGGGACCATCCCCTAGGGGTGCGGGATACACTTTTGGTCCTGATATCACAAATAAATTTACAGCTACAAATAATTTGAAAATGATATGCAGAGCTCATCAAGTTGTAATGGATGGATATTCGTGGAATCATGATAAACATTGTGTAACAATATTTAGTGCACCTAATTACTGCTACAGGTGTGGAAATCTAGCAACTCTTATGCAAATGGACGAACATGGAAGGTATGATTTTACACAATTTGAGCCATCTCCTGTTAAAGTGGAAGATTTTGTTTTATCTAAAATACCAGATTATTTTTTGTAAAATTAAATTTTACTCGAATTTGTTTAAGTTATTATTAGTTAATTAAATTTTTATAAAAAATAAATTGTTAAATACAACAAAATTATTTTAAATTTATTCATAAATTACTTTACAGCACTTTGCGTTATAATAAGAATTTACAAAGTGAACTAATAAATGTAGTATTTTCTACCACTATTTTTATATCTCCAATCATAAAATAATTACAATATTCTTTGACTGAAATATCATCGATACATATAGATTTTGTATTTAGTTTACTGCTCATTAATAATCTTTTATTTGTCAAAATAAGACAATTATTTCCAAAAGATAATTCATGAAGTTTATTTTTGTAAAAAATATTTGCATATGTTCCATCTGTAAATACCTCATCTGTATATTTGTCATCCATTTTATTAAAAATATAAAATGAGGCACTAAGCCCGTAATTATATTTTTCAATATACAATCTCATAGGCATCGGATATTTTAATCTATAATCAGAATGTTGGCCACTATACCATGGTACAGGCAAATTTTTATCTTCTTTATAACCCAAATTTACATACTTTGTGTATAAATTATTTTTAATATTTTTAAAAATTAATCCAATAAACTTCTTTGTTAATTTACTTTTATAAAACTTGTAAATATTCTCATGTAAAGATATCAGTGTACCTGTAAAAAACTTAATCTCAAAAAGCTCTAATTTAACATTGACGTAGTATTTGTATAAAATTGTACATTCGATAGAATTAATCACAAAACTTTTAAAGTTATAATAAATTAAAACATTATTATTTGTTTTATAAAAGTTTTTAAAAATAGCAACTTTATCTAAAAATTCGTTATATACTAGATGAAAATTGCCAACATCGATATATATTTCATCATTAGCTTTAATTAAATTTATAAAATTATCTCCTACACTTTTAAAAATTATAGGATGCTTAGTAAAATACTCTTGGTTGTCAATTTGTGCATATTTTATATTTAATTTAAAAATATCTTCTGAATAAAGTAAATCGATATCCGATAAAAATATAAGCATTACTTCCCTATTAGAAATATTAAACACATTAATAATCAAATCATCAATGTGTAAATCTAAAGTGGATTTAAAAGATTTAATATCATCTTTTTTAAAAAAATCAAAAGGATTAATATTCGATACAGTATGCATTATATTATCGCTGATATTAATAAATAAATCTTCTACACTTATATTGTTATTAGTATATTTAACACTACAGTCCTCGACAATAAAATTATTATTAAACATTAAATCAAATATTAATGATATTTCTAGAGGATCAAGATGTGCTTCCTTTATGTAGAGTGTTATATCCTTGTGATGAACTTGCAAATTCTCTACAGAAATATCAAAATTAAAAGGATTTTCCTTATTTTGATAATACTTTATAAGAGATTCTATATCACCTATAATAAAATTATTAACTTTTACCTTAAATGTTCTATTTATACAACAAATTTCAAGATATTTTATATCATTATTACTAAAAGTACTTGTAAAATTTATTAAAAAACATTCTTCGTTTAAATTTTCGTTGCAGAGATAAACTAATCGATGAATAAATAAATCTTTATGAAAAATATTTAAAATAACAATATTAAAATTTATAAACTCTAATAAAAAATCAATAAAAACTTCTAATTTGTTATCTGTCTTATAATTAGGCTCTTCATTAAATTTTACAGTATTAATAATAATCTCTTTTTGTATACAAATGCTTTCTATTTCTAAAAAATTATTATATTTAAATTTATAAATATTTTTATCCAATAAAAAAGAGATTTTTTCGTTTAGAAACAAAATATTAACAGTCATTTGTGGTAAATCTTGCAAAATATTACTTATACTTTTTAACTCAAAATTATACCTTTTTTGTGATTCTATCTGTAAAATGTTTTTTTTTATTAAAATATTTAAATGTTGGCTATCAGTTCTAATGCAAAATATATCATTTTTAACTTCTATACTTTTTTCAAATTTGATATCAGTGTTATAAAATTTCATTCCAAGAATCTTAATCTTCTTTATGTTACATACCGATTTATTACTGTTACTAATCGTAATTTCTCTAAGATTAGCATGTAAATTATTTATTGTTACTTTTTCAACCAAAATTTTCAATTTTTTTGGTTCTAATGTTTTACTATTTGAAAAATCTAAAAAAGCATTGTAAATTTCTTTGATATTTATACAAGCTTCACTAAAAATATATCCATTAATGCTTTTAATAAACCTCGGTGATGTAAGAATTTTTACTTTTTTGTAAATTATTTCTAATCCTTTAATTTCTCCATCCTTAACTTCTAAAATCTTAATTTTAAAATCTTTATAAATTATAGTAGCTGTACATATTTTTAAATCATAATTAAAATCTTCATTTTTAGTAAAACAGGGTATTTTATCAACCACTATGAATAAATTATTAATTAGCACAATATCTTGGATAAGAGAAAATTTATATCGCAAATGTGCTATAGTACTTCTAATATTATAAAAAAAATCTGGATTTATGGAAATATCGTATAAATCTACAGTTTGCTCAAATATATTGTATTTAACATTAAGCGGATTTATATTTGTAAAATATTTTGAAACGTATTTAGATATAAAAGACTTAATCATATCTGGGGTAGCTAAATCCAGTAACATTAAATATTATTGCCTAAACAAATATTAAATAAATATGCGCAATGCAAAAATTTCGTATATACAAAATTTAAATATTTGCTGTAATTTTACAAATATATTTTAAAAATTAAATTTTATAAGTTTTATGCATTTTAAGTCTTTATAAGTTTTTTTGCATAAATTTTAACAAACAAACTATTCAAATTTAAAAAAATATCTTAATATTATAATACATTACCCTAAATATACAAATGGACGCAGCAGGCCCTAAACAATTTGATTATCTTTTTAAAATTGTCTTAATAGGTGATTCGGCTGTTGGTAAAACAAATTTGTTAAGTCAACTAATTCATAAAAAGTATTTATCAGACAGTCGAGCCACAATAGGTGTTGAATTTGGGACAATGACATTTAATATTGATAATAAAATAATTAAAGCACAAATTTGGGATACCGCGGGTCAAGAAAGGTATCAAGCAATAACGCATGCTTACTACAGAGGATCAAGCGGATCAATTTTGGTATACGATGTCACTCAACCCAACACACTAAAAAAGGCATTAGAAACTTGGTTGGTACAATTGAAAAATCATACAGAAAATATTCCTATCATGCTGATTGGCAATAAAACGGATTTACAACGTCAGGTATCAACAGAAAATGGGAAAGAAGAAGCTTTTAGAAATTCTATAATGTATTTTGAGACATCAGCTAAAACAGGTGAAAATGTAAATGAAGCTTTTCATGAATTAATTACTGTAATTTACAACAAGCACAAGGAAAAAGAATTAAAAAAAGGCAGTAAAGCAAAAAGTAAAACCTTCTCTGGCAAGGAAATTAAAAACATAAAACAGAAAAAGAAAAAAAGCTGTTGTTAATAAACTGTTTATATTACTTTTTTAATTTTATAATAACATATAGAAAATAGAGGTATTGACAAGTTGTCATTGCATAAATCTATATATTCTATTAATCCTACAAATAAAAAATAAAAAAAATTTGTTTTCTTATAACAATAGAGATTTACAATTACTGCAGATAATACTCCAGATATACTTCCTAAAAAACTTTTAGATGTATTTTTAAAGTATAAACCTACAATTGATGCCATAGAATCAAGAATACAAACAGCCATTAAAGTAGATCTATAATTTTCTAATTCTAAATAATAATAGGGAAATAAACAAGACATCAAAAGATAAACATGTGAAAATAAAACATTATTGCAATCTTTTGCACTAAGAAAATTTCTAAAGAACATTCTAAATAACTTTGATTTAGATGTCAATATAAATCCAAAAAAAGCGTATTCTGATAGTTCAATAAGAAAATCTGATGGATTATAAAAAACACAAAAACATACAAAATGAAATAATTTTCTATTCAAATTTATACGCTGCACACGGGAAATACTTTTTATATTAGAAATGCAATTTTGTAATTTCAATATACATAGCAATATCGTTAACAAGCTTAAGGTTTTATAAAAATTATTTAAAATTAAATTAATAAATTTAAATAAATTAAATGTAAAGAAAACTTGAAAAAAAATATCTCTGTTGCATAAAACTAATCTAGAAAGTAATATTAAATATGGATTATTTACTCTAGGCTCGATATCTTCAAAAATAAAAGATAAAGCTATTTTCTCAATGTAAGAAATACTATATTTGTTGAGAGATGCGAATGTAAAAAAAATGCTTAATAATTTTATTAACATGTATGGGATAAAAAAATCTAAAATTTTAAATAGCACTTTAATATTAAGTTATTCTAATGTTTTCTCGGTTAGTCTCATGACTTTTTTTGTATATGCATTTATGTCGAGTCTGTATTGTGTAGCAGCATCTACATTGGCAGGACTGTCACAATTTGGAGATGTTAATAAACACACAATACTCATAATAACGCTCTCTGGATGCCTAACAGGCATCCATCTTTCACTCAATTCTTCATATCCAAAAGCGTCATCTCCAGGTTTGTGTAAAATGCTTATACAAACATTTCCATCAGAATCTATATTTGGATGCCACATTTCGGAAATAAATCTAAATGTTGGTGGCGCTTCTGGATAGTTAACTGGAAAAACCATTTTTGCTTTAAAAATTCCATTTTCATATGGTGTATCACGTGGTCCAAAAATCAAAACTTCCCATGTATAAATATTGTTCTCTATTAGTCCTACACTAAAATGTTCATTAATTTTAGCTTGGATATTCTTATATTCATTAAGAATAAATATTTTAGACCTGTTTCCTTCATTATGCTTCATATTTATTTATGGGGATTTTTTTTTTAAATTTGTTTGTAAATAGAAACAAATTACTTTTTTAAAATACAAAAATATTTTTTTTGCCCTTAAATGATTGACAGTACAGTAAAATACAAAATTTTCCCAGAACAAACAGGCATATCACTTAGTCCTTATGCTACTGCTGAAGAAATTAAACAAAGTAGAAGAATTAACAAGATGCGAGACGGATTTGTTGTTCCTAAGACTGCTATAGATGCTACTTATGTTGATAAAAAATGTCCTTTTACAGGAGATGTCAGGGTAACAGGAAAAATTTTTGAAGGAGTAGTTTATAAAATGAAAGCAGATAAGACTATAGTTGTGAGAATCAACAGATTAGTTTATAATAAGAAATACAGAAGGTTTGGCAGAAGACATACGAATGTTAGTTCTCATATGTCTCCTTGTTTTGAAGGTCTTATTAATGTGGGTGATACAGTTATTTGTGGAGAGACGAGAAGATTAAGCAAGACTAAAAGTAGTGTAGTTTTAGACTTTAAGAAGAAAAGCACTGAAGGAAATTTTAAAAGATTAGAAGATTTCTAATAAATTATTTTTTTTATTTTTTTCTCCCTGCATGAATTTATTAAATTTAATAGAGAAAGTTGTAAGCTTTAAGTGTAAGCAAGCAGCTCCTTCTAAAAGTATTAAGCTATCAAAAGTGTACAGAATACCATCAATTATTAATCTCAGAAAAAACTATCCAACCTTTAGAGTAGAACATAATTTTTCTGATTTAAATACACAAATATTGCTTTGTGATTCTGGAGAGCATGAAATTGTTTTGATACTAAATTACAACTTCTTTCATTATAGTGAGATTATTAATACAATTTGTGATATTCCTATGCCTGTTTCTTATGAAACAGTTGGAGATGTAATACATTTTAATCTTAATGTTGAACATTTACCTTACAAATATCTTATTGGGAAGATTTTATATGATAAAACTGGTTGTACTGTTATTAATAAATTAGGAAATATTAAATCAACATTTAGATACTATGATTTTGAGTACATAGGAGGGAAAGTAGATATTAATAGTTTAAATTATAACAATGAAAAAGAAGTTAATATTGATGGAACAAAATATACGATATATAAAGAAGAAGACATTGTTGATATAAAAGAAAGGGAATGTAAAAATACATGTAAAAGTTATACTACACTTTCTAAAGACGATTTTAATAAAGAATTGTTGGATTTATTAATTAAAGATTACTGCAATAAAAAAATTTTAATTAAAATGGATAAATTAGAAACAACATTGATACAAAATGATGTGAAATTTTTTATAGACTTAAAAAATGTTTACTGGTGCAGTAAATTGCAAGAAGAACGTAGAAAATTAATTAATGAAATTGATTCTAAGTCTGTAGTGTGTGATGCTTTTTGTGGTGCGGGACCTATGGTCATACCACTTTTAAAAAAAGGCTGTCAAGTGTATTGTAATGATCTCAACGAAAAAGCAATTAATTGTTTGAAAATTAATCTAAAGATAAATAAAATAGAAGAGGGTTTTAATATTGAAAATCAAGATGCAAAAGTCTTTTTAAAAAATATACAAAATGTTAAAATAGATCATTATATACTTAATTTACCAGAATATAGTATAGATTATTTGAAATATATTAATCAAGGGAAAGTACATTGTTACTTTTTTAGTAATGAAAATGATGTAAAAAACTATGTATTTGTAAAAACGGGAATTATTAATCCAAATATTAGATTAATACGAAAAGTTTCACCAAGTAAGAATGTATACAAATTGTTTATTAATTTAAATAAGTGAATATAATGCTGCTGTTTTAGAATAAAAAATTTCATATAATTATTATTTTTAATTTATCAAAAAGATTGAATAATAAATAATTAATACAATAAGGTTGATCACTCCTGAAATATTTTATACTGTAAGTATGTAAATATAATATTAAGGACTTTTTCATAACAAAAATTTAACAATTTTTTTCCATTTTATTTAGTAAAAGTTCTTATCACAACATGCCATAACTTTGTCTATAACAAATTATTCTTTATTTTTTTGTGGTTTAAATCCACAATCAAGTTTCAAAACTTTGTTATTTGAAAATTTTATTTAGCTAAGGAATGGAAAAAAAGGAGTAAACGTTCAAAGAAAAAAGCAGAATATAAGATTACCAAAAGTAAAATTGGTATAATAAAACATAAAAAAGATTAAGAGCAACGATATTAGAAATATTGTTGAGTTGTTTTCAAAGAAGGTGTTTACTTTCGAAGTACAAACACGACAATATTAAAGTTACACTAAATAACATTGTATTAATCAAAAAATTGGAAATAATTTGATTTTTGTGATTAAATTAACTACAAGATTTAATAAAATTGGATTTTTATAATAATTATGAGATGATGTCTAACATCTATTTTTTTAAAAATAGAAGTTATGTAAGCCAAAGTTAAATTATTTTATGTCTGTTTTTTTATTAAACATTTTATAAAGATATTTTTATCAATAACACTATACGCATTGTATCTCTTTTAGTCAATAAAGTAAATTTACTATATAAAACATTGTCATTTACATAAATTAAAGCCAGTATCCTTTTTATTACTTTTTATTTTATAAACTCATTGCCCTTATCTATGAACTCCTTTACCCCACAACAAAGAAGCCATGTATTTTTAAATGCCATTACTATGTATGAAGATATATCTTATACAATTATTAATATTACTTTTAGTTTTGTAGAGTTAGTCATCGGTGTGGCTGTACTAGTTATCACAAGAGAATCAGATAATTTTTTATATCTTAAAAATTTCTTATTTATGTTTTCAATTTTCAATACAATGCTTTTATTTCTTTATGTATCTAGAATAATTTATTTTAGTCAAATTATTGATCAGCCACATCTTTATTCGCAGAGAATTATTGTGTACGAATATATTTGTAGAACGCTAAAAATGTATTTTCAGCTTAGTGCAGCATATTTGACTATGCATAATTATGTGTTAAAACAAAAATATAAAATGCTTTACTATACTCATATAATAGCCATTATACTTGATTTTATTATAGCTGGTTGTCCTATGCTTTCTGCCTCTTTTTATGTGTTATTTTCTTTTTTGTTTTGTAAATCAGAAAAATATGAAACACTGACAGTTACCAGTCAAAATATTGCAAATTTTAATAGTTGTGCTATCTGTTTAGAAAATTATGAAGTAGATCAAAATGTATCTAAATTAATATGTCAACATATTTTTCACAGAGATTGTATTCAGGAGTGGTTTCAAATGAGTCAAACATGTCCGGCCTGTAAAAAAGATCTATGGATTAAACTTGAAATTTATGAAGAGGAGAAGTTAAAGATATAATTTTTTCTCCTTATTTATGATTGTACAAAATTTAATAGAATGTTATGTAAATGAAAAAAGTACAAAAGCTATTCTTAAATATAAAAAAGAAGTAGTAGACTATTTTTATCAAAAATTATTAGAACAAAAAGAAAAATATAAGATTTTTATAGCTGGGAAATCCAACGTAATGAAAAGCATATATGAGTTAGAAATTGAAAGAATAGAATTTTTATTGCGAGAATATTTAATAATAAGATTAGAGAAAATGAAAGAAGATTATTATATCGATTTGAATCTTTTGTCATCTCAAGAAGTAGTTTATTACACGAGATTACAAAAAATAGCACCATTTAAAAACAAAAAAAATGATAAAATTGAAGTTATTGGTTTTTTATGTAAAAAAGATTTAGGAAATGTTATTTTAGATGATGAAAATGTAGAAATGTGTAAAGATGATTTTTTTGTCGGTCCTTTAAATGATGTTTACGATTTAATCATTAATGAAGACATAAAACTAGTATAAAAATTAATAAAACATCCTTGTTATTTAAATGGGTTATTTTTTGACTTATATTGGTTTTGAAAAGTATAAATAATTTATAAACTTTAAATTTATTTATATGTCAGGATATTGGTCATCTAAAAGTTCGTTAAAAAATCCTGTACTTCTTTTACATAAGGGACATGACTCTTTAAGAGCGAGCCATTCATCTACACAATCACAATGAAAATGATGAGTGCAAGGTAAAAATTTTATCTCATTTCCGGGTTCATACTGCTCAAAACATATTGTACATGTTACAGTTTCATCAGGAAGATCATCTGGTTTATTAAATTTAATAATTCTAAATTTAGGTTTAACACATTCTTTTAATAATAAAAGCGCAATAATAGCAAGCAAAGGTAGTATAAACATTGCTATACCTAGTGTAATAAATAGCGCAGACATATAATACAGTATTGGGTTTGTAGTAGAACAGTTGGTACATTCCTGTAACCAATGAAAACCTATAAGGTACCAGAATAAAACAAGAGCTTCTATAAAATTGCTAAATAAAGCCAAATCGGGGTTATCTCTGAATTCTGGGATATTGTCAATACTAAAAAATGTTCTATTTTTAGATAAAAAAGTAATACATCTTATTATTGTTATGACAAGAAATACACCCAGAAAGACTTTTAAAGGCTGTTTACATGTTTCATTTCTTTTTAAATATAGTACAAAAGTTATAGATATTATTTTTGTAAGTTTTATTAAAAGTTCACTTATAATCATGAATCTTATACAAGATAGTGCTGTTAACCTTGTTCTATTTCTAATTATGTGTGTTGTCTGTGAACTATTTGAGACATCCATAATGATATCAACTAGTTTTTTATAAAATGAGAAAAATTGTTTTATTGGTGAAACAAGTAATCAATAAAATAATTTAATAATTGGTTAAATTAAAAACAGTAATAAAAATTATAATAAATTATACAATAAAATTAAGTTAAATCCAAAAATATTTAGTATTTTTTAAAATTAATTTTTATGGTATATCTGAAATATCTTCTAAAGTAAGTAACTCAGCTCTATGTGCTAAAATCATAATATACAAAAAAATCATTAATAATGGCAAAATAAATAGTGCTATTTCTAATATAACAATGCTTTTTGTAAGATAAAATAATAAAGGTTCTGTAATATTACATTTCTCGCATATTTCTAAATAGTCTAAACCTCTAAAGTATAAAACAAATAAAAACATCTCTATTAAGCTTTCATATGTATCAAATCCTGAAGGTTCTCTGTATCTTGAAGTTATTTCTGCCATTATTTTAGATTTAATTCTTGATCCTAAACTTAAAGTGCGAGCACTATTTAAGCCGAGATATAAGACTAAAAATTTTTTAAGAGGATGATTTAGAGAGACTTTGCCTCTAATGTAGATAGCAAATAATACCAAACATGTTTGTGTTAATCTATATAATAATTCTATAATGTAAGCAATTCTTAATGCAGAACTAGGAGAATTGTGTAGATTTGGAGATATAAAAACATCTTCGACAGAACTCCCTAAGCCGTCCATCTCCTATAAAAATTAAATTTTTATTAGGTTAATTAAAGAAGCAATAAAATTTCAGTATTAATGATTGGTTTTATAATTTATAACATTGGTTAATAAATCTTTAATTTGATATTAAAAGCTTATTAAAATGGAACATAAATGATTAGACACTTGGTAAATTGGTTTTGCACGAATTATTTTTAAAATTTTTCAATAAAATTAAGCATTTTTTAGATAATTATTTTAAAGCATAGTATTACTTATTGAAAAATAAAAGTATAAATAATTATTCTGTATATTATAAAAATTAAATTAAAAAGGTGTAAAATGCATTATTTTACTTCTAAATTATTTTGATTTATGTTTGAATATTTTTTACAGGTTTCTTTTTTTACGACTTTTCACCTGCACAATATAAAAATATATTTATTTTACAGTATTATTTATGCACAACTAGATAGTAATGAATATATAAATTTTATAAATTCTTAACAGCCTAATAGTATTTTTGTTAGAGATTTGCAAACATTTCTAAAAGGGTATAACAATTTATTGGTTAAAATATGTTTATGTACATTTCTATTTTACTTATATTCTGTATATAAAATAAACACATTTTATACTTAGAAGCATATTTTAGTAAAATTTTAATTTATTCAATTTTTGTCTTAATCTTTTTGTCACAATTTAAAAGATTAAAAAATGCAAAATCTTAAAATTATTTATTATACTATTCCTCAATTAAATTTAGGTTTATTTTATTTATAATAAATTAATTGATAATCTTTGATTATGAAAGTGATAAAAAATAAATTATCACTAGAAGATAAAGAATTTCTTGAAAAATATTTTGAAAACAACTCCAGGCCTAATGATAAGGAGAAGAATGAAATAGCGCACTTTTTAAAGGTATCATACAGAAAAATTAAGAATTGGTTTCAAAATAGGCGGGCTAAGGAGAGATTATGCATGACTTATGAAAAAATATCTGAACACGAAATTGAGGAAAATAAAGTTTACCCTCAATGTAATTCTTTGTATTTAAGGTATTTTTTATTCTAATTAAATTGTTGTAAATACTTAATATTTATTTGTTACTAAAAGAAATTTTACAAAGCACCACATATTTAATACAGTTGTAAGGTATTATTTAATTAAACCAATAATATACTAATAAATATAAAATTTGTTAGTTAAGAATATAAAACTATTTATTTAAGAAAAATAAATATTTGCATAATGGATCATCCAGATTATGAATTTAAAAATGTACAAAAAGGTATAAATGGCAGTGTATTGATTATTGGAGGAAGTAAGCTTTATGTAGGAGCTGTTTATTCGGTGGGCATCTCTTGTTTGTTAACAGGATGTGATCTTGTTTATATTTTTTCTGGAAAATCTGCATTAATTCCTCTTAAATCTCTATTACCTGAAGCTGTTGTCTGTAGAATATCTTATCAAGAATGGATTCTAAAAAGAATAAATATTTGTATTTTAGGACCTGGTCTGTCAATCATTAATAATAAAAATAAACTAGAAAAATTAAATAGAATTTTAGAATATTTACAGAAAAGAGATATTATATTATTAATAGATTCAGATGGACTACGAAACATGGAAAAACTTAATATAAAAGATTTTAAGAATGTAATATTTACGCCTAATAAAAACGAAACAAAATTCTTAAAACCTTTGGCCGCAGGACAATATGCCATTTTTAAAGGCGTCAAAGATCAAATAATGTCTTGCGATGGTACAAAAATTAATATTGAGGATAAATCTTGTGGAAAAAGATGTGGAGGACAAGGAGATTTACTATGTGGTATAATTGCTTCATTAATAATTAAAAGTAAACATACTTTAACAAAAGAGGTATTTATGAACTCTATGAGTTTAGCTTGTAAAATTTTAAGAAGGGCAGGATATCTAGCATATATAGAAAAAGGTGTATCAACAATTTCAAGAGATATAATTGATCAAATACCGAATGCATTTAATGAAATAATTTTCGTAAAAAAATTACAAAATTAATGAAAAATTTTTAATAAAATTAAATACATTAATTAAACAAAAATGAATTTTTTGGGCACCTAGGTCAAAAATTGTAAAATTAAAATAACAAAAAAAATTGTTAACAAGTTTATTTACATATTTATAAAAAGTTTATATGAAAATATAATAAAAGTTAATAACATAAAAAACCAATTTTTTAAAAAAATACTTTTATTGAATAAATATTCTTAATAGCAAGATTATAATTAATAACATTTCATATTTAAAATATTAAAGGTTTAACAAATATTATGCTAGGTTTTTTATTGCATGTTTATATTTATACTAAACCTATATATTTGATGTAACACCAACTTTTTCTAAATCCATAAAATATTTTGTTTTTTAGCTAAAACTGTAGTTTTGCATTTACATTTAAAATACTAAATCTTTTTAGTCTATTTACATTTTAAAAAATTGGTTTTTTTTACTGGTTCGCTTTAAAACATAAAACTTCAAATTTTTCCAGTTTAAGAAACCCATGAAAATTCTTAACGAGGTTATTGACAAAAAAAGAAACAGTGGAAAGATTACAATGATTCCAGAATGTCTTGATGATATTTACGAATTGACTAAAATTATTTTAGTGAATGATAGATTAAAAAGCTATACACATAGAAAGCTATCACTTGACGGAAGAAATCAACAGAAAATTGGTCTATATTTGATGATTAGGCTTGAAAGTTACACAGTTGATTTAGAAAACGGTGTTTTGTACGCAAAAGGAAAAGTTTGTGAAGAAAATGAACATGTAAAAATGGGACTATACCACACATTAGAGATAGAAATAGATAAAAAGTTTACTTTACAAAAAGATAGTTGGACAAAATCAGATTTAAGTCTATTAAAAGAACTAAGTAAAGGATCACAGAACATACTATTTTTTGTATTTTATGAAAAAGATTGTGTCATCTGTTTAGTAGGTAAAAATCGCATAAAAATAATTAATAAATTGGAAGTGAAAAACAAAAAATTTAATAATCTACTAAATATACTTATTTTATATTTGACAAAAGTAGAATTTGTTATTATTTGCTCTGTTATGAATATTGTAAATGATTTTAAAAAATTTATCGAATCTAATTCTGAATTTGTGAAAAAAATTGGAAAAATAAATTTTAATGAAAAAATTTTTAACATTAAATTACCTGGTGATATGAAAAATGATACTATAAAACAGATTGTGAATTTTATTTTGACTGATAAAGATTTATCTAGAAGATTTAATAATTTAAAATATGTACTAGATCTAAAAGAAATAAGCAAATATTTTTTAGAATTTGATAAAGGAAATTATGATTTACTGGTTGGAAAAGCAGAAATTCGAGAAAGTCTAGAATATGGTGCTTTATGTAAAATATTTTTTACTGATGAAATTTTTAGGCCACATTGTATTGACAAGCGAAGGAAAATTGACGAATTTTGTAAAAATTTGGAATGTAATAGAGTAAGCATTTTTGTTATTCCAGTCAATCATTATCTTGGAGAACGTTTAAAAGAAATTGGTGGTGTGTGTGGAATATTAAAATTTGTGTATAAATAGGCTAAGTTGGTTGGAGTTATTTGTTTTGTTTGTTTTATCTTTATTAATAATTATTTTACAAAGAAGTTTATGCAATAAACATATTTAGATAATATTTTTTAATTAATTTTTTTAGAAGTTGTAATTGCGTGGTGTTATTGATAAATTTTAAAAAATAAAGTCAATTAATATTTAAATTAACAAGAACATTTTTATCAAAAAAAAGAATTTTTGGACACCGAGTTTTGAGATAAACTTTTTTTATATTAAAATTATCGTTTTTTTATCAATTTCAACTTTAAAAACAATTTAAATTATATCACATAAAATCAAGTTATTAGATTAAATAAGTATTTACATGTACTATCACAACTTGCATATACTTTTAGCAACCTCTATTTAATGCGCATTTTAAAACCTTTTCTTCTAAAATAATAAAATATTTTATTTAAATAATAGGAACTATTATTTATCTGCATATCGATAAAAATAATTTTTTTTAAGCTTCATTCAGCATTTGAAAGTTAACTCGTTTTTCTTAAATGTAATTTATAAATTTAAGGTGTTTAGCTTTGCAATGGGTAATTTAATTTAAAAATAGATCGTTAGTTTATGCCCAACTAAATGTTTACATTTTGCAAAGCATACAAAATTAAAATTTTTTACAGCAAAAACACACTAAACTAATATTAATTAATTAAATACCTATATTAATTTACACAACGCTTTAAATAATTCTTTATTTAAATTAAAAAAATATTTAATAATATATTTAATATATTAAAAATGCAAATAAACATTTAATATTCAGCCATCGCTAGAATCGTCATTAAAATCTTTATAATCTCCTGAATCGCCATTACTACTTTCTTTCATTTTTACTATAAGTTCTTCATAATCACTATCATCTTCTACAAAAGGCTTGGGTGGAACTATTAACTCTGCGCTAGGTGCATGTGAAACATGTCTTAGATTTTCAGTGATGTTTTCGATCAATTTATCAATATAATCAGAAGTATTCTTATTAGTCATATTGCTAGTAGGTACATCTATTTTATAGGTAGGACCAAAATACTCGTAAAATTCATTAAATGGTAAATCGGAATCGATTTCTTCATTCAAAACAGTGGCTGTATCATACGCCCATGCTCGACTAACATTTCCTATTGTGTATCCACCACCACCTAGTAAAATTAGAGGAATATTAAAAGATTTAACATGCTTAACACATTCAGAATGGCCAATATGTGAAAGATTAAAGCATCCTAATTTATCACCTGCAAGTGAGTCGGCGCCACATTGTAATATAACAGCATTAGGCCTATATAAATCCATAACCTTATCAATAATTGATTTAAACAATGCGATATAAGTTACATCATCAATACCATTTCTTAAAGGAACATTAACTGCGTAATTTTTACCTTTTCCTAATCCAATATCATCTATACTCCCGGTACCAGGAAAATAGTCACCATGTTTATGAAAAGATACAGTCATAACACGATCAGTCGTGTAAAAAGCTTCTTCTACACCATCACCATGATGTACATCTATATCAATATATAAAACTCTTTTATTGTATTTTAAAAGTTCTAAAATTCCAAGCACAATATCATTTACATAACAAAATCCAGACGCTTCGTTTCTTTTTGCATGATGGAGACCGCCCGACCAATTTATTGCTATATCATATTTTCCCGAATTAATTTTTTGCGCAGCATACATTGTTCCACCCGCTGTTAGGCGGCAAAAATCGTACAATCCAGAAAACACAGGACAGTCATCTTTAACATTAAATTTTGTCAAATCACTAGTAATTTCTTGCATATTTTCTGTTGTTACACTCGATAAAAAATTAATATAATCAATACTATGAAAATTAGTTAAATTTTTATAAGAAGCCATAAAAGGCTTAAGAATGTCCATCTTTCTGTACAAACCATAGTTTACAATAAGAGAATGGGTCATTCGCACTCTTAATGGCTTCATCGGGTGTCCTGTCGCATAGTGGTATATTCCAATTTCCGGATCATAAAAGTAAACAATATTTTTGGTCATCTAAGGGGTAGAAAAAGAATTTATTTTTAATGCATTATTTCTGGATATTAATGTTATAAAGTATGTACATTAAATTAAAATTTTATTTGTAAATATTTTTTTTCTTTTTTATACATTAAATAAAATATGTATTAATTTAATTTGTACCAAATTTTAAGGGTAATTTTTTGCATTTGACGTTAAGTAAAATAATATTTTATTTAAATCCTATGCCTTGTTCAGTTAATTCAAGTGCAGCATCGAAAGCGTCAAAAATATCTTCATCAATAATTTTCCAATAAAATACCCGTTCTTCAATATTTTTGTTTCCAAAATACAGTGGACATTCTTTTGTATTTAGCCGATTTTTCTTTAACATCATTCCTCTAAGTTCAGCTTTATCGTCTTCCAAACAAAAATGTTCTATCTTTACATGATCTTCGTTTTTACTAAAAAATGGGAAGATGTGAATATCCTTATTCATTTAAATAAGGGATCTTAACTTTATCAAATTTATTTATAATTTCTAATTTATTTCTTAAAAGATGATCTAGTAAATCACTATCTGGATTGCATATTTGATAAACTTTTATTTCCTTTACTATGTATGATATATATTTTTTCTCGATATTAAGTTTTTTGTCAATGTCTTTAATATCTATTTTTGGTTTAGAAAAGTTATAACTTATTTTATGTTGATCTAAATAATTTATAAAATTTTGTAGAATTTGACTGTTATTCTTTATACATTCTAATTTGAGTATAATTTGATAATATGAGCCTAAAATGATAATTATAAAATAAATGTTATAAAGTGTTAAATCTTCAAAATTTAACATTTTATACAAATAAAGTCCTTCCTCAATTTCTTTTATAGTATTAATTATTCTTGATGAGCAGCATAAATTATCTCTACAAATTACAAAATTTAAAAATTTTTTTTTATTTTTATCTTGTACTAGTTGACAAGAAGACTCAAGAAAAATAATATAAAGATTGTAAATCCATCTATATTCTTCATCATTCAATTCTTTTATAGCCTGATAGTAATCTAATATTTTTTCTTTATTTAATTTAAGATTAAATACGGATTCAATATATTCATATTTTATAAGTTCATGTATTCCTAAATATCCATATTTATAATTTATCATTTTAAAAATTTCAATATTCACTCTTTCTTTCGATACTTTATTTTTTAAATGCAGTTTTAAATCCAAATTATTTAGAGATTTTTGTATCTCAGAATAAATATCAAAATTTAACTTGGCTTTAAACCTAAAGAGTCTTAAAATGCGCAAAGGATCATCAGAGAATGTGATAAATGGATCGAGTGGTGTTCTTAATATCTTGTTTTTTATATCTTTTATTCCCATTCCAGTAAAATCTTCAACTTCTTTAGTAATTAAATTATAAAAAAGAGCGTTAATAGTCAAATCCCTTCTAAAGGCATCTTCTTGAGCAGTGCCAATAGTAATTAATGGTATTCGAGTGTCTGTGTACTTTTCACACCTCAAATTTACAAAATCTATTAAAATGCCGTTAATTCTACAAACAGCTGTTTCTAAATGTTTAGATTTATCAGGATTAATTTGTACGACATTCACATTGGACATGGAATCTTTAAATTTTTGTTCAAGTAGTTTAGCAAATTCATATCCAGTAATATTTTCTAAGGCAATATCCATGTCATATGAATTTATGCCCATAAGCTTATCTCTAACCCAACCACCTGCTACCCTTGGTACAACATTGTTAGGAGTGCAACTTAGAATCATTTTAAAAATATTTTCTTCTTCATTTGTGATTATAAAGGACATGTAGGGGTAATTAGTTATAATTATAATGTGGAAAAAACAAATAAATGTTTGTTTAACTTTTGTCTGAAATTTATAGACTGTCTATAACTGTAATTTTGCAGATTAAATTATAAAATGTATTTATTTACATGAAGCATATAAATATAGATGCATCATGTTATACAAATATATTTTCAAACTTTTTATATATATTAATTATACATATTAAAATATAAATTTTAGATTTGAATAATACCCTCATGGAAGATAACTTTTTAGATCTGATACATAAAAATCTTTACTGCATAAATACAGTAAAAATAAGCAATGATATAAAAACAGGACTTTTTTACGACAATTTATATAATTCAATAGAATATAAATATCTTAAAAATCTCTGTTCTGAAACACCTGCTTCTTTTGAGACTGATGGTGTAGAAAGTATTTTTACAAAGATTTGTATGATGTTTTCATATAACGATTATTCATATTTGAAAGATAATATTTTGATAGAGCATGAATTAAAAGGAGTGATTCCTAGAAATGACTCTAATCCTGTTTTATTTGTACAACTAAAGGATGTAGAATCTAAAGAAGGCTATTTATATAAAACTAAAAAATACACTTTTGATTTTAAAATAAATAAATTAAATATTGATGAACAATTAAAACTTATTTTTAATATGATTAGAATATACAAAATTGAAACAAATTTGTATCTGAGAAATTTAAAAGTTAATGCTTATCTAGATAGATTATTTTTTAGTGAGAATGACAAACATCCCTTAATTTCGAGGATTGTTAGATATTATTATTCACTTGTAAACGATGACTATAGTATTTTAGAAAAAGTTAGTGAAAAATCTTATATATTTTCTCTGCATGATTTATTGAAATTTCCTCTTGTATTTAGAAGAGATATAGAATTACAATTAGGATTTTTATATTCTAAATATGCGTGTTATGAGAAAGCTTTTAAGATTTTTAGTGTTTACAGTATACATCAAGAAGCGATTGACTGTCTTATATCTCTACATAGAAAAGAAGAGGCAATAGAGAAAATTAAAGAAGAGTTAAAAAAACTTGAAGGAAAGAAAGAATATAATAATATAGTTTTGTATAGTAATTATTGTATTAAATTAGGATGGATTACTAATGACGTTGGGTGGTTTGATGTAGGACATAAAGTTTATGGGAGTTTTGAACCTCTAGAACAAAAAGCGCGGTTTTACTATAAATTAAAAAAATACATAGAAGCTAAAAATACCTACAAAAAAGTTTTACAGATTGTACCAAATAATGAGAAAATTTTATTTGCATTTGCGTCTGTAAAAATAATTTTGAAAGAATATAATGAATGTATAGACATTTTTAAAAGATTAATTGAGATAGATAAAAGAAATCCAGATTATCATAGAAATTTGGCTCTTTGCCACTATTTTATTGATAATTTAAATATTAGCATGAATTTACTCAAACAAAATGCAATTAAAGATTTAAAAAGCATGGAAATGTACTTTAAACTTGTTTTAAAAAACAAAGACAAAAATGAGATATTATGGTGTATTAGTAAAATTGATGATATAAAATTTATTAATTTCTCTGTAGATTATCTTTTAAACGAACAAATATTGACAAAAAAAGAAGTTTTGCAAGCTATTAAGAAAAATCCTCGTCTTGAAAAATTAGAAATATAATTTTTATTGTAAAGATACATCCGGCTCATTTAACAAAGACAATAAACTTTTTATAGAACACGGTTCACTGAAAGGAATATCTTGAAAATTCTTACTTTGTTTACAAAGTTCATTAAAATCCTCTCGATAGATTTTTTTAACCTCAAAAGTTCCATGGAAACATTCATAGATTCCACATTCTTTGAGTACTTCAACATTACTACTTGTCGCAAAGACAAATAATTTTTTCTTGTCCTCTTCTTTTATAAAAATTTTTATAGCTTGTAAAATAGCATTAGAAAATCTAGGACCTATGTTTACAAAATCAATAAGACCTTCTATATCATCAAGTATAATAATTGACTCTTCACTTTTATAAGCATCTAGAAATTTATTTTTTATATAGTTCACTTTCTCGTATTCGCTTAGACCAATTATATTTCTTGGACTTATCATTTTTATAAACGGAAACATTGATAATCTTGCTGCTTTTACCACTAAACTAGTTTTTCCTACACCTGGATCACCATAGAAAAGTAAAGATGATGTATTATAAAGGTTAGTGTTTTTAAGTTTTCGTAAAAAATCTTTTCCAAACTCGACTGCTTGTGTAAAATTTGTTGTTTCGTAAAAAGTTCTTTGAAATTTATTAAAATCCAATTCATTAATTCCAAAAGAAGGTTTAACTTCATCAAGTGCTTTCATAAAATCATTCATATCTACACATATATTTTCATCACCGACAATATTAATATTTTTTTCATTACTTTCCTTATTATGTACTTTTCTCTCTAAAGCATAAGACACAGCACTTTTTATTACAGCAGTAATTTCAGCACCAGTGTAATTTTTTGATAACTTTGCAATAACTTTAAGATCTACATTTTTATCAAAATAATTCGCTTCGGACATGGCTTTCGTATGAATTTTAAATATTTCATTTCTCGCTTCTTCGTCCGGTAAAGATATTTCTAAATGTATTTCAAATCTACCAGGTCGTAATAAAGCATCATCAATTAAGTCTAGTCTATTAGTCATTCCAATTACTAGAACATTTTCTAAAGATTCAACACCATCCATTTTACTAAGTAATTGATTAACAACTTGATCTCCTACCCCCGAATTTGTAGAACTACCCCTTTTTTTACAAATAGCATCTATTTCATCAAAAATTATGATATGCAATCCACTATCCTCTTTTTTAATTTTCCATTCTTCTTCTGCATCTTTAAATAAATTTCTTATATTTTCTTCACTCTGTCCAATGTATTTATTTAAAATTTCAGGACCATTCACAATTTTAGGTGGCCTGGCATTCAATAAATTTCCTAATCTTTTTGCAATCAAAGTTTTTCCGGTTCCAGGTGGACCATAAAGCATAATTCCTTTGACATGAGAAATACCAAGCTTTTTTATAACATCTTTATCAAAAACCCGTTGGACAAATGCTCGTCTAAACATCTGGGAAAATTCAGCCTTCAAACCGCCAATTCCTAGATTTGCAAAATCGAAATTGGGATCTAGTAACAAACTATCTTTATTATTATTTATAAATACCATTTTAGAAGAATTTGTGTTTACATATATTTCGGTATTTTTCAATAAAAGACCACTATCAGAATCATTATTTGTAATTAACTCTCTTACTTGAATTACAAATCCTAGATTGTTGTAATAAAAATATAGTTTCTGTTCAGTATTAAAAGGAAAAAGTCTATAGGTAGTAGAAAACTGTTCAATAAACTTAACAGCATCAACATTTTCATGTGACATATTAATTAGCTCTACATCTAATCTTAGTAATATTATCTGATCGCAATCTATTGTTTTAAGTACATCAACTTTACAAGTATCTTTGTCTGGAACTTTATTTAAATATTCTCTTTGTATTTTACTAAGAAGTATTTTAGAAGTTTGTTGAAAAGAGAATTTAAAAACGTAATATTTATCTATTATTATATAATCATAGTCTATAAAATCATTTGAATATGGGATGTACACCAAATTAATTTTACCTTTATCTGTATCCTGTACTCGACTGACCGTAAGTTTCATAAGGGCTAAACAAAATAAATAATTTAAACTTTATCTGTTTGTAACAGTCCTTTTTTTATAAATAAAATTTAAAACAATTTATGCATAATTTATTTTATAAATATATTACAAAATTTAAAATTTAGTATAAGGTTTTGTATATTCGCATATCAAACATTTAAAATTTTATTTACTTACATGTTTTAAATTTTATTTTACTTACATGTTTTAAAATTTTGTTTTACCTCCATGTTTTTTGTGATTATGCACATAAATATGCAAAGAATGGATTTTTAATAAAAAACATAAAAATCAAATAAAAAGTTACTAACTAGTTATATTATTCTCATTTCTAAGTACAATTCAAATTTTGTTAATTTCAATCAAAAAAAATATATTTTGTATATGACATTTAATTAAAAATAAATTAGATACTTTCTAAGAGAAATTTAATAGATTACTAATATAAATTATTTTATTGATATTTTGTTTAATATAAACCAATTATTGTTGCAACTACAAAAGATATTTATTAATTTAAAATATTGGTATATGCAAAAACCTTTACAATTATAAATAACAAAAATCCTTAAATTAATAAATATCTTTTTTAGTTGCAACTACAAAAGATATTTATTAATTTAAAATATTCGTGTATGCAAAAACCTTCCCATTTTAAATAACAAAAATCTTAAATTAAAAATATCAAGATAATTACACATGATAAAACTATAAGATTAAATATATCTTCTATGTATTCTTTTGACATACACAGCTTATCTAGTATGCTTCCACATTTTGCTGACAACTTTAAATCTTCATCATTTCTTTTTTGGGATAAAAGACTTATGACATTATCAACTAATAGTTGTTTATCTGAATTGATATAGTAACCATAACCTATTTCTTTTATAAATATTTCTAATATTTCTTCTTTTATTTTACTATTTAATTTATATAATAGTTGATCTAATATATTATACATATCTCTTATTAACTCAAAATATTTTTTTGTATCAATTTTAGATTTAACAATTTCAGGAAAATCATCTCTGACAAATAAAATCTTATCGAAAAGATTTTTAAATATTAACACTCGATAAGAAACATTTTCATTCGAAAGATTAACTATATAATTTTGTAGAGATTTTAAATTTTCGTTTGTATCTTTTAAAAACTCTTCAAGATTTTTTTTAAAAGTCTCTGATTCTTTAAATAACTCTGATTGCCTTAATTTCGCTGTATATTTAGAACCACTATTTAAATACATTTTACATCCAACTACACGTCCTGACTTGCAATCTTTATCTAAAATTTGTGCATAAAGTAAAAATAAAATACTTAAAAAACTGAGGAGAGCTAGAACCATACAAATAGTAATATAAAGAAGTTGATAACATCTATAATAATTTAGAGCTGTACAACAAATAAAAAATAAACACACTATAGCAATACATAAAAACAAAAATCTTGTTTTTATAACATTTTTTATAATTTGATCATTGTTTCCTACAAACTGCATATCTTTATTAACCTTTTGTAGATTTAAAATATTATCTATGTAGTTAAGTATTGACAAATTATTGTCTTTATGAATACTTTGTCTTATTTTAAAAAATTTATCAACTTCTAATTTCAAATCATTTAACTCAAACTTAAAATATTTTGGAGAGCTATTTAAGGCAAATAATTCTGCAGAGATTAATTTCGACATTTTAGTAAAATTATCAAATTTTTTGCTAAAATCTGTAATTAAAATATCAATAGCTTTTTTCTGTTCTTCTAAATTCTTGTAAAAAATAATCAAATTTTTTTCATTTTTTAACTTTTGATTTAATATTGTACGAATATCATTTAAAAAGACTAAACTGTAATTATCTTGGTTTATATTCATTGTAACCAGTTTAGGCAAAGTATCTGCATTTAGTTGTAATTGGTGGAATTGTTTTACTTTTAAAGGCTGTTTGATTTGCTTTATACCAAATCTAGGTTGTTTAGTAAAACTCTTTACAATTTTTTTAAAAGATCTTTTTTTACTATTTTCCTGAGAAGATGATGTATCTGACTCATGATCACTTTTGGAATCTACCAAATTTTTCTTATTTATGCTTGATTTATCTACATAAATTTTTGGCTTAAATGGATTTGAATATTCTTCTGTTAGAAAAGCCGACATTTTATTTTTTTCAAATCCTACTAAATGCGATAAATAATTTATTTTACTTTTCTCTTTTAGTCTTATACCATTATTTGTTAAAAACTCTATAACTTTTATTTTATGTAAAACTAGTCCACATAAAATCAATAGAAATCCATATCCTAGACTTAAATTTGCAAATCTTTGAGATTTAAATATAAAAACTAATAGTATAATATTAAAAATAATAATAATTAGAATATATACAGCAAAATTTATATTATTTGTAATTTCATAAGTAAAGAGTTCTGTAAGTCTATTTTTGTCTGGAAGTAATAAAGAGCTGCCTAAAATTAATGTTCTAAGGTATTCTCTTATAACCATTTACCTAAAAAACCACAGTAAAATATATTTTTGTTTAATATTGAAACTAATGTTTTCTTATTGATCCAAATAAAAAAAAATCATTTTTATATTTCAAATAAACACAGGTACACTAAAGTTTTTAGCTTCTGTATTTTTTATTTAAAATTATAATTGGGGTATCCCATGTCGAATGAAACCGATTGTCAATATTTATTTAAATTTATTTTAATTGGAACAAGTGGTGTTGGTAAAACATGTCTTATGATGAGGTTTGCAGACGAAATTTATGAAACAAATCAAGCCAGTACAATTGGTGTGGATTTTAAAATAAAAACTATAGTCATCGATAATAAAAAAATAAAACTGCAAATTTGGGACACTGCAGGACAAGAAAGATTTAGAGCTATTGTATCGAATTATTATAGGGGAGCACACGGTATACTTGTGGTATTTGATATGACAAATAAAGATTCATTTACCAGTTTAGATGAATGGATAGGAGAAATAAAAAAGAACACTAAAGAATCTGTAGAGTTATTGATACTTGGTAATAAAATTGACAAAGCATCCGAAATAGTCATTTCAGATGAGGAAATTGCAAATTTTTTGGAGAAGCACAAAATTAAAAAAGAAAGTTTTGTCAAAACAAGTGCTAAAGAAAATCTTAAAGTATTCGAAGCTTTTGAAACATTAGCAAAACGCCTTATTAGTAAATTTGAAAGTGGGAATTTTGATAGTTCAAAAAAAGAAGGATTTAACTTAAGAAGCGGTGATAAAGAAGGCGGTAGATGCTGTATGTGAAAATAAAATAGCTTGTTTGAATTTTTTAGATTTTGACATATTAAATAAGCAAGCATTATTAATGACATTATCTTTTTCATTATTTAAAATGTACTGTGTGAGTTTTTAAAACGTGTATCCTAAAAACATAAATAATTTTATTTTGTAGATTTTAAGAATTTTTATTTCGTTTAATAAAAATTCTTGGTAAAAGAAGCTAGTGTAATTAAAAATTGCAAGGTATCATGCATGTATAAAGAACCTTATAAATTAATTTGTAGGTTAACAAAATAAATATATATAAATTTATTTATAATTTAATTCATAATGGAAAAACGTGTTTCCGTCGGGTTGTTTTTTAAGCACACACAATTTTTTGAGGTTTAAATATACATGACGGTTATTTATATTACTAAATTCTCAGCTAATTTTTTGTATTTTTTAGACAAAATAAATATAAAAATTTGTTGAAATTCTTATTTAAAATCAACATTATTATGTAATGTAGATTATTTAAAAGAATTAATTCTATAAATTATTTTTAAAAACTAATAATTTTTTTTCAATTTAATCAAAAAAATTAATTTTTAGTATTTGACACAATTAAAAAACTTAACAATAAAGAATACAAAAGTTCTTGTAGTCGATTGTAATTAAAAAATTGTAAATTTATTAAATTTTTATTTGTTTGATTTTAATTGTTCTTGCCTATTTAAAGCTATAAGATGAATATAAATTTAAAAATCTATTTGTTTTATAAGGTTTTGCATATATCAATCACTCACTTAATTATTTTAAAAGCTTTATTGATATCTTGACTTACCAAGAATAAATTAATATACTAAAAAATATTTTCTAAGTTTTATAATCAAATTTTAAGTTGTCAAGTTACAAGCTGTAAACCTACAATAAAAATATTTTTCTTAAATTTGAAAGTTTAAAAAGTATAGGGACTCAAAAAAGTATTTTTGTAAACAATTAACTTTTAAATAAGCATTCAATAAATTCTTAATGTTTTTAACAAAGGTTAAAATAACTTTACTATATAAAAAAAAACATTACAGAAAATCTATGTTCTGCAGATAAATAATTTAAATTACACTGTAATTTGTTAGTTAATCTTTTATTCAACTTGTTTTTCAGTGTCGATTTATTTAGAAAATATCTTTCTAATTTTGATCTTTTTAACAGAAAGGGGGCCTTTAAGGACACTTCTTTTCTTCTTATCTTTAGATCTTTATCTTCCATATCTACATCCGCAAAGAATAGTAAACCATTTCTTGAATCAGACTCTCAAAAGCCATTTCAGGGCATTATTAGATACTTAGTTTAAATTAAATATCTAATTCTTTTTTTTATAAAGATTGTACTACTTAATCACTACGCTTGTCCAGGTCATATTTATATTACTAATAGTTATATGGTACAAAAAAATACAGTAATAGAGCAATAAACATTTTAACATAAATGATAAATTTAGTATCTTTTTGATATTTATAAAATTAATATGTTTAAGTCATATTTTCTTATTCATGGCATATAATATATCCTAGACCGCATCTTTTTTTCATATGCTGTCATGCTTGAAATTAAGGACATAATGCTTGAAATATCTTTTTATTTTAGATCTAGTATTTATACTAGTATCATTAAACTATGGCACAACATTCTTAAAGTATAAAAATATCCTCTAAGTTGTCATATCTATTGTAATATTTAGATTATAAACAGTAATATGTGTTATTTATTTTATATTTACATACAATATATAGGCTAATAATTTTGAATGAAATAAATTTCGCTTTTATTTTTATAATCTCAAAACAATTTTTTACTTTAAAAGACAGTCCAATTTTTATTATGATAGCTAGAATAAAAAATAGATCAACTAATTAATTAAAACTGCTGGTATATAAATTACAATATCAGAGAAATCACATCTTACTTTCCTAATTGGTGTGTTTTGAAACCTTTAGTACATATACCTAAAGAAACGTAAGGATTAAATGGTTGAACGCGAACATGGCAACAAAAACAATAACATTTAGTAAAAATCACATTATTCTTTAAGGACTTTTTTGTGATTTGAAGTTTTAAATAATTTTATTGAATATGTTGTTTTGCTGTCAAATATCTCACAACATTTTAATGTTATTAAATAATATTTTGCAAATTCGTTCAACTGAACATAAAATAGAGATGTTTTTATATTTATCTTGATAAATTGTTTTAATAAGCAATTACTATTTAAGGCTTTTAATTAGATTATGATATTCTTTTTTTTAATTATTATATAGCATTTAGTTAAAATAAATTTAGAATAGAATTGATACATAAATAAACAAAATAAACCAATTTTTTGTTTATTTAAGTTTTTATTTACATTTCTTGTGATTTAATAAACAATTGTAAAATTTTTTTGGTATAAATACTAAAACTCAACACCCTAAATGGTCTCTGGTAATACAAACAGCTCTAATATAATATCAAGTGAAAATGACATTCATTTCGATAATAGAGATGTATACAATGAAAAGCCTTTCGTAAATTCTTATGAATTTTCGAGCGATGAAGTTATTAATTGTGGAATAGAATATGACCCCTTCAATGAAAATAAGCCTAAATTTAACAATAAAAAAGAAAAGAACTGGTTATTTCATTATAATTCTTGCTACAAGAAAGCCTTGTCATTGCCACTTATCAATCGAGAATACAATATAAATTTTTATAAAGACTCTCCTAATGGAGAATTTTTTTCTTTACCTACACTTGGAATAGGTCGATCGGACAGCATACAACGAATATCTGCTGATGTTTTAAATGACTTACTTAATGGTAAATATAATATAGATTATACAATTATAGATTGTAGATTTTCATATGAATATGAGGGGGGACATATTAAAAGTGCTGTAAATATAAATAATACTCAAAAAGCTAAAGCTCTTTTTAAAAACCCAAAAGTTTTAATATTTCATTGTGAATTTTCATCAGTTAGAGCACCAAAACTAGCACATTACATAAGAAATTTAGACAGAAAATCAAACATTTATCCTAAACTTACGCTTCCTGAAATTTATATACTACAAGGAGGCTATAAAGAATTTTTCATAAAATATAAAGAGATGTGTTTTCCTAAAAATTATATTACTATGGAAGAGGGTAGGCATAGATATAGTAAATAAATTGTTAGAGTTTTTTTCACTTTTAAAAAGTTTTTGTGCATAATTTAAATGAGTGAAATAGTTAAAAGAAAAAAAACCCTCATGAAACAGGAAAGTGAAAAAAATCCAGATGAAATGGAATGTAAATTTAAAAAAAGTGTTCAACAAAATAATTTTTCAATTTTAGCTTTGAATAGTGATTCTAACATACATGTTGATAAGATTTTTCAACTTACAACTACTTTACTAGAAGATTTTAATATTAAGACACTTGAAGAATTAGAAGAGACCTTGCGTAATTATGTTTTTGAAAAGCCAATAAGTGGCCAAATAATTTATAAGATTTTAAAAAATATAGACCAGCTTCAAAAATTTAACCTACATCATTTAAATACCAGATTGATATGTATTTTTTTAATAAAATTAATGTATAAAAAAACAAAAGTAGAAATAGGAATTAAAGCGTATGCTTATGAAATCCTTATACGTATAGATAAAAACTATTTTGAAGAAATATTTATTTATGATTTACCTTATATTACAAATTTTAAAGAAGTTAAGGTAAAATTTATTATTGATTTTTTTCGAAGTAGCAAAAAAGAAGATTTATTTCCATTGTTATTTAAAGATAACAGAATAGATAAATTTGAAAAGTGTATAAACAAAATGCTAGCTATAGACAATTTAGATTTTGTTTACGCTTTTATAAGTTATTATTTAAAAAATTCAGATTTAGAAGAAGTTGAAAAAGGAATAGTACTAATTTTTAATGCTTTAAATTTTTTACTTAATAAATTAGCAGATAAAAATATAGAAATTGACAAAAAGTATGTTAAACAAATTTTTAATTATTTACTCACTAAGATGTTAAATAGAAAAAATACTAAAAGGTATCAAATAGCTGGATTTTTACTAAAAACAAATTTAGAAAATATTATATTTAATAAGAAAAAGGTTTTTAAAATTTGTAAAAAATTGCTTGACGATAAATCTCTAAAAATATATGAAGTATCAATATTGTTGTTAAGTATTTTTAAAAATGAATATTTGGTAACTATTTTAGATAATTGTGAACAAAATGATAAAATTATTATTATTTTAAGATACTTAAATAACTTAGATAATGCAGTAGTTTATAAAAGAATTTTAGAAGTTAAAAATTCTAAACATTTACATGATTTGGATATTCGCATTAATGATCTACCATTGTTTGCAAAAGTTTTTTACAGTTTTAACAACAAAAGTGTTATAAAATTTATAAAAATAGATAAAATTGTAATATCTGATATCTATACATTAGATTTAGTACTTCATTATTCTAAATATTATCCTAATAAAATCGATGAAGAGTTTATTGCATCATTGATTTTAGAAGATAGTGAAAATATATTGCGTAATATAAAACTAATTGAGATTTTAAACAATATTTATCAAAATCTCAAGCTGCAAATTAAACAAAAACTGATTGACAAATTTAAAGGTCTAATATTACAGAGTCCATATACAAAGTCAATAGGATTATTTTTTTATAAAATTAACTATCTTATACATAAAGAAAATTTTAAGAGTGATTACTATTTAGTTATATATGCTTCCATGAATCATCCTGATTTTATAAAATATTTTAACGAATTTGTTTGGTCAACAAACAAATTTAGATCACTTATATATATTTTACAATATAATTTAGAACTTGGAATTGTTTATGCACATAAACTTAAAGAATTGCTTAATAGTGATATCTATGAAAATCCAAATATAAAATATAATTTACTGGAATTTTTAAATTTTCTTACAAACTTATTGGATAAGAATTTAGATGATAGATTAATGAGTTTTTATTATAAATTAATTTTAGATAATAAAAATGTATTGTATAAGTTTTTACAACAAAAAGATCAAAGTATAAAAATTCAAACATCCAAATTGTTAGTAAAATCTACCTTCGAAAAAATTTTACTTAAAGAAGAAACTATTCCTCGACTTGTAGTTTTCCATAGATACGACGATAATTTACAAATATATTCAGATTTAATACGCAATAATATTCTTAATATTTTTAATTTAAGAATAAAAGAATATAAAGCTTACAGGAATATTTACGATGAATATTTTTTAAAAAATATTTTTAAAAAAGAAAAAATAACAATCGAAAACTTTTTTGTTGATGAAAATGATTTATGTCTTAAATATTTTGTTTTATATTTAAATTTCAATATCATTGAATTTACATCTGGCAGCCTCTTTTTAGGTGACCATGAGATTCTAGTAAGATTTATTAACAAAATTAAAGATTGTACATTACAAGAAAAGAATGAAATATTTGACATTATAGATAATTTGTAAAATAATGTTTTAAATCATAATTTTCTAACATTAATTTATATTGAAAAAAATTAATTTATTTTAATTAAATTTATGGATATTAATTTCTTAATACATTTACTAGAAATGTCAATAAACACGTATCATGTAGATGATTTACCTAGTTTAATTTATAAATTTGGTTATAAAGAAGAAGGTGTAAGATGTAAATTATTTGGCTATAAAAATAAGTTAGTACTTGCTATAAAAGGCACTTCCCTTAATATTTTAGGATATGAGCTCGGAGAAACATCTTTAAAAGATAAGAAGATGGTTAATGTACTCTTTAATAAATGTAAAACATCTTCTTTTCGATGCGAATATTCTAAAAAAGTAAAATTTGATAAACTAGGATATTTGCATAAATTACAAAGAATAATTGTAGCAATACAATATTTGTATCCTAATAAAGAAATAATATTAACTGGGCATAGTCTCGGTGGGGCATTAGCAAGTTTGTTAAGTCTTATATACAATTTACAGTGTATTACTTTTGCCTCTCCTGGAGAGTTTTATATTTCTAAAATTCTACAATTAAATAATGAAAATGGTGCCATAACACATTATGGGATGTGTAATGACACCATCTTTACTGGTAAATGTGATAAATTATGTAATTTATTAGGATATTCGGTAGATACAAGTAGACATAATGGAAAAGTTTACTGTCTTAAAATTACACCAAATATAAAGAGTGTTGTTTTCCACAATAGCAGTGTTTTACTAAGTTATTTTAGAAAGTTGGCATTATCAAAAAAACATACCAAGAATAGAATATATTAATATTGTATCATAAGTAATATATTAGTATTGTAGCATAGGAAATATTTTAGTGTTATATTTTAAAGAAATTATATTAAATTTAAACATAAAAAAGAAATTATATTAAATTTGTATAAAATTAGAATTTTATTTATAATCTACAATAAAAAGAAAATATATTTATTTTTTGCATAAAAATAATCCAAATATAAAAAAAGTGTTAAAATTATGAAAAGTTAATTTACTATTTTTAGATCATGAATCTTACTTATTAAATCGAAGTAATTAACCAAAAAGAGCGGATTTAATTAATAATTATTTTTATATTTTTTGGATTAAATCCAAAAAAGTGTTTTTAAACATAAATAAGTACTATTTCAGTTTTTATTTGACACATCTTTTGATTTTTATTAATTTGTTGTTAAATAAATTAATTTTTATAATTAAGTTGAGTATTTATATTTTAAAAAATATAATTATTATTTATTAAAACATATTAATATAGATGATTTGATCATTGCGTTAACTGGAATTTTCTTTTTATTAAACCCATAATAGAATGACTTATCATCGTATAAAGAAGCTTTTCGATGAATATTTAGAAAAGAACTACCCAGAAATAGACTTTTATAACAGCAAAGAATCTGAAAATTGTATTGAATTTTATAGAAATGACGATAAATCTTATGTTCCTTTTAGAAATCTATATTTTAGAAAACGAATAATGGATTTGGATAAAAAACAGTTTTTAACTAGAAACCCTTACAATCACAATTGGAAAGAAGAGAATTTAGACAAGTATTTTTATAAAGATTGTAAAAAGACAGATATGTCTGATAAAAGAATTTATAAATGTACTTTAGACAATTGTAACAGACAATATACATCTGCCTTTGGATTGAAATATCATATGAAGGAGGGACATTCGAAAGAGAAGTTGAATGTTCATAAACCTTATGTATGCAATATTCAAGGATGTGGTAGAAAATATAAAAATAATAATGGATTAAAATACCATTTAAAAACCTTCCATAATATTTCATAGTATCTTGCGATATTTAAATAAACTTTTAATTTTATAAAAAAGCTAGAAATACATTTTTTTTGTTAATAAACTGGAATAAATAAGTTATATCGTTTTCTTGAATAATACGTTTTTATGTTAAAATTATTTCGATTAAGCAATTACAAAAAAGGACCAATCTTTTTATTAGTCAATTGTTCTAACGGTCTGATATTTACAGCAGTTGTATCATCAATTTGTGACGAACAATATATATGACACAATAACAGGTTATTTATATTTATTTGTAGTGGTAACAAACTTTACATAAAATTTAAATCAAATTATAAATAAATGCGATTTTTGTTAAAAATTTAATAAAAATATAATTATAGATGTTTAATAATAATTTAATTATTAATTGATAAATTTTTATTGCAAAAACATCAATTCGTCATATTATTTTTGAGCACAGATAACTTTTTAGGATTAGACATACACATCATAGTTATTAATAATTATTTAATCCTCAGCTTAATTATTATAACTTTTTGTTTATTTTTATTGCTTATTCAATCTCCTTCTCTTACAACATGCGCGCATTATCAGTGCTAGATACCACAAGAGTCTTGCTTAGTATGAAGATATTATTAATCCTCGTAAGGATATTACAAAGAACCAACAACCGGTAGTGCGCTACCAGACCAGGGGTTTACTGGATCTTGTGATCGGCAAAGGGGGCATAGGTCTAATGGCCGTGATGGACTCTCACTATCCCACGCAAAATGCTAGAGCTTCACTAGCTTGTTGTGCCCTTCTAAAATGGGTCTTCAAAAGTAGTTTCTTACTCAAAGTCTTTGAATAAGATCTGTAAGTTCTTCTATAGATACGGCAATTGTCGTACCGATCCAAATATGCTATGCCTCATATACATTTTTTTAGGAAATTTACAGCCCCCAGTTGACGTCTACAGAAAAGTTTACGATACGATTTTACGAAAAATATTTTATGACAACTGTTGCGCAACGGTCATTTATTACCTGACCAATTTGCATTGCTGAGACTCGAATCCGTACCCTTCAAGCATCAGAGCAAAATTTTGCGGCTCGACTACCAAAGCTAAAAGTGTGCTTAAACTTGCATATTTGATCTAGTTTTGTTAAAAAAAATTATAAAGTAGCTGATAGACATAAAAGAAAGCATTATTAAAAAATTAATTTGTAATTTAATTAATAAACAAATTATAGAGAAAAAACATGCAGCAAATTAAAGATAATTGCGTGTCATATCAAAAATTAAATACCCTATTTACTAACATGTACGTAGGCATTCAAATTTTAATTAAAAAAATTACACTTTTAAATTACAAATATTACAGTATATTTTTTTAATCATTAGTTTTCATTATAAACTATTCGTTAAACTTACTCTTAACATCATCAAGAAATGTATTAATAGTATCACATGTCTTGTTAAACAAAGGACACAAAATATCATCTCTACCAATAACTTCTTTTATAAATTTTATTTGTGTATTTTGTATTTCTATAATTTTAATAATCTTTTTTAAATTATCTTCATTGATCTTTGATTGTTTTAAATCACAACTTTTTAGATTAACAATAAATTTATTGTAATCTTTCACTACGCAATCACTATAAGAAATCTTCCTTTTTTGGTAGTTCTGACTCAGTATTGTGGATAGATATTTTCTGGTAAAGAAATCATAGATGTATTCATTTACAAAATGTATTTATGAAAAATAAATTGTTATTATTATGAAAAACCAAACACAAGTGAGTCAAAAAAATAAAACTGTGGCAGTAATGGTAGCAAAATAAGTATTAATAATTTTGAGGTAAAATTCTTAATTACTATTTTTTATAATTTTTTATCCTATTTAGTGAAAATTAAACCAAATTGAAATAAATATAACTGTTGGAGTATAACATGTGTTAATTAATTATAAATTATTTGATATAAATATTTCAAAACCATCTCTTAACTGTCGAAAGATTTTACTTGTGTTACCTTCATTCTTACAAAAAACTTATTTAATATTAAAATAAGTGTATTTTTATAGTTTTATAATTTGACTATGGCGTCATAAATATTTTTTTTAAATTATAAGACAATATAACTTGTTAATAAAATAAAAAAATAAGTTTTTTAGTAGTATATTAAATCCATGATTTATAACATAATATTGATATTTTTTTGCACTGTAAAACAATATAACTTGTTAATAATACAAAACATAAGTTTTTAAATAATAAAAATATTAAATCTCTAATTTATATACCATAACATTAACATCCTACAATTGAAACAAAATGTTAATAAATTAATAATCTTATAAATTTTCGTTCAACTTAAATCAAAACACTACCCTCGAAAATATTCTTCACTGTATCTAATCAAATATTTCAAAACAATCATTGTCCTCTTTCGATTTCTCAAATTCTAGATAATTCTGATACAAAACTAATTAACTAAGTGTTTTCTTAAAAAATCCATTCTTTATATCACTGTCATCTTTAACATACCATTCAAGATTATTTTCTACCTCCTTAATTATTGTATCTTTTTCAAATAAATGGAAGAATGTTCTTTCTGCCCTTAAGTCTATAATTTAATATTTATAATTCTGTTTATCTTTTTTAGGATCATATCCAAGTGGTACCCGACATTTTCTAAATGGCCCATTTAAAATGTAATATCTGTACATTGGTAGTATAGATCTAAGTCTATTAATTTTTATATTTAATTTATGTTCTTTCTTATTTTATACAAATAATTGTACAATAATATTAATTTTAAGTACCGGTGAAAATAAATTATTGATAAAGTTTTGTAAAATTAAGCCATTTTCATTTACAAGATTATTATATATTTGATTATCTGGTACATCATCAGTAAAATACACTCTTATAGTATTTATTTCAATATCATGTACAACAGGATTTTTTTTATATGACAATATTTTTGGCGACTTTTCATAATAATTTACAATTGGTGGTGTGAATGGTGGAAACTTATATAATACAACTTGACTTACATCTAAAAGGTCTGTAACAGTACGATCTAAGATAATATTACCTAAATGGTTATATAATGGTAGAGAATC